AGAATTGATGCAGAGTTTAAAAAACTATGTCAATTTAACATTGAATTGAATAAGGTATTAGATATCATGTTAAATTAGGTTTCATTCATTCTCATATCACTGGCTTCTCATATCTGATACTATTGGATATGGTGCTACCGAGTTTTAAGACTTAGTTAGGTCCAATTAGCTCTAGCTACCTATCATGAATGGAGTATCATACCATAGATATTATAAGTCAGAAGCAATTAGAGGCAATGAAATCCATCCAACTCTCTCCAATTACAATATAGACTGCATGTAGGTCTTGTAAGTTTCATGGAAATATATTATTAGACTTAAGCCATCAAAGATTTGATTTAACATGGTCTAAATTGAATATTAGCAGCAACATGTCAGCATTGGACCTCATTTTATTTTGTGTTATTGAACTAGGATTATCAGTAATCTTCTATCAATTTACTTTTTAACTAATTATAACTGATAAATTAGTGCTTCTATTTATTATTAAAACTTCTACATTAAAAAAATGAATTTTAGATTTGGATCAATTGACAAATCTTTTATAATACAATTGTAGTTATTACGTTATCTGTATTATCGTGGAAAGTATATATAATCAACTTTAGAGGTAGTTTTCAGTAGTGTAGCCAATTATTATCATAATTTAGCAGGATTATTAATGGAAGAAAGTATTAGCATCCAACATGATAACCCTGCTTGAAATATGACTCAAATTTTATTTCTTTTTTTCCTAACATTTTAATTACCCCAGTTACTCACTTCAAAGCAAAGGGAAAAATATTATTAAAAAAAATTTTAATTATACACTAGTTAGTAGAATATCTGTACAAATTCCTGTTTTTATGCATCTAAAAAAAGATCCATTATCATTGACATTGGACAGCAAAATGACCAAAACCAGCTGGCTTTAAACATGCTGGATCATAGTGGAGGAGTGAGGAGGTTAAGAAAGAAGTTTAACCCCCTAGACCTACCTTAGGAGGTTTTAATAAAACACAGTATGACAATCGTTGGAAAGTCCACTACTCAAGTAAAATTAAAACAATAGTCAACTAAATTATTCATTGTTCTGAGGGACAGATTGTAGTTCAGAATATCAATAAAAAAAAAATTATTATTGGCATCAAATAGTCAAAGATTTTGTTCTACAGTAGATAAAACTTTTTTCAATTTGATTTCTGATGGTAGATGATCTCAAATCTCATATAAAGATGGTGTTCCAGAGGAAATTGATAAGACAAAAGTGTTGACTAAAGATATAAATTGTTTTTTTTCGACCTCCAAGTTCCTCAATTTTCTGTTATTTATTTTTCCTCCTATGTGACTGGTATTCCTGTGTTTATCACACTTTTCTCTTGGCATTTCTCGTTCCTCGGAGTAAACTTTAGGTCAACGTGTGGGCGACAGTAGTAACGTCGGTTTTCGGTCGACCACACAGTGGTAGTTTCCGGCATTTGGTCAGACGAGTTCAAACGGACGAACCGTGACTATTGTCCAAGTACTTAAACGCTTGGTCACGCTCTGACTAGCTATCAAATGACTTAATTTGCCTCTAAGCAATTCCGATTGTTCCGAAGTTATCGTGAAAATTGACGCTTCATTATACCTACATTAGAGGAGATAATATCTCCAATATATGGAGATGGAAACAAATTCTAAGAAAATCATTCTCCTAGTAGAATTATCTACTTCACTGTTTTTAAATAATACATTTTTCAAACTCCATGAAATATAACTACTGTAACTACTTATATGACAGCTTGTTTTTTATCATTTATACTCAGAAATAAAATATTTCCATAAAATAAGAATTATTAACTGGTGTAGGCTTAAAGTATAAAACTATTCCCTCCATTTATTTCTTGAGCGTCATTCAAGTATTTTCTCATGACAAAGAATAATCCATCAGTTATGAAACATTTTATTGAAAATACAGTTAGAGAAATACTAGGACAAGTTAAAGTCCTTCGAATATTAAAGATCCATAAATAACTCAATATGTATTTCTTATGTATTGAAGATAATAAAAATTATCATCAAATTTTTAACTTCTCATTAAGATGGTGTTTTAAAATTCATAATTTTGTCATTTTTTGACGTTTCGAGACATTTGAAGGAACATTAGAAGGTTTAAAAATGTATGTACGTATGTACAAATGTACGCACGTATGTCCAGTTTTTTTTCATTTCTGATATCTCGAGAACCCCTGAAGATATCAACTTCAGACTAATTTCATTTTAAAGATAATACAATAGAGAAAATCTGATAATAAGTTTAAACAAATTCAAATAAAAATTCTAATTTGTTATAAACAATTTAAAATGGTTTTGATTTATTGAATAATCATTACTGTGATTATATTTGACAAATATCAATAAAATGTTATAAATAACTTGATGTGATTAAAAAATTGTAACCATAGAAATTTATTATAAACACAAAAAGCAAAAAGGCTGGTTTAGTATCAAGTTAATGACTAGTTACTATTGTTAAAAGTAATTTAATATTACTAGACTATTGAAGTTTGGATATCTCGGTTTGTTTGAATGATCTTTTAGAAATGAATTTCAGGGTGAGCACAAAGCCCTCTTAATCTTAACTGATAACATGTTATAGATGATATAGTCACGCAATTCACCATGTCAAGACTGTGTGAGGTAATTTAATCAGAGACAAGAGAACACACATGAATCTCTTGTTGACGCACGACACTGGTTTATGATCTTCAATCTATTGACTTGATGACATTTACACTTTATCCTATGATCTATTTCATAGGGGGCAAGAAACAAGGCGTGTCTCAAGTTTTATACGAATGACGAGAAAACTAGTCTAGCTCGTTGTCAGAACGACTTTCCATCAACGTGCGTTTCAAGATTTATGTATTCTAGTCTGGTCCAAGATGACGCCATAAAAAGCTATGAGAAATCTTAGATTATCATAATATCTCAGTTCTCTCACAGACAAACACACTATGGATATAATTTCAAATTTATTGTCAAAATTTGTTTTCCATTTTAATGGTAAAAAAATTTACGACTTCTCTTTTTTGCAAAATAAAATGGAAAAAAAAATTATGATCAAAGTTCACATTTCTTTAAGAAATATTTTGCTGACAGCGTTATGATATGTTCTTTGATGATACTCTGCTTATAGTGCAGCTTAGAATACCAATATCACGTACAGCTGTGGTTATTGAATGTATGGTAAAGACTTTGTCATCATAAACATTTTTTTGTAAACAAAAAATTAATCTATTTAACTACAACTTTTTAGTAACAGTTACAAATTTATGGTTATTATTTTCATTATTTTTTTACTATTTTATGAAAACAAGTTATCTAAATGGAAGTTTTTCAATAAAATTTCTAACGTTTATTTTAATTTTCAATTTAAAAAATGAAAAAAACTAGGACAAAGTATGATATCATAAGCAGAGATATCTCGATCTGCTTGAAATATTTTTATTCTGTACAATATTATTCTCTCTAGCATATAAATGAACAGTATCTGGGATTCATGGAAGACAGAGTGAATAGACGTATGTGGAAAATAAAAGAAAATGACAGTGCTAGATAGAATTAGAATATAATATTTAATCGAAACGAATGATGGTGTTCAGGAATTTACCTAGCTATTCTTTTTTTCTTATTTTATTTTCAGCTAAATGCATCTTATCCTTTTCTTATATTATACTTTTTATATTAATGACATTTTAATTTTTTCCTGTCTTTTATAATCGCATAATTCTCACCACCTGCTTTATTTTCTTTCAATTTATTAACTATAAATTATTGTATTTGCCTTTAGCATTAGATTCATTCTGTTGGGTCTATTTTTTTTTAAATAAATAAATTAATAAATAAATAATTCCAATTAATATGTTGATGAAATCATCTACCTTTTTTTTTTTAAACATTTTATAAATACTTCATTATTTTTAAATAAAAACATTCCTAGATGACCATAATCCTGCTTTTCAAATTTCCCTTTATCTTTTTCTCTTTCAAGTTTTATGTTCACCAGTACAGTATGCTAAAAGGTGTGATTAAAATTCTACTTGATTCTAGCACAATTTTTTCCCTCAATCATCGTAAAAAGCACTGTACTGTAAGGTGATTTGGAATTTAAAAATAATCCTGCGGTGAAGACTTTTTACCATAGTTAGGAAAAAATTCCACCAGAAAAGATTTGTTACAACTTTAAATTTCCTGTTGATTAGGAAATAGTTCAGATCAACAACCATCTGGATGTTTTTTACAACATTATCAGTAACTTTTTATCAAAAGAGTATTTTATTTCATGCATTTCATGTCCCTAACTTTCATAGGTAGTGATGATGTGATTAATTTAAAATATTCCAAGTATTTAATGGCTTTTATAATTTATATTTATCAACCACATCTGTCGATTTCCTTTTCCTAATTAATCCAAGCTGATAATGTATGAAATTATCATAATAAACAGCATGAGTATGAATACGTATTTTCATGTAAATGCTGTGTACTTGACTAAATAGTAAATATCTGTTGAAATATCATTTAGTTTGCATTCTGAATAAAAGATATTTATTAATCTGATGATATTATTTATAAATACCATCTAAAAGGTTCAATAATAGTCTGAATAAATCATATCTTCACCAAGAAAAGCTACTTAAAAATGAAAACTCAAGACTAAACATTAATTAAAATCTCTATCTCTAGCATTATAAAATTTAAGATCATCTATTATAATGAAAATGTCTTCTGCAATAATTAATTCTGTTGAAGCATACAATTCTTAGTAGATAATCCTTCTCTTATGAAATCTTAATAAAATTTTTAAAGCTTTGTGATTATTAATTCAATGCACACCACCAGGTCTCCAACTGTTTTGTTCCATGTAAATTCAAATTTCAGTGAATACTCTAAGATTCAAATAATTTAACATAAATGACTTATTCACCTGGTCTAACTATTGATATTATAATTAAAAAAGGAACATTTATTTTCAGACGTACAACATGGATGCCCAGGTGGGAGAGTCTTCAGCATGTGCAACAGCCCTTTTATGTGGAGTGAAGGCAAATTATGAGACACTAGGATTAGATTCATCAGCAAAATTCGATAACTGTCTATCCAGTAAGACAGCTAGAGTGCCGTCAATTATGGATTGGGCACAGGAGAGAGGTGCAGTTAATTTTACTAAAGAAAAATCAATTAATAGTCTTGTAGAACATATTACGATACCACGGATGGTAGACAACACTCGTACACGTCCATTTCCGGTCATTAAGATGAATTACCTCGGTTGATTAATCACACTGTGCCGTTTGGCACTGACGTACTACGGACCAGCCACTACGTTACTAGCGTTATGTCTCACACATATGTATATTATTCTGTATATGTATATGAAAGTTCTATGCATCTCGTGCTTGCCGTTTGTTATACCATTTAATTCTCTCCATTCAATTTCTTATTTACGAGCTACACGCCCAGCCCGTTTCTTCGTTCGTACGTACGTTAGCCCGAATGATAAAACCTCGTCGATCGCTCGTTTCCGATGCTAGAGAAATAACATCCACCCTAACAATTTATCGTCTTCACGTGAAATTCAAATAATTCTACGTTTTATTTATATCTTCAACCTGTCATCGTTATTTTTCTTTAATTATGTTTATCTTGGTCATTACTTTTAAATTGATCAATTTGTAGTCTGTTTCTTTGAGATAATGATTTATAAATTGGCGGATTATTTCAAATAATACCACTTTAAGATAGAGAAAAATCCAGTTCTTTTGTAAGAAAAGAAAAGAATAATTAAAGTTAAATAAGGAAAAATTTATTTTAGAAAATTAAAAGTATTGTTTATAGAGTTTTATGCTTTGAAATAGAATGAAGCTATAGAAGATCACTCTGGTGTTCGTTTATTTGTTTGCTTGTTTTTACTTTCTTCAGAAATGACGTAATATTACTATCTAAAGATTGGTATAGGCTAGAGGAAGATGAAAAAATACCTTTTACTTACCATATAATCAATTTGATTAATAAGTAACCCAAAATTCCCATTTTGCCCCGGACTTAGAGTAGACGAGCACATATTTTAATCAGGCTGGCAGTGTTCACAAATATGAGTTTCATCATCTTTGATGTTCTAGAGTTGATTTAGACACATATAAGTGCTTGAGAAATTTTTTAAAAATTAACAGCATTGACTACTTTTCTCATATCATCCTCTTCCCATTTCATACGATTTGTTTTTCGTTCATAATTGCACACCATCTTGACTGAAAAAAATAAGAAAAGCTTAGAAACAAGTAGGTACAACCTTTTTCATGACAATGAAGCACGATGGGATAGTATCCCATTTTGCCCTGGTCTTCCCTGTATACTTACTGGATCAATAGACTCGAATTAAACTTCCTGATGATTTTGATCCTTGGTAATTTTTTTTTCTCCCGGGTCTGAAGTGACTCACAAGTACCATACCAAGCCACAAGGGCCTTAAAAAATTAAATTGGCCATGTTTAAAACCCCAGCATACACTGATGTAAAAACTACTTCTTCTCACAAATTGGTTTATCTGCGACTATGAACATAAAATCGATTGTATCAATTTCAGTGTAGACTGAAATCTATTGGATAAATTTTTATGGAGCAATTTCTTATGTACTAAACTATGTCTGATCAATAACGGAAATACAGAAACTTTCATGAAAGTTGGAAAAATTTCGAATATTTTGTAGATATGTGTGTCGCAGTTATTAAAAAAAAAAGGAAAAAAAAGAGAGAATTATCTCCAGCTAAAGTCAGATGTGATAATATTATTTTTTCTATTGTTACATTAAAGAAAAAAACTTTATTTTAATAAATGCATATTTATTGATTCATTGAATAAAAATGTCCTATATTTGAAAAAGACTTTTCTAATATTTGCATCTAATCAGAAGGCAAACTTTTGGTTTTCCATTGAAACACAATTTTAGACAAATTTTTTTAAATAAAAAAATTTTCAAGAATATTTATTCTAATTCTAATGAATAATTTAGGTACCAAGCTTCGAACTAGCTTTGATCATTCATTGTACCAAATGAATGCTCATGAAGTAACTTAATAAAAGTATCTATGAAATGAAATTTGATGCTGATTTGTTGAACATGTCCATTCTAAATAATTTTTTCAACAAATATTTTTAATTAATAGTAACTATCTCAAAAATTTCGATCAATGAATGTTGATTCAATTTTATCAATTTATTTTAATGATTGATAAAAATGAAAAAATTTTAATGAAATTTAATAATATTTAATGAGTTTCAAATATTCGCTAGTTTCATGTACACAAAGTTGAAAAAATAACGGATAAAGTGAACTAAAATCGTGTTTATTCACCATGTTTTATCAATAAATTTATCTGATCTTTCTTTTTTATTTGAATAAGTAAATATTTGTTTAACTGAAATAAGGTTTAACCTTTTTATTGTGAAGGCAAATCAACTGGTCTCGTTACCACAACTAGGGTTACTCACGCTACGCCAGCAGCTCTTTATGCCCATGCTTCAAGTCGCTACTGGGAGGATGATGCTAAAGTGCCTTCAGCAGCTCGAATATCATGCAAAGATATTGCACGACAACTTCTTGAAGATGAACCAGGGAAGAATATTAATGTAAATATATGTTTCCTTACCTTTTATTTCATTTATTTTATTTACCATTTTTTTCTTTATCCCAGTTTTTCACTGTTGACTAGGTTTTATTTCAAATTTTTTGCTTTTTTTCAGAATAAAAGTCTATATCTAAAAGAATATCATTATGCTGGAACTGATCGGTAACCTGTTATTACAATGGAATTATTTTTTATTTGAAATTTTGAAAAGCAAATTTTGTTTGCAAAACAATTACTTTATGCTGCACCTACAACACCTGTGTTGCCGTAATACATTTATCTTCTGCTACAACCACATATTAAATTTGATGCATCTCTCATTTTATGTGTATACACAAAGATAATATAACACATTTTTTGAATTTAAAATAAATAAAAAATCCTCTCTATTACATACAATGATAAAATCATACCTTTTTGATGCATCAGCATTTTTATTTTTTATTATTTATATAAATAAATCGAAGCCAAATTCCTGAAGATAGAATCATAATTTACATGTTCAACTTTAAATGCTATCTCGATGCTATTTAGATCATGTCAGAGGTTTTATCAGTGTATAATGTATAAAATCAAATACTTACATTCAGCTTCTTATCAAATGTCCATCTAGAAACCAACGTCTATCATGTCTAACTTAGAAGTCATGCTAAGTTGCTGTACAACTTATAAATTACGATAGTTCCTGAAAAAGACTTTGATAATGAATCATGCTATAATCATGGAGAATCTGAACTTTTAGCACAGCAAATATAATACCAGAAAATTCTTTGACGTATAAAACTTATAAGTTGATGGATTGTAGATATCTTAGTATTAGTTATAGAGTTAAATTCTAAATATACCTAAGTAATAAAAAATAAATGAAATATATTCCTCCAGGTAATCTTAGGAGGAGGTAGACGACATTTCGTCTCCAAAGTGACCCAAGATCCTGAAGAACCAGACAAAGAAGGCAGACGTCTGGACGGCAGGAATCTAATTACTGAGTGGACAAAATATCACCAGAGCTCTACGGCAAAGTATGTCTATTCCAAGGAACAATTTGATGAAGTGGATCCGTCGAGAGTCAACTATTTACTTGGTATGGAATAAAATACTAAGGTTTATATCAAAAAAATTTTTAATGTAAAACGATTCTATTTCCTGCTGTCAAACATACGTGTCATGCGTTATTGATCTCATCATTTCTTGAAGATTGAAGAGTTCTTATTTCGTTCTGTACCTCTTTTAGACTTGTCAAATGTGCTTTCATGGTACAAAGATATTTTACTCCTGCTGTCAAATAAACCAAAACTAGTTTGCAATGCAACAAATGCAAGTTCAATTAAATAAAACTGATCGATTTGGATAAATGTCAATATTACTTTTGTTATTGAAGATATCAAAAGAATTTCTATGTGGATTTGATTGGATTTAGGTTAAAGCAAGCACGCGTTTCTGATCTATTGTGACAATAAAGGTTTTTTTTTCTGTGAACAAATATCTAATCAAAGTAAATGTCAAAGATACTTGTGATACTTTTCATTGAGTTCACATTTAAGTTATTTCCATTCTTTTAAAATCATAATTTCAAATAATTTTTCTATTTTTCATTTGTAATAAAAAAATTCACTTTAATTAAATTATTGAACAGTTAATTAATGAAATAACTTGAAGGTATTTGTAATAACAAACTAAAAGTAATAATTTTGTAAAAGTAGTAGTTGGTATGAACGATAAAGGGAGAAGTGAGCTTGACAAGAGTACCAATTGCTACTCTCAGTTAAAGCTGAACATCACTTATTGGTTTTGAAAAAAAAAAGTTTCTACAATTTACAGTGACATTAAATTAAACTGACAAAATGTATTTTATATAAATAAATAATTCTGGTGAACAGAGATGTCATGTGGTTAGAAACACTATTTCAATCATAAACATAAAAATAACCTCTTTTTATTCCACTTCAAAACTTAAGTTAAATCTTTCAATAAAATTTAATTACAGTTTATACATTTTTATAACTATTGTTCATTCGAAAAAAAAAGTAAAAGAAAAGAGAGAATTGTTTGAAAAAAAATTTTAATTAACTCGTTTTATATAGACAGAAAGTTTACGTTGAGATAATTGTGGACTTTGGTGCACTGTAGTTAAAGCTTGTTAATTATTCCTAGTATTACATGTGGACGTTTTTTGCATCTAGAGTTGAATTTACACGTACTTATACATCAATCGGAATTTTATTTGCAGGTTTATTTGCCTACTCTCATATGGACTTCGACGTTGATCGTAACACATCAAGCAGTGGTGATCCATCTTTAACTGAAATGACGATCAAGGCATTACGAATACTGAAAAAAAACTCCAAGGGTTACTTCTTGTTTGTTGAAGGTAAACGTCACATCAAGTATTCAAGCAATCACCCACAGGAATAAAACAATTGTCAATGGAGATTGAAAAAGTTACAATGAAAATACATCGACTTCTTATACTTTCAAAGCTTCTTTGCAACTTTACGTACAATCATTTACTCTACTTCTTCTATGATTCCATCCAGTTGTTGTCAATTGTCCGATTAAATTTCCCTCTAAGCATTCTTGGCATGAATTGAATGTCCTTACAGTTACTTGACTGAGTTCGACACTTCTAAAGCTAAGATTTTCATCTATCTCTTTCTCATCTTTCTACTTCTATTCTTCATTTATCTCTACAACAAAACACACCTATTCTCTAACTTTCAATTCTCTCCATCAATTTATCGCGAAATAACTTCACTCTATTCATCAACTTCACCAATTTGTTTCTCTTACTCCAACATCTTCACTCACTTCTGTCAGTCATTAAAAGAGAAATAAAATATTTCATATGTTTTTCATCAATGCTTGAAATTAATTATCGTTATTTAATACAGCTAAACGTACATCTATGTTGATGAGAACCATGGGTTTTTAGATAAAATACATTCAATATGATTAAATAACAGTGCTAATCGATGATTAATAATAATCAGGAAGAGATTCTTACATCTTATATCTTGTGAAATCCCTGATCTAATAGGAATTTGCTGATAGCTTATTTTATATTTAGCAGAGTCTTTATTGATAAGCTTGATGAATGTCTCACGTTAAATTACTTTGATAAAATAAGCTCCTAGATCTTCGTAAATTCTAATAAAATAACTGTCATTAAGGTATTTACTTACATTAATTTGAAGATAAAATAAAAGTTGGATAAATTTTTTCAATAAAACAACTTGAATTATTTTGTTTTTTACTATCAATTAGTATCATGTTAAATCAATGATTTTTTTTCACTTCATGACAGACCAAATTATCGAATTTTATCAATAACTAGTAAAGCTAGTATTCAAATACTACAGGTCAATTAATTTCAAAAAGTTCAACAACACTTACATTACTAACTTCAATATCTATTGGTATTCAACATGGTTTTTCGAATTCGGTCGCATCATGAAACGAAAAAAAAAAATAAATGGCAATGTAATACTGAAGTAGAAAGAAAGTAGCTCAATTCCCAATTCGCCCAGTCAGTTATTCATTTTCGACATTGATTTGGTAAAAGTACCTCGACGTGACATAGATTTGATCTAATCTGATTACATTTTTGATCAAGTACTCTCCGATTCTGTCCTATCTCATCTAATATATATAAAAATTTTTTGAATATTCATTTTATCATTAATATTATTGATTGATTGATTTATTATTATTAAAGATCCAACAGTATGAACTTATTACAGGGTCATACAAGACATTCGGGCAGAGTAAAAATAAAAAAAAATATATCTATAAAAATGAAACAACAGGTGTCGGAGGTCATTGAGCAACAAATAACAATATAAAAAAATATTTAACAATGAAAAAAATAAAATATAAAATGGTAATACGAGTCCTGCATACCTTAATGAACACAAAAGAAAATAAGAAATACAATATGGTTGGCTCAAAGAGTACACGTGGAAAGATTACAAAGAACTGTAGTTAATAATTATATAAAAAAAGAAAAAAATGTTTAATATTGATCTTCAATTATAATATAACAATTATATAAATTTATAAATTTCGAATACTTAATCTCTCAGCGAAAAGAGCTATATAAATAATAAAGAAAGATGGGGAAAGTTTGAAAATTTGTAGGAGCTTGTTATCGAAAACATTTTAACGTTATCTTAGTACCATACAGAGTTTCAGTGACCTGCTAGAAGAAAATTTGGCTTGAATACAAGGTAAAAGTTTAGCTTAGAGTAAAGAGTAATACTCAAACTCTCTGAAAAGTTCTTTTTTTCATACACTAAAGCCCAGTAAAAGTCATGATAATAAGCCTGTCCTGAAAAAGCTCTTTTTCTTTCAGTCAATAAAAAATTTGTAGCAATTTTAATGGTGACTTTATTTAATGTTAGTACTAATAACTGCTCAACTTGACAAGCTCATATTAACCAGTTAATTTCAATACATGATTACTTGCTATGTTTGAAATTTCTTTCCAGACTTTTAAAAATCAAAAAGCAACTAATTATATTTTTCATTAATTTTGTAATTAGATCAAATTAATTAAAGTGTATAAAACATTTAAGTCAATCAAAATTTGTTTTTATGTTCAAATGATAAACTGATTATGTCTAATATTGCTTATAGAATGAATTATGTATCACATTGTTAATAATTAATCAATGGGAATAAAAAAATACAATTCATTATTTTATCACTTGAAATATTATTGATGAACAAGCAACTCTAAAAAAAATTAAAGAATTATTCATAAAAAATGATCTCTTCCTGGATATTGAAACATGAGTGAGAGTTTTTCAATGTAAAAATTTTTTTTTTATTCTATGCAACTAATATACATGCATGAATGAATTATTAATTTAAACAGATATGCAAATGAAGTCATTTTTCTAATAAAAAACTTAAAAGATAAAAAATCAAGTTGAATATTAATTTGAATATTTCCATAAATAATACTCAAATTATCTTCATATTCATTATATCACTGTATTAATCAATTGAATAATGCATGCAATAAATTGAACTATTGATTAAAAAATGAATAGTACAAAATTATGAATGAAAATAAAAAAAGAATGTTGACTTAGCAAGCCATCATATTGAAATTGATCATAATTTATAGGTCTATGGTCTATAAATAAATAAGTAAGCAATTCTTTGATCATTTCAGGGGGAAGAATAGACCATGCGCATCATTATAATAACGCTTACAGAGCGTTAGATGAGACGTTGGCAATGGAGGAGGCAGTACGAGCAGTCATGGATGAAGTTGACCTTTCAGAGACGCTTCTAATAGTTACGGCTGACCACTCCCACGTATTGACTCTTGGTGGTCTAGCTACAATCCGGGGTAACCCAATCTTCGGTCAGCATCTCTTATTCTCTTTACTCTTGTGATTCTCCTTCAGCACAGCTCGTATACGTTTGCCATTTCGCGATTCACTAAAGTTCAATCTTATCCTCAGTGTCGTAACGCTTATCCCAATGTCTTATTGTATAACGACTACGAGCGTAGGATTTTGATAATATCTAGAAGAAAAGCTGGCCAGAATATCTGACCAACTTATGATAATATTTTCCTATAACTATTAGGAAGTGATCAAATTGAAATATTATTTTTATCTACACCACTGATAGAATGTTTGCTACTTTTTTTTTACCTTTTTATTTTTAAATTTTGCTTTTTCCTTTCCTCATGTAATGCTTTTTCTTTATTCAGAGCTTTAAAAATTTTATGGTAGATTTTAGATTGAGAAAACGAGTGAGGATCTCGCTTATTCCCTGGTGAAATTGTCGGAATCCGATAAGAAAGACGCGAGGTTCCACCGTATGCATCTGCATAAATCTACATGAATATCCAACGTTTAAAGGTTTTAGAGCATTCGTAGCAAGAGGATTGAAAATTCTGTTCGGTCAAGTCATGTCTCTGTGGTCTAACGAACGAATTGTTGCATTTCCTTAAGTTGAATATTTCTTATTCAGCATTCTCTATGGAAAAATTTCATAAAGTCTAGAAAATGTTGGTTCTTTGTATTGACTAGTACCATGATGACCTAAATTGTTTGTTACTGTTTCAAGTTAAAAGAGCAATCCTTCATATTTGGACTGATTTAACAATATAGCTAATTTTGTAGAGTGATAACTGTTAAGGTTAATGTGGAAGGTGAAGGAATAGTTGAATAAAGCGTTAAATAAACTTTAGATTACACATGGAACATTAACAAGTAGAATATAATGATTAATAGAAAAATGGAAATTACAGTTATTCAATAGAACGATCGCTAACCAACAGCTCTCTTGTTTACAAACCGACTTTATCTTTCAGACTGATTCATTACAAAACTGTTGAGTTACTCTAAGGACGACCTAATTACTCATACATCAAAAATAACATTAAATATATTATTGATTTCATCTGATTATAGTTTGAAGTAGTTTATTATCACTCAAAGGTTCATTTTAATTTCACCAAGATATTAATTCGTGGATTATAAAATATTTTTTTTACAATTCAAATAACTTATTAATTATCAAGAACTTTAAAATATACAATAAGCTGATAGCTGCAATGAAATATTAAATTTAAATTTGTTTAATCTCATTAACTACAGAAATAATTTAATTTAGTTAAACTAGTACAATGAAAATGTACATAATTGCATTTATATATGCAATAAAAATTAATTTACATTGTTCCATGTCCGAGAATCAGCAGAAAAAATTAAAATTTCAGGTCATCTAGTTATATTAGATGATAGCTCTCAAAGCATCAAGATCCATGTAATTAATCACAATCAGAACTCTAGGACTGAAACCATTATGAAAAGGACTCGATGTGAATTATACAGTGACTAATTGCGTCCAAAGTACTGATCAGAAATTAAGATTGAGTACAATCAGATTCGATACATTCAGATTTAGTGAAGCAATGAACATCCTCGTTTCTCCATATTGAATTACATTCTAAAAAAGATAGTGACATTTATGACATAATTAAAGTAGTAAATTTCTATCAGAGAGACTGGAAAATGAATGTTTATTTCTTGAATGAAATGAGATTTAGAATATATTTAAAAAGTTGTTTTGTATATTCATGTCATTAATGATTGAATCTATTGTTTATGAATGAAATGAGAATAATTGTACCTTTGTAGGATGTTGACATTAAATACATTTACTAAGCTTCTGGTTATATTGTAAATTCACTTCCAACATAAAATCAAGGTAATTTGTATTCATTTGTTTGGAAATGTTTTTATAAAACTATCTACATAATAAGGGACTTGAAAATATAACATCTGTTTTCACAATGGAAAACATTTAATGAACCCAGAGAACATTTTCCTTCATATCTAATCGGATATTTTCTGTGGAGCTTAATAAATTCACATACTTGCTCACTTTAGCATCAAAAGGCAGGATAGGATATAAAGTAAAGAATGCAGTAAAGTTAGAAAGGGAGTTTACTTGAAATAATGGATGTTGGATTTCTAGAGAATGGCTAACGTTAGTGGGCAGTGGGTCAAGCTGAAAGGATGCGAGATTAACGATAGGAGAAGGCGAAAAGAGAGAAATGGAAGAGTAAGTTTTGAAAGTGGTCTAAGCAAACCTGGAAGCTTCATGTCTTGTGGCATCTTCTGGAGCCGGTAAATTACATTTAGCAAGACTGCGCGCGTTCAATGGATGTAAGAGCACGTGAAGCCGCTTACTTGCTGAAAATTAACTTGGTCACCAGTCGAGGATACTTGAAAACTTGGTCGTGTTGCCCACCGGGATTGGTCTGGTGAATTTACTTGGTCAACATTGTTCAATGTGAAATTTCCGAGATAGAGCTTTTAATTGAACGAGTAATTAAGAGGAAACGAAGTAAAAAAAGCATTTGCAAAAAATAAAATGAAATGAACAGACTGGAAATCTAATGCTTTTAAGTATCTTAGCTCAAAGTGATGATTTTTGGAGTAAGAAGACTAATTGGGAGATTATAATTAGTTATCATGAATTACTTGGATGGTGAATGACTGAAGATATTCAATAGTTGGAAAACAAGTTATCATGGAGATCAACAAAATTTATAGTTTTTAACTTATTCAATATAGACTTACTTCTGCTAGGTCAAAAAGATAGGTTTACTTTTATAGAAGTTGCAAATAAAATATTGCCAAAAGGATTATTGAAAATTTTTCAAATTTTAAATTGTGCAAATACACTGAATAAATATTAACACAAATCTCTGAAAATTTTGAATGATTCTTGATAGATATCTGAACTGTATTTAAGTGTCTATGAGCATAGTAACTAAAATTCTATCAAAACATATTATGACTCAATTTAATTTGAAGTTATCATTCATTTGAAGAGCTCATCTGATCATAAAAATGGTTAATTTTGTCAAACATTACAATATTTTATATCACATTGGAATAATGATATCAAATAGCATTCAGAATAATATATAAAAGTTCTCTTAAAATGAACCAAGCATATAATTTGAATAAATAAATGATAATATTCACCCTCACAAGTAGTTGATTTGAAAAATAAATACAAATTTGTAATGAATGAGTACAACTTATAACAGAAATAATTGATCACGACCATTGAAATTCATATGCATAAAATTTCAGTTTATGTAAATTAATTTTGCTAAAACATTGGAAGTGCATGATATTCTATCATGATTAATACAAAATAACTTATTTAAAATGAAATAATTACAAATAATGGATTAAGAATGTATTTCAAGAAATAACACCAGATCTTTTAGGAAATAAATAGGCCAATTCGTAGAAGAGTGTTGATAAGGTATCAAAATCACGATAGGATGGAATCAAATACAATCTCACACAAGAGGATAAAAGGCACACTGCTCGAATAAAACATGGTCCAGTTGGATTTACACCAAATAGATGTTCTATCTGATTCCTGGTGAGATGAGATTTTGATATTGAATATAAGAACGTAAACTGGACAGAGTTAAAGTGATGTTGGACATGTCTGTTTAATAAAGGAAGAATATTTAATAAAAACAAAGGTAAATAAGCAATCGAGTCAAAATTATCTATCATTGTCGAATACTTCTAAAAAAATCATTGATCTTTTTTAAAAAAAAAATCTCCAACTAAAGATTTACCCAGAGGTAATTTCTCCTTTCAAAATGATTATCTTCTTTTAATTGCTTTTTGTCTCACAGCAAGAAAGAAAAAAACCACTGTAATGCCAAGCGGAATGTGAAGAGGGTTCACCACGGACAGGAAACTTGAGCAACTCTATTGTCCCATGTGACCTACGTCTTCTCACTTGCCTGGTGGAATCTCTGCCGTGCTATATACATATAAATTCCCACATTCTAAACAAGAAGACCATTTTCATATCAACAGCCAATGTTCAATAGAAAATATCCTCCAAAATCACCTCTTTCACTTACGTGATGTGCCAGACAAATCGTCTGATCACATATGGTTGGATTTATTTCCGTTGGTGACCAAATGGAATATCAATAGTATAAATACCATTGAACGATAGTTGAATTAGATTTTGGTAAATCAGTATCTCACCTAGCATGCGCTATTCTACCAAAGGCTTTGATAGAGCTCATAGGCGGATCGCGTGATACAGAGTGAGCACGATTATCCGTCAAATTGGCGGATTACGAGTGAGTTGAGAGGATCGTTGAGATTTTGATACAAACACGAATACCCTGGAGCTTCACTGAAATCCCTCTGCAACTTGATGAACCTTTATGCTCATCTTTTCTTACTTTTGCATGAACAAAAACATCATGTAAAAAGTCTACTGATTATCGTGCTCAATAACGAGAGTAATTTTTATATAAATACTTTTTCAAGTGTGAAATGGATTTAAAATAGACATCAATGCTATCAGGAAATATAAAAAGATTTCGTTGAAAAATGTATCATATTTTAGTTTAGGCTTTTTTTGTTAAAAAAAAAAGCTGTACAATGTTGAGTGAACAATCAGAATAGTTTGAAATTATATAAATATTAAATGAGAAATTGATGACTTGAAATCTGAAAATAATGTTGAAAATATGGCAGATATCTATTTAAAAGCTCCATGTCAGAATGGGAAACATTATTATTCATGTCATTTGTATTCGCAGAATGAATTACTGGTTTATATGATGAATAAAATTTTTATAATTGAACGTTATTGAAGATGATTTATAATAAATTGAACAGTTTTTTATTATATTATGTCTTGATGTATTAAATATAATATTGGAAATAATGAAGATTCTATTAGTCATTTAATCGAATTGAAAGGAAGACCAAGCATAATTGAATGATATTTCTATTATTATTATTCATTAAATCGTTGAGATAATGAAAAATATTTTTGTATATTTTGAATGATAATGTATCTCTAGTATTGTGTATAGAAAATAATAACACAGAATAATAATGGTTGGATTTTACTAACAAAAGATTATAGAATTTTATACTAGCTATTTTAAATAAAAATCAATTAATGAAGTAACTATAATGCACTTTCCCAGGCGATTTTTGTCTCAGCGAGAGAGAGAGAGAGAGAGAGAGAGAGAGCGTAACTTTTCCAACCTTAAAACAAACAACAAATTTTAATTTACACCCAGATCGAAATATTGTATTTTTCTCCCTCGTTTAACAATCTACTATTTTCAATGAATTAATTATAATACTTTTCTAAATATCTCCTTTCAATTCGTGAAATCTGAAAGAAAATAAAGAAATTTATAAATGAATAATAACCAGTATATGAAAAAAGGAAAAAAATAATAAATCATCGAAGTAATAAAACAGTACACAATACACTTGCGTAAACGAACTGTTAAATTATGCATTGTTAAAAAGAGCTAGACAGCTTGGCAACAATTGTACCTAGAAGGTAGAAATAGATGCATGTGACTATAAGAGAGTATGAGAAAACAGTCGACACCTGAATAAAACATCGGCATCTCCATTTCTCTGACGTGGAACCCCATTCTTTTGCATTCTCTGCCACAACATCCGTGTCATTTCATTCGCTTACTCCTTTTCATTCCATCCCTTTCTGTGCTTTTTTTTTCTTCAAGTTGTTTAATTCTCTCGCCAACACTTGTTTATGTCTGCAAGAATTTCTCTTCTTTTTTCCTTATAGATCTTAGTCGAGTGATTGCATTTGTAATAATTATCGCAATTCTCATTTACTTTGAATATCTTATTTATGCTAATAACCTAATACCAACGTTCCTTAGTATTCTGTCATCATCGTCTGCAAAACTTTATTTATTTCTAGCTTTTATGAAGAATTTTCTAATTAATTTATTTAAATTTTAAGATATAGCTTTATTTTTGTTAACCATGTGTTCTTTTGTTCATAAAGAAATATATTTACGATTAATTATTCTTATAATAGAATTTTTATAATTTTTTGAAAATATTGCATTACCTTACATTTTAAATTTGATGAATTCCTTGATGATGATATTTTGAATAAAACAATATTGATATGACTATTGGATTATTTTTTATATTGATCTGTACTCAAATATGTGTAGTTTAATCCTTCAATAACAATAGAAAATCGGAAAAAAATGAGAATTAAAAATTTTTGATTGAAGGAACTTGAAAAATTATTTCATGATTTGTCTATTGTTTAAACAAAACAAAACATTTACAATTAACTAATGGTAGAATATATATTCTCCTATTTATGAATTTCGACGAACATATGAAGTTAGTCAATAATCGATATATATCGAAAAAGTGAGTGATTTTTTCCTTATTGGTTAAAATATTTAAATTATCATCTAATCATCAGCGCGTACTTTATCATTCACTTTTTGATATATTTCGATTATTGGCTAACTTCATTTATTCATGTAAAGTAATAAATAGGATTTCTATTATTGATTACCTTTATTTGCTAATCTAGATTCGTAAATAGGATTACATAAAAATAATACTGCAAAATATATTATAAAAAGTTGTTATTCAATGAAAAATAATAGAACAACAGAATAAAATAAATCGGCGTCATTTTGTTTGATATTCTCATTGAATTTGTCTGGTTGTGTAGGATCCGACAGCAAAAAGTCAGACGTGGATGGAAAACCATATACGACTCTGTTGTATAGCAATGGCCCAGGTCACACGGAGCCACGATCTGTCATGCGAGAAGCTGGAAAGGATTCCATTCAGGTAAATAGACATTCCAGTCTCTCTATCGATTCATTAAAATATACCAGGCACGATAATCCTATTTTAAATGACCCAAATAAATTCCGTAAAGCCGGAAAATCCACAATAAACCTGACTTAGAAGTTCTGACTTAAATTGAATCCTTTACAGACTGCAGGGGTGCCGAGAACTTGGGCAACACATGGTGGTGAAGATGTTCCAGTATTTGCAATTGGTCCACTAGCAAGTGTTTTATTCTCTGGAAGTTTTGATCAAAGCTACATTCCTCATGCTATTGCTTACGCTGCATGCTTTGGACGGTATGCAAATCGATGCTCTTTCGACCTCAATCTCACGATTAACGAGACTATAGTCGCGCCAATAAGTTGCCCATCAGCTGAACCCAACAGTGCTGCTATATCGAGCGATGTGATGAATGATCAAGCAAGAAATCCACCCTTAAAACCAAATAACTGCTCCATCGTTTCTTCTCTCTCAATTCTTCTCCTCTTTCTTCTTATCTCGCTAAGCTTCTCCTCAGGGAGTTAATATCTAAGAGATGTAGATATTTTGCCTCATTCTCCTACAGAATTGATATCTTCAGAGCCATGGGATTCGATAAAGTTTCAGGAGCTCATGCGAGATATTTGTATAAAGTATTTTAGACAAGTGATAAATAAAATTTCTCAAGAAATAATAAATGGTTACGAAAAATCTCTTCAAGTGTCGACAGAAAATTTGGCAGATCACAGCCGTTGAAAAATTTGAAGCTAAAGTTTGCGGATATAACTTACGATAAATCGGACTTGTTATTACTTGAAGGAAATACCTTGCTTCAACTCCAAAGACTGAGTTCAATATTCCAGTTATTCGTGCTTCTGTCGACTCAAGGTCTTGGAATGTGAACTTTGATAGTGGTGCATAAAGACTATTGATAGTGAAGAATCTTTGGTTAACATTGTCAGTGTGAAAATCTCTCACAATTGTGATATGGGATTTCATTTTATCTATGAAAAGAAAATTGAGGGAATTGTTTCAACTATTTCAAAAATTGAAAATTTGTGTAAATTATTATCTAATGCATTTTTCATGTTGAAAACAGTCTAGAAAGTATTGTTATTATTTATTTATTCAATAAATTCTATCAATAATGATAAAAAAAATAACTTTTATCTACAAATTTACTTTATTTTTTTATTTAAAAAGTTTTTGATTAATTAAAATATTTATTGTGATTTTTTATTTATTTAATTAGTTAAAAATAATTGAAAATAAAATAGACTATTTTCAACATTATTGCAAAAAAATGGAACTGTACTAGATAAGAAATAGAAAGATATTAAACTAAAGTTTTGCACTTACATACTACACTCACAACCATTTATTTTGTAATTCACCTAAATAGAAGCATGAATATTGATTTCAATTAATGGTATGTTGTGAGATGATGAAGAAATTCACTCAAAAATATTTGATAACTAAGTTCGATATATGATTGATCACACACGATTAATGCAAACGATTAAAAGAAAGTAATTGAATATGATTTAAGAATCAGAAATGTCATATTTGATGACTTTCGTTTAATTTATTTATATGTGTAAATAATACGAACAAGAGGAATTATTGTGAATGGAATTTATTATATTATTATATAGATCTATATAAATATATATAAATGTAAACTATCGTTTCATAAAAAAATAAAATGTCGAATATTGAAACTTGTTTTGATTTTTTAATACAAAAGAAAATCGAATAGGACATTTTTGGTAAATGTCTAGTATTGATTGTCCAATTTAGAAGAAATCCATGATGATATGAATGGGAACTTGACATAACAAGACACAAGTTGAATTTTTTGATGTCATCACAAAGGAGCAAGGTACCAGTTAACTTATGGTCTTTACACAGCCAGATGGAATGAAGAATTATTTCACGATTATTGCACTTACACTATTCATCTTTGTTTTCCGATATAAATAAATATTACTAACTAAAAAAATGTTCTCAAAGAAAATTAAATAAAAATAATTGGAGCTTATTTTTAACGTTAAACAGGTTATTTTTTTGGCATCTATTTATTCCTTGTTTTAGCTGATTTCTTTCAACATGCGAAGGAAACTTTGAACATGTACTAAAAGTGCAGCAAATAGAATTGGGTTTCAATGCATGAATAAAACAGCTTTTTGTTTATGAAAAATTCATCGACAACATTTTAACAAATGTTTTATACTATTTTAAATTTTAACATGTATTTATAAAATATATTTATTTAATTATAAATATCTTATAATTTTTTTTCAACCATTTAAATAATTTAATTACTTACTTGTAATCTTTAGAAATGATGAATAAAATATTTTTGCATCATTAACTAGTTATGAATTTAATCTTCGATCGTTACGTATTTAACTTTCAGCTGATTACTTCTTGGAAGTTTATTGTTTACTACCAAGAAAGTTATCTATGTAGACAGTTTACTTGGCGGGAATTTGCGAGAATCTCGAGAAACCACGGAAATTGTACAGTCTTAGTGAAGACAATCAATTTAATTTGACGCCATTTAAAATCTTTTCCGGAATTCATATCCAGGAACTTAGTAAATTAAATTTGAGGCGCATGATCAGACAAATTAAATTTACTTCAATATCCGCAGAACAAAGAAAGGGAAGCCGCAGAGTTGGTAGAAAAAGTTTCACGTGCTAGCCAAGCAAATACAAGGTTGCAAACGTGCGAGAATTGTTTCTAACCTAGAAAGAACATCTCTGACTTGATAAGTAAAATCGTCAAGGTCTTCCGAGATTATAAATTAATTTCTTTTTCATTTGGTTCAAGAATAACTCATGAATTTATTTAAATTTGTTGACTCAATCTAAAAACCAATCTCGTATTCAAATATCCTTATATTTAGCTTTGTTCACTATTTCTTTCGACTATTGGCTAACTTCATATGTCCATCCAAATTCATAAATAGGATTTAACAATTAAAATGCTTATCAATGTTAAGAAGTACGTGTTTTTTTATATGTCTACACTAGGAATCCGGGAAAATTAAGGTGTTTAGTAATAAAACGCTTAAAGTGTTTACAATGTTGAATACCATAAACAAACTAGAGTATTTTGGTCAACGGAAAGAATCGTTCAAAATTCGTCAACAAAATTGCTATAGTTTGTTTATGCCATTTAACAATGTAAACACTTTAAGTGTTCAATTTCTAAACACTTGAATTTGCAGTGTTTTTTTTTTTTATTTGGGATACTAGAAATTGAAATGATTAAACAACCGAGCTTTTAGGACACTACTCAAGCAGATAAGAATCAATTCAATGAAATGCAGAGGATGAAGAATAAGAAATCTCGAGTTTTTGGAATAAGTATAAAAAGTTTGTAAGAATGCGAAATTCTGATGAATTAAAGATTTAATAAGAAAACATAAGTGGAAAGAAAAAAGTTGTCTACGGGAAAACATTTTTGTTCACAGCTTTTTAACTGACTATTGATGAATTTAGAATAATAAGTTGATAAAATAAATAAACAAATTGATATATCATTTTACGAAAGTTTTAAGAGTTTAATAATAATACTACACTTAAAGTATTTAGTAATAAAGAAACATTAAAGTGTTTAAATGCTAAACGCATTTGGATTTGTAGTTTCATGATAAGTATTTGGCGCAATTGCATGATGACTTTTATGCAATATTTCCTAGCTTTTGTACTAGACAGTCAATTGGTACTAGAAAATACGCTTAAGCTCTTTCTTTGAAAGTATTTTGATACTTCAAAAGGATCTGGAAGTGACAGAGAAATTTCATTTTCAATCAATTGGAACGCACACGGTATTTCTGACAACTTTGTTGCAACAATTCAAAAGTCAATTAAATATTTGTTGTCAGTTATTTTTATCAATCATTATTTCTTATGTATGAAAACCATCTTTATATTCAATTAATAAAATTTTTCAAACATTAAAGTACGAAGTGTCTGACCAAACACTGGGGTTTCTACTTGATTTTGTTCCGGTACATTGATTTTCGCTCGATCGTGTCAGATCACTCATTATCCATTTATTCTATTCTTATCAATATAATTATAAAGGTATGTTTTATTATTAAAAGCATTAAATAAAAAATTTCACTCAATAATTTAAAATAACTTCTGAGTATTTTTTTTAGTCTAAAAGGACTAAGTGCGATGAAAATTGATGAGGATTTGGAAGTGGCGAAAAAGAGAAAAAAGAAAATCTCTTGAAAATTGGCAGGCAAGAGAATCGTTTGGACGCGAAAATCCTAGTAGCAAAGAAAGAGAACTCGATCCCGCGAAGGACATGACTCGACAGCTACTGTTGAACGAAGAAAAATCGATAGATGTTTGAGACAAAACGAACATCTTTCAAAAGACAGTGTTCAAAGTACTCTTGGCAGTATTATCAAAGTGAATCTAGTCTTCATAGAACTCATTACTCAATAAAGATTTATATCTCAACCTGCATACATTATTTATTTATCAATACCTTCATTATAGGAAATCGATAAGAAAATAGAAATAATAATACATTTGAATTTGTACTACACTTCAACATTTTTGTTAATTAAAAAAAAATTTTTATATTCAATTTACTATAAAAACATTTCTGTTCAGCTGGATTTCATCGACTTCTAGGTGTCATCTTATCTTAAAATTGAGAAGACTTATGAATTGTTGATGATGATATTCAATATTATGATGTTTAATGTCAATTGATAGAAAATGATTAAATCTTCCTTTTCCAAGGATATTTTAATAACTTTGTTATTTTGTGAACGAGAATAAAATGAATTGTAATTACTGAAAATAATTACTCTAGTAATTGTTATTATCTCAGAATGAGTTATTCTAATCAACGAATTGGTAAAGCCATATACAATACTAACAATAGTTAATCCTCCAGGTGGTACTGAATCATTAGAACCAGACTCCGAAAGGATAAGCCCAACTAGATCAGAGAGCATGAATTTCTAAATAAATGTCAGAAGCAAACGTTATTGTAATCTTTTTACTTCCATTGTACCTCCAACTATGTATTTATGTTATCTTAAATATTATTTCAAAAAGCTTAAACTCTTTGGGACTAAATCAGATTATGGTTGATAGTTTAAGTTTAGAAAAACTCAATATTCTTTAGATTAGTTTAGAGTAAATGCAGTTTCTTGCTCAATTTGACCTTATTGTATTTGACTTGACCTAATCATTCTTATAAATGAACTCAATCTGATGAAATTAGATCTAACAGAATTAAATATAGTCTCTCTAAAGTAGGTTTAAAGTGTCTGGATTACATCAAGCTGACATCAAAACTAGAAACCTAAAGATATTAATATATTTGGTTCTAGATAAATCTAACCAATTTTTCCTGAATAATACAAACTTGAACTCTGGACACTGATGCAACATTGATAGTTTATGCTTCTGAACGATATATTCTGATGCTACTAAAACCTCTTGAATATTTCAAGATATTTCTAAGAGTAGACCTTGGTCAACTTCCAGATGTATCTCCACATTTGGTCATTTATGAATTATTGACCATTTATAAGCCAAATTTTTCTACTAATAGACTTGGTTGAATATATTTTAAATATAGATGATAAACGTGTGTAAGATTTTAGTTAGACTTGAATAAGATCATCATCAGAACAAAAGTTGAGTTATTAAATCAACAAATTGAAAATAAAAACCTAGATAAAATGAAGTTTTCTAGTTTACTTCCAAGTTTTTATTTCTTGTTTTTCAAAAATACAGCGTTTTGTTTCTATTTTTAACTTATTATGGAATGGATGTAAAAAAAAATATCTCTTGTGTAGAATAAACTGAAAACTGAAATTCAATATTAAAAATGGAAATCAATTTGATTTGAAAAAAAATTATTTGACAAACGTGAATTTTTTTTTGTTCTTTATTTTATATTTTTTAAAAATTAGAATTAAAATTTTTATTTCTAACAAAAGATTCAAATTGTTATTAGTTTAATGATGAAATATTATATATTGCAATATTATATTATTGAATACATATTAACCCAATATTTAAAAAAAGAAGTTGAATTTTTAAAAAAAACTGTCCTTTTTCCGCTTCATTTATAGAATAATTAAACATTAATTATAATTGTACAGCGTGATTAGAGATAATTAAGAGTAAATGTGTAGTATTCCTAAGACAAAATGACGATTGTTTAGTTGCTCTGAAAATAAATTCTTGTATCACAAAATTCAATTATATTTCAATATAATAATTAAATTTGTAACATAATTGACTTGGATTATTTAGAGAGTGGGGATGTGATTAACTTGTGTTGTTAAAGAGTCAATAACAGTTTAAAATCAGTCAGTCATCAATTGAAACATTTTAAATGATATCACCATTGATTCATTATTTCCTTTTATGCCTTCATACTCATATAATTGATGATAACTTTTTTCATTCAATAATCAATTCATTTAAACCCAATTTTCTGCTGTTGATGAAACTGATTTAATTAAATTTGCATATTAATCATAAAAAATTACAAAAAAAAATAAATAAATAAATTTCAAATTAATTAAATTCTAATTTGATGCCAATAACAAATTAAATTGAAACATGTGCGCTAAAGAAATTCAAGTTGGTCCAAAATATTTATATGGTAGTAATGAAATCACTTTATTCTGTTACTATGAACACTTAAATATTGATGAATTCATAAAAGTGGATAGAGATGGAAAAATAATTTGTATTCAGGTGCTCAAATTCTTGACTGATTTATAACATACAATCCTCACTTACAAGAGGGGTACCAAGGTTATGACTCATGGAATCTAACATATGCAGATACGCTATTTGGATAAACGAAAAGTGAAGATGATTCTTTGATATGCGTATATATTGTAGTACTACACTACATTTCCGAAAAGTATTCCAACTTCTTTTACTCCCAAAAATAACGTTAATGATTTAAATTTTCTTGAGGATGAAAACGAATGGTGCTTTGCTGCTTTAGGTATGCATTGAAGAGGCCATCTCCTATACAGCATCAGTAAAATTGAACGAAATCCATGAGTCACAACCTTGGTACTCCCCTTGTTAGTAAAAATTCTTCTTTGATGAAATAGATATAGGTGTATTAAGTACTAGTTTTTTCTAAAAATGATGTCACGATTTAGTAATGCATATATTAAGGGCAATTTGCCACATCGTGTAAGAGATAACATATAAAGTTGGGTAACAAGGTTTTTATATATTGTATAACGATACTAATCATTTTTGTCACATAAATTTTATGATAGAGTAATTCATTTTGTTGAGCTGGCAATTTTTAACTGGCAGCAAAAAAGAAAAAGAAGAAAATCTTTAAAATATATTTTTCTTAACCTTTATATCTTTACATCCCATTGATCAACCCACTTTATTGATCTTATATAGTATATTTACAATAGTAGAATTTATAAACTTTGTGTATTTAAATTTAATTAAATTTTATTTATTTTTTTTTCTTAAAATTTACTTACAGTAATATTAATAATTTATTTAAGTATCTATTAACCTCCCACGTTTCTATATAACTGAAAACCCGTTTCTAGGCATTACGATTATTATAATTGAAAATGATTTACTCAATTAATTAATTTCAAAAATTTTTATATTTTTATTTGACTGTTTTTTTTTTTTTTTTCATTTATTTTAAAACTTTTTTAATATTTATTTTAATTATATCATTAAAATCACTTTTATATCGCAAGATATAAACTCGCGCGTACACAATTGTACTCAATTGACGACGGAACTGCTTATACATACGAAAGAAAAAAAATTTTTTAAAAGAGAGAGAAAGCAGTCTCACGAATTAAAAACGCGTCTGGCAAGAGTAGAGTAGACATTTACAAAGATAAACGAGAAAGAATGGAGAATTAAGAAATGAAGAAAAATGAGTAAATAAAGTTAAGAGTTAAGACGAAGACCTAGGACAATCGAATAGAAGATCATTTAGGAGTTAAATAAAAAACTTCAAGAATGGAGAAGAAGAAGAAAATTATTTTAGTAGAAAGATTTACTGATACGTAAGCATGCAAACGTATGCAGTCTATTAAAGATCAAAAGATAAAAAAGATAAATAGGATTTGAAAATAGAGTAGAGAGTTAATCGACATGAATGGAACATTTTTATCAACAATATATTATTAAATATAGTCTTGAAACCAATTTTTATAATATCTGATGTTTTGTATATAGTCAAACTCTGCTAATTTTTAATTTCATAATTTTGACTTCTTGTATATTAAATGTTAATATACTCTAGTTTAGTCCATATGTTAGCAGAGGATGTCATAATTTGACTCTTAGAAAAAGTTGCCCCAAGACATAAAAATTAGAAGAGTTTGACTGTATCAATAATCAAAAATGTCCATTGCATATGCCAATTGATGATATGGTCTGAAGTAAATGAGTATCGATAATACACCAATTCATGTCACTGTGAAAAGTTAGCGAAGCAAAGCATTGGAATAATGTCTAAAGATCCATGTTTGTCTTAAAATGTGGATAGTAGACAGAATTGTCAATGGTTATAATGTGTTATTTAGCAAGAAATAAACTCCTTCAAGATCACTTGAATGTAATCAATAGATGATCGAAGAGGAGTTTGAACTAGAAATTGAGGACTGATTCTCTTTTGAGAAGAAATAGCCTCATTGATCATAAGCACACACTCAAAGATTGAAGTTGAACCACAGGACAGGAAGTAGATGTCAAAATGTTTGAGTAAGAGAAGTGGGTATGTGGTAGAGAAGCAGTAGAGAGTAGCAGAGCCTCCAAGTGCTTGATCTATTAAAGTGCTCAAGTTATTGCGCTGGCCAGAGGATCAGTCACACACAAGCTTGCTGTCATTTGCAGTGGTTGGCTTGTTGCTTTTTGTTTTAATAGCTTAAGCAGAATTGGTTTGTGGCGGCTTTTGACAGGGCTCAAGTTGATGAGCTGACTTTAGGCCCAGTTGTCATTAACCACCAAGAAAGCTGTAACAAAATAACAAGAGGGACAATTTCATTAGTTTAGGCAGTTCCTTCATTACTGTGTCGCGCGATTATCGATTGTCTTCATCAATTTTTCTCCATTGTTTGTTTGGTTTTTTTTTTATTCTCTGTTGCTTAATAAATTTATCTAATCTCAATAATTCGATGTCTTTCATTTGAGTTTTTCACTTTGAAACCGACTACCCTCATAATTTACTACACAATTGGCACTTCCTAGAGTCCCTGGCCAATCGCACCGCATTCTTCGAGTCTTCAGATTAACGAGAAACGACATGTTATCTACTTTTCAATCCACACCCACACTTTTCACTCAATCTCGCACTTCCTTTTCACGTGCTGCTCCTGAGGGACATCCAGAACAAGGTAATCGCTCACAAACATTCCTTTTGCTTTTTTCACGTATTTTATTGTATTTATTTTTTTTTTTAACTTTATTTTTTGTCAACATTCTCGCACTTTCTCTCCCTCTCTTTCATTTCTTCTTCATTCTCTCACTCTCTCCCCGGTGTTTCGCTTCGTTTATTTTTACATTTCGTGATTTCCACCGGCTCGCCTTCCAGTTGTATATATCGTGGACAATTTATTTTTTTTCTCTCGCTCTCTTATTCTCTCGTTACTGATTTTGTGTATCGTTTATCTCTCTCGCTCTCTCGCAAATCCTCTCGTGCTATCATCACCTCCACTTTACTTCGTCGGCGTCACTGGAGGGGCCACTGCAAGCACATTTTGACATTTCGTTATACATTTATTTTTTAATGTTATTTTGATTATTTATCTACTGAAAATATCATTTATTTATCAGTTAAAAGAAACTGTCAATACTTTATTCGAATAATTATTCATAAATTTAATTGATTTAAAAATAAAAATAAGTTATTTACTTATTTATCTTCATTAACTAAACTGAAAAATTGTAAATATAATAATATTATAATTTAAAAGATTATTAGCAAGCAAATAACACTAGCTGTTCATTAAATTAAATTAAAAACAGATAAATAATTATCTGTTATAAAATATGAAATAAATTCAGTGTCTAATAATTGTCAAGAATACTTTCTATGATATAAAGAAAATCCTAAAAGCTGTTAAATATACAAACCAAGAGGCAAAGAAATATTTTATGTTAGTACGCCTCGCGTGAAGCTCACACACCCCAGAAAACTCCTGGGAAACGCGTCAAGCGTGGAATGCTTTTTCTTAAAGATAAAATATCTTCCTCATATGGAATGTTTCCGCTTAAAAACAAATGCTTTCATAGAGTCCCCTGATCATCAAACAAACTTTTTCTTCTTATGTAACAACTATTTTCTTCAAGAATTTTTCAGCATCTTCGAGTTTCCTAAAATGATGTTTTACATAACTAGAAAAAGGTGCAGCTAAATGGAAATCATTGTGAAGACATTAATAGGTTCTAATATTATTAAACAACAAAAAATACTTATAGAATAAATACACTCACCAGAATTGTAATCGTTGCATGAATCCAAGTCAATTGAATTTGTTTGAGTAATCAACACTTTCAACAAGCAAAAAACATGTTGGAGATTCAGGGGAAATTCATTTGGGGACAAAGCTACATTTAAATAAAGTCAACAATGGGTTCTTGAGCATTTTTATAACATCGAGAAACCATCCAAGAAAAAATAAAAACACTTCATGCAGACCGTGTGAGGTTTTTTTTTTAACGTAATTAGTCTGTTTGAATTGTTTCGAAAGGAAGGCTTAGAAAAACTACAAACGGTTTCAAAGTATTTTCTAATCGTTTTTTGCTATTTTTCTGACAATTTTAAATTTTAACGTTTTTCTTTGAAAATCCATTGATGCATTAAAATAGCAAGAGTAATTAGCACACATGGTCACTTTGTTAAAAGGTACAAAGGATCAGGGAAAACATCTTATGACAGAATAGTTGTTAAAAACAAACAAAAAAATTGAAAAAAAAAATTAATTACATAACTTTTGTATATTTCGTCATTTATTGTTCAGTTTTATTATCAATAGGCCGATTTAATATTTCAAAAAATGTTACATTTTTTTAATAATAACAAGTTAATTGAAATTCATCTATATAATTTAATTTAAATATGTATATATTTATACATATTACAATAAATCAATTAATCTTTTAGTATCTACCATTTACCTTAACTTGTTACTTAAAAAAATGTGCTAGGATGTCTTGTAATCCATTTTATTTTACAGATAATTTAATTAATTAATTAACCAGTCATATATCTAATTAATTAATTAACTTATTTTTAATATTAATGATAAATAAAGGTTACAAATAAAATCGTTGCTAGTTTGAGGATCAAAGTCGTGAAGTTGGAGGTCAATTGCTCACGCATTTTTGACTTGATTCTCATCATATCGAGAATATGATTGATTAAAAGTCAAATTATTATTTAATTACATATTTATATTAATTTATATACTAACAATAAATTAATAAATTGCGTCATGAGCAACAACAAATCGTAACACACATCACGACTGAGATTTCATGTACAATATCACACACATCCCACACGCTGATTACGATTAAATTGTTTTTGTTTTTTCATATAAATTATTTATAGTATTATTAATTATCATCAATAATTAAATGATATTCATCTTCACTATGACATACTTTTTTACTTCTTTTCTATCATTAAATATTTAGATAAATGCGTGTGAATGCGTCAGTGTACGTTATTTAACAATTAAAGAGGAATATTAAACATTATTTTTTATTATTATAAGAATTATGTTTTTTTTTTTTGTTATTATCATTATGTTTTTCACTATTATCTTTACCACATTATTTTCCTTTTTGTTGCTTTCTTCCAATAAAAAAATTAACAGGCCCTGCAGCGTTAGGAACACAATTTTCACAATCCACACAATATTGTTTTACTTACAGAACCACCTACGTCGAGTTTTATGCTAATAATTAATTCCTAAAAAGTTCATTAAATAATTCATGCAGGTGTGAGAATCATTTTTGTTAATTATTCATGTTAATCAATCTTCATAATTATATTTACCATCACTCACCAACAATATTAATATATAAAGTAGATTGGGAAAAATGTTATGTTTTTTTTTGTTATCATTACATTGGCTAGTAGTTTATTTTTATTCAATTTCCTTCAAAATAATAAATCTAATTTATTTTTATAATTATTTAAAAATACTTGCAATTTTAAGTAAATACTTAAAGACAATATTATTTATTAGATTGATGTATGAAAAATTGTTTAGATTAAATTATTAATCAATTTCTATCCAATCTATTTTATACTTCTCTTTTTATAATTTTTTTTTCTAACTTTATTTACTACTGTTAATTTGTATTATTGTTTTTTTTTAATAACTAATTAAGTATTATTAATTATGCCCATACTAAAAACAAACTATATCCCTTTTACTGATATTCACAAATTGAATAATTAATTGTCAATAAATTACACTATTTATAGGGTATATTTAAAACATTTCGATAATGTCTAAATTACAAAAAAAAATTACTCACAATTACACGAAGAAAATGATTGTTTCAACTGTAAAATGTATATTCATTTTTGTCTGAATATTTTATCACATTTTCTTTTATTAATTATTCATAAAACTATGAAGTTTGGTGTTGAAGTATTTTTCAAATATATCAGAAATACTTATCTATTTGATTCTCATTTTTATTTGAACTTTACAATGATATTATTTTGATAATAAACTATCAAATGATATTTTTCAAATTACTGTTATAAAAAAAAAAGGAAATTTTTTCTTCGTGTAATAAAAAGTCGAGTCGTTTCTCGCCTTGTCAGTCTTGTTGCGTTTATACGAGTTGTAAAAATTCTACATTAAACTCTGATTAACTATTACTATAATTATTTTCAAATTTCCTTAATATTTACGTTCATCAGAAAACGTTACTTAATTACGATTAACAATTAATAATAATATTACCATAATACCCCCATAAAATTTCTATATGAAATTGAAGTAGCTATAACTTTATTAATTATTATCAAACTCTTTTATGTTTCAATCGGTAAAAAACATTTATAAATATTTCAAAATAAAGTTTATGAAATTGACTGGATAGTCAAATACATCTTATTGTTTTAAATTGATTGTATAATTATATATACGCAACTCGACGCAGGGTGGGCGATTAAAAATTGGGCACGACTCATTTCACAAAGTATCTAGTGCTTTACATTAATGCTCCATTAATAAGCCATAATATAAACATTCATTTATAGAACAAGAAAACACACAGAAGCATTTGTAAATAATTGGAATGAATTAATTATTAATAACTAAATATTTTTAATATTTTTTTTTCTCGAAGAATTATGATTAAAGTAGTAATAAACAAAAAGAGAAAAATATCAAAACGATTGAATATTTTTTGTTAATAAATTGACTATTTTTAATATTGAAAATATTCAAGAACACTTGCAGCATATCTGCATTCTTTGAACTTACCAAATTAGATGAAATATTATGTCTTGCTTTTGTAAATACCTTATGTTTCCCAAAAGAAATCTAACTACTATTTTTTGATGAAAATAAGAGGGAAGGCGTGAAGAAACGTGAGGATAAAACGTTGGCATGCACAAGCATTTTACTTTAAACTCAGGAAGAAGGTAGTTATAAAGTTGGTGCTAAAGATGTTGATTATCAGCCGTCAACTGAATTTCCTTCTTCTTTGGACTGTTTCACCTGACACTGTGAATATATTCATGCAACCAAAGAGACATTAATAAAAACAACTTATCCAGCAAACCACTTATAAAGGCATAATATTAAGCAAATTAATTATTTTAATTAATAAATGAAAAAAAAAAAATTATAAATAAAATAAAACTTTAATAAAATAAAATTTTTAAATTAATTCAAATAACCCAAATCACCTAGCTACCAATACTATCCTTGAATTTATATTTAGATAACAATTGTTTAAGCTACAAATATACAGCATTTTCTCTCGTGAATCTATTGAAATATATACAACTTGAATATAAAAAAGAGAGATAAGTTGATTTTTTATAATCTGGTCAATTAAACATTTACTTCAGGTATTATCGGCTTTTCCTCTCTTGCCTTTAATTTTAATCATAAATATACCTCGTATATTTATTTGATCAAGTTTATGTGAATACACCAGAGAGAATAATTTTACTAAAATAAAAAATAAAAGAGTAATAAAATTGAAAATTAATTAGAATGGAAAAAGCCAATATAATACTGAAATTAATTAATTGGCCCCATGATATAAATAGTTGTTAACGTCTGTCAGAAATTCAAGGAAAGTATTAACTAATGTAGAATTTTAAATAAGCATGCACTTCAGTTAGCACTCGATATTGTCAAAGGTTGTGCGAGTCGTGCTAAAGGTGTTTGACATATGTTTCAGCTAATTAATAAATCAAAATTACAGTACGTTAATTACAGGCGTGATAATTTAAAATCAGCGTTAAAAAAAAAAAATTAATTAAACGAAAAAAAATAATAATAAATTAATCAATTGCCAATAGTTAATAACAATAATGAGGAAATTGGGTGTTCAACGTGAATGTGAGAACTGTGTATTAAACGCAGGGTAACGTATAAAATTTGAAAAGGCACTCGCATGAACCAATTATTAAATTAATGATACTTTAAATCACACTAATACAGTACTGATACTTTCAAAAGAAGAAAAAAATAATCTGAATCATGGGGACAAATCAATGCCCTTCGATTGTATAATTGTATTACATAATATGTTGATGGTATTTGTGGTTTGTCGAATGAAGATCGCTATTTTACACTGACGAACACCATGCACGACAGTCCAAAAAACTTGGTTAAAATTTCACTTAAACACACTTCGTTAATAATTGTTTTTAATTAGAAAGAGATTTTCTTTTACTCTTCCTCTCTTCTTCTTCCTTTTTTTTTATCCTCTGATTATTTTTTCTCTCAATTAAATGCAGCTGCAAGTCCAAATATTCTTGGCATTTTCCATAGGAAACACGTTCTATTTTTAAGCTTCTCGTTCTGATAACTTTTTCGTTATTTTTTTTTAGGCTAATTATTAATTAATTAATTAAAAAATTAATTAATTAAATAATATAAATAAATCGTAAATCTAAATAGGGCAAACTATTAAAAGTCCAAAAAACACGGCCCACATAAGAACGATCCAGTGTACGGTGTAAATGGGACTCTCACCGTCTGTTATTTTTCTGGCAATGAACTTCAGGGTCTCATCTAAAAGTACCACTGGAATGGAGAACTTCATAACAGTAAGCCACTCTTCTCCAGTCAACGGGGTAACTTGGAATACAGACTGAAACACAATCAAAAACTCGTTTAAAGTTTTATTCAAAAGTAATAAAGTGAATATTTCAATGAAATTGTTTTTGACATTTTGGTTATTGTAATTATTTATTATCGTTTTTGTTGACTTACCGAAAGTACTTCAATATGAAGAATAACAAAGTGAAGTGTAAATGAAAGAGCCATTGAAGCAATAAGCCACATATTGGACCATGGGGGCATCGATATAAGTGATTGATTCTCTGATAAACTGTAAATAATCATTTACTTTAAGTTAGTATCAATGTTTATAAAATATGCATTTAGTTCTGTTTGACTGTATGAAAACTCAAAGGAAACTTGATAAAGAGAATAGACAACAAAGTTTAAACCTCTAAGCTTTGCGTAGTCTGTAAAGTTTACATTCACTTTTAAACAATTATAATAAATGAATAAAATTCATTTAAGCTATTTTAAATGTAAATTCTTAATTTCCAATGGTCTTAAATAAATGCATTTTTTCTTTAGGTTACCTGTTCATTGCATTTAACATTTCAATTGTGACAAGTACAGACAACGCCATAGTCATAGGATGAGGATCAGTGAAAATCTTGCAGTTGACTCCTTTGAATTCATCTCCACCACCAAGGCAAGCTAAATGATGAGTCTAAAATGGTAAAAAAAAAATTATCAATTCATCTCCAAACGTTATTGAAATATTTTGTTAAAATTGAAAAAAGAAAAGAATAATTTTTACCAATTGATAATAATTAAGTTGAGGTCCATTAGGACTGTAAAGGAACCACCAGGCAGCAGATCCTACAGTGGCAGCACCTACATATCCACCAATAGCGAGATAACGGAAGAATAACCAGCCAGAAATCAAAGATTCATCGGCTTTACGGGGAGGCTATGAAAAGTAAATTTGCATATTAAAAAATTGATAAATAAACAAAGTTTCTTAGAAAATTAATCTTAAATTTTTTTTGTATTTTACCTTGCTCATAATGTCAAGATCTGGTGGATTAAAACCAAGAGCAGTAGCTGGAAGACCGTCAGTGACGAGATTTACCCACAATAGTTGGACAGGAATGAGAGCCTCAGGAAGACCAAGGGCAGCAGTCAAGAAAATACTAAAAATTTATATAAAATTAATCTTTTGTTATCAATAAACCTCTAAATATAGAGCTTATACAATTATAATTGTTTTAATTCCTCTTTTAAATGATTGAGAGGCATATTGTTTAAATATTTACCTGACGACTTCACCAATGTTCGAAGAGATTAGATAACGAATGAACTGTTTCATGTTGTTGTATATGGCACGACCTTCCTCAACAGCAGCGACAATAGAAGAGAAGTTATCATCAGCCAACACCATCTCTGAAGCTGATTTAGCTACAGCTGTACCAGAACCCATGGCAATACCGATTTCAGCTTTTTTCAAAGCAGGAGCATCATTTACACCATCACCAGTCTGTTAAGAAAATAATCAATGAATAAATTTATTCAAACAATATCTAAAATAAATATAGATAATGGAAAAAAATTTACCATAGCAGAAATTTCATTCATGCTTTGCAAGTATTCTACAATCTTGGATTTGTGAGCAGGCTCTACTCGAGAGAACAATCGAGCTCTCGCGCAAGCTTCTCTTTGTTGTGAAAGAGGCAAATCGTCGAATTCTCGTCCTGAATAGGATTTTCCAGTTGTATCTTCATCTTCCCCAAAGACTCCAATACGTCTGCAGATAGCTTCAGCAGTAGCTTTATTGTCACCAGTGATGACAATGACACGAATTCCAGCAGCGCGACACCTTTGAATAGAGTCAAATACTTCTTTTCTTGGTGGATCAAGCATACCAACGACTCCAACAAATGTAAGGTCTTTTTCATAAGTGTAGAATTTAGTAGAGTCTCCAAGATCCATTTCATCGGGTTTCATTGGATGATCTGCTGTAGCAAGAGCTAAGCAACGAAGAGTATCTCGTCCTGTACCGTATTGTCTAGTTAAATCAAGAATACGGTTTTTCAAGGTAGATGTCAAAGGAACTTTGGTTGTTCCAACACGAGCATGTGTACATCTATCAAGAACTCCTTCGGGAGCACCTTTGACAAAGAGTTTTGGTCCTGTTCCCAGTTTACTTGGTTTAAGAGGAACACAGTAGGATGACATTGATTTACGATCTCGAGAGAACTCAAGAGTAAATTCTTTTTTCCATTTAGTTTCAATATCTTGTCTGACAACAATGGCAGCAGTACGACGATCCAATCCGGTCTTGGAAACTGCAAAAGGATTAAGCTTCTCGGCTAAAACGATTAAAGCAGTCTCAGTAGCTTCACCAACTTTTTCAAAAGCTTGTTTGAACTCATTGAAATCAATAGCTGAATCGTTACACATAATACAAATAGTTCCAATTTCATGAAGAGTTTCAAAGTCTTGTCCCTTAACTTTTTGACCTTTCAAGAAAACATCTCCAATGGGTTCATAAGTTGATCCAGTGATCTCGAACTCATGAAAGCTACTATCATTGCCTTCAATTTTCTCGAAAATGAACATTCTGCTTACGGACATTTGGTTAGTGGTCAAAGTACCAGTTTTATCGGAACAGATGACAGAAGTACAACCCAAAGTTTCTACTGATGGTAGAGATCGGACAATGGCATTCTTTTTAGCCATACGTCTAGTACCAAGAGCCAAACAAGTTGTAATGACAGCTGGTAAACCTTCAGGAATAGCAGCTACAGCCAAAGCTACAGCAATTTTGAAGTAGTAAATTGCACCTTTAATCCAAGATCCACCGTGAGCAGGATCATTAAAGTGACCAATGTTGATAGCCCAGACAGCAACACAAATAACGGAGATGACTTTGGATAATTGTTCACCAAATTCATCAAGTTTTTGCTGTAATGGAGTCTTGATTTCTTCAGTCTCAGACATTTCAGTACGGATTTTACCGATAGCAGTGTTAAGACCAGTGCCGATGACAACTCCTCTAGCTTTTCCAGCAGCGACGTTGGTACCAGAGAAGAGAATATTTTTCTTATCTTGGTTGACAGCTCTTGGGTCAGGAATGGCATCAGTGTGCTTGATAACAGAAACTGATTCACCAGTGAGGATTGACTGATCGATTCTAAGCGTTGTTGAGTAAATCTTGGTTAGACGAATATCAGCAGGGATTTTGTCACCAACTGACACTTCAACAATGTCACCGGGAACAATTTCTTTAGCACGAATCCTCTGGACTCCAGATTTATCGGCTCGTACAACTTTACCCATTTCAGGTTCATATTCTTTAAGTGCTTCAATAGCAGACTCAGCATTACGTTCTTGCCAAACTCCGACCACGGCGTTAGCAATAAGAATGAGTAAGATGACAAAAGGTTCCACGAATGCCGTAAATGAGTCTTCATGTTCTTCAAATAAAGCTAAGACCTAAAAATATTCATCATTTTAGTTTCAAACAAAAGAACTCTTTTATTTGATAAATATAAGAAATCATTGATGATTGAATTATACTTACAAAAGAAATAATGGCTGCTAGAAGAAGAATTTTAACTAATAGATCATCGAATTGTTCCAATACCAGTTGCCAAATGGATTTTCCTGTAACAAGAAAAATATTAATATATAATAATAAAATAAAAAAGCTACATTAAAGCCTAACACACGAATGACATACGGGCGGAAGTGATGCTAGTTATCGAAATCACATGGCCTGTATTTAAGCTCGATTATCGATACCTTCTTCATCCCTCGGGCCATGTGTTTTCTATAAACTATTACCAAAGAGCCACCACCATACCTATTTCAGTTATCTTCAATAGATATTTATTATTAAATATTTATGAAGATATATTGCAAGAAAAAATCTTATTTATCATGGTAATAAAAGTTCTCATATTGGATTTATTTTAAATATCCTGAAATCTTTTGTGTTCAATTAAAGTGAAGAAAGAACTTTTGTAGTTCATAGTCCTTGGTCTCTTACGTTAAATAGCGGAACTTAAAAAGCCAAGACACCACACGACGGTTTCAATGACCTTGATAGCAAATGTCTTACATGTTATTGACGTCACGAACTCTCTTTGCTTACTCGACGAATTCATTAATAATAATTCACAATCGAACATTCATAAAATTCACCATTTTATAAATAATGAATTAAAAATGACATTTTTTTCTATCAATTAAAATTCTTTTCAGTATTTTTTTTTTCAATTCAAGAATTGTCTTTTATTTTTATATAAACAAATATTTTATTTATTATTCCTAAATTTTTACTGTTTCTTCTAAAATAAATTTTTATTATGATAATTAAAGAAGATAAAAGACCAATCAATTTTTTACCAGTAATATTATTTAATTTTTAAATATATATGCACATTAAGAAAGAGTATAAACTTTAATCTGAGTGCTGATAAAATGAAAAACTCCTTACATAAGAAAATTTTCATAAGTAATTTTGACTAATATTCTTTTATAAACTTCAATACTCATAACTTATACATAACAAATTAGAGAATAATACTTATATCAAGAACTTTGATCAAAACTCTGATGATCTTTCATCTTTTCAACATAAATTTTAAAATTTCAGCTCCTTTAAAGCTTGAATATTTTAAATCATAAATAAATCAAAAATAAAATATTATTTTTTTTGAATTAAAAAAAAATAGATTGTTTTAAATAGTTAAAAATAATTAAAAGTATTTTACAAGCTCGTGTCTTGGCAAATTGGTGAGTTGAAAGAATAAATAAGTGTTGATGATAAAATAAAATACATCTTGCATAAGATTCACATTTGTGACGCAGAAACGATTGCAGTGAATATATAAATGACTAGCATCTATCTATCTAGTAATACCTTTATAGAACGGAACATACAAGCCTTCAACGTCATTACTACGTCATGATTAATACAATAAATACGACATTATTCATTTACATTAATTTTCTACTCATTCTTTCTTTCTCAAAAAAATTTTTTTTTATCCACAAAGTTAAATATACTTTAAATTTAAAAGACCTTAAAGCTTAAAATAAATACCATAAAAATAAAAGACAATAAAAATACATAATATTAAGATGCGTCGACAAGCAAAGAAGTAGAGGAAGAAGAAGGATAGAAAAGCTTTATAATGTTCATTATCTTTGTCACCGTGTTCACTTGAAGTCTATAATTAATCCGTATATCACACCTCAAGATCTACGAATTATTTATCCATAATGATTAGCAAAATTTAGTTCAAGGATCGTCAATAAATTATCAAAAATTATCAGCATTAAATATTTAATTAAAATCGGTTTTTGATAAATATTCTTCATTATTACTTACGCAAGAAAGCATCAACAATTTTTAAATAATCATGACGCGATAGATTAATATTCTATTCATAAGAATCTTTGTAGAATACTTAATTTTACTCATGAACACCAAGAATCAGGTATTTTTATTCAATAATAATTGTTTCTTTGATCTGATGGTGTTTTTTGGCAATAAGTTTTGAATAATTTTAAATATTAAAAACCGAAAAATTTTAATGGATTAAATTTTAATCTCCATATCCCCATTTGATTCAAAATAATTTATAATTATCCCTCTTTCACTATATTTCCAAAAAAATATTAAAATGATATATCAACAATTATGATATAAATGTTATCACATCTGAAAATCTGTCAGCCACAAACATGTCATTGGTGGTGGTTTATTCATTTGATATGAAGAGTTGAAAAATTGCAATTAACATGTTCAGCTGAATAATAATATATTAAATGAAATATAAAAAACAAATGATCCTTTAAAGACTCACCCTCCTCAGCTGGTAATTCTGTAACAAAAAAAAAACGAAAAGGTTAGTCGATATTAATTTTTTTTTATTATTAGTCTATTATATTAGTAAATGATTGGAGATAATTGGTTAATTGAAATAATGTTGGATTTTATAAATATATTCTCAGCTAATCACTAGATACAATAAGCAATCAACTTCCAAGGTTTCCGGTGTCACTCTCTCATTCTCTTTAAGCTGACCTACATCAAAACTAGAATATCGACTGTCTGCATCCATGAACAAGTGGAATTTAATAGAGTACTTTGGATTTGATTAAAGTGACGTGGAGTAATTGTCAAATTGCCTTTATGTATCCCTAGAAATGCTTAATATACAGTTTGACATTTATTCATGTTCTTTTAATTCATTGAATAAAATATTCAAATGGATCACAATCTATTTTGTAAATGATGATAATGAAAATGTGAGAGATAAACATTCAATACGAATATCTATGTATAAATGTTGAATCTGATGCAATTAATTAATCATAGATTAATAAAATAATAAAAACAAAGTATTATTTCTAGCAAGTTTTAAAATTTTATTTGAAAATAGCAGAAGAAATAAAAAGTGAAAGTATAAATTGAGAAAAAGGTCATTCAACTGCTATCAAATGAATGAATGGCATCAGGAAAGAAGTCTTAACAGACATGCATGGATCAATGATTTAATAGTATTAACCACGTGTATGCAAACTACATAAAATAATAAATATCATGGTCTCATGTCGCATAAGTTAAGTGTATCTTTGTGAAGAAAACACGTGTTGCTACAAGGAAAGATGGTGTAGAAAAATCGATAGATTTATGTAGGGGAAACCAATAGCTCATAGTTTGCAAAGCTAGCTTTTGTATCTATAAAAGAATAATAATATTTTTTATATGAAAATAAAAATAATCATAACAATGTAGTGTTGGATAGAAAATTTTTATCGATAAAAGAAATAAAGATTAGGGATAAAGAATGATGTGTATAAGTAATAAGGTTGCATGTAGAGTAATAAAGAAGAGTGTCCATATTGATCCAAGTTTTTTCTTCACCACGATACAATGCTGATGAGAGTGACGTGGCTATGGTACTTGATGGTTACCGATTTGTTACGCGAGAGCGAGCGTGAGCAGCAAGGACAGACACAAAGCTGATATGATAGTGTTATACAAATCTATCGACTCTTTCTACAGTAAAAGTAGCTAATTTTAGATCTCCTCACACTTTTCCAACTCGTGCAGTGCATCGTGGTGCATGTTATACGCGTGGTATTCTATTATAAACATTTAATTTTGTTTATTACATTTTTCAAATAACTTTGTTCCTATCAATTTACTTGGAGTGAAGCTTTTATTTTTATTCAATTACATCAATTACCTAATTAATTCAGATAATTTAATATTTCTGATTATTAGGAATGATGTTTGATGCATTATATGAATGAGTAATCATTCTATTCAAAGTGTCTAAATATTTAGACACACGTGGGCTTCTTGCAGATCAATCACTATGCCCACGCTCGTTTCAATGCATCATGTAAACACCTGGCATCTTGCTGTTATCGTATCAATTTTATTGCTATTAATTGCAAATATTAGTTATTTAGAATAATAAATAAAATTTATAACAATTACATTAATGTAATTGTTCAATAGAATCATGAGTCTATTTTAATCAAGTCTGAATGATAATAAATCTTAGCTATTTCATAAATCCAATAGTTAGTTCAATAGAATCTGCTGTAAATTCAGCATATATTTTAATGGTTTAGATAATTTTTTTTTTAATCCAAGTGAATATTCATATTTTCGTCATCATAATATTTGTTTCCAACTCCCAGTTATGAGTTTCTTCATTAAGTATTTAACTCAAAAGTTAGAAATGATACTAATTTATTATCATAGTTTTAATATCTCATCACCTAAATTTATCCAGTTGAAGTTCCATGTTGTTAATTAATTTCTTTATACTAATTTCACTCGTTAAGTTTATTTATATATTTTTTTTCTAATAACGATATTTTTAGTAAAAGTAGAGATTTAGAAAAATCCTTTATTTAGACTTTCTCTCTAATGCTGGGTTTAATGGTTGTTGAACTCACAACCTCACAATATAGTTCAAAAGAACTGAAAAAGGAGGAGTAAAAGCTAGCATAGTTTATAGCCTAGTAAAGTTCATTGGCTCAATATCAAAACATACAACTGAACTACCAGAAGAAAAGTTCTATAATATTAAGAGTTAAATCTTTAATCACTAACTAAAATGGAAAATATTGTCAGACTTCTAGCTTTTCAGTGATACCCGGTGATAATTGATGCCTTAAACAGAAATGAAAAAAGAGCAATAACTAAACAATCAATCATAGAAAAGAAGCTTCTATGAGTAAAGTACATAAATTTAAATTATTGCTCACTTTCTTTCAATACCATACAACTCTTTCTTATATCTGATGATGTAATTGTAGGTTTAAGACTTTTATTTTAGCTGAAAACAATTTATTACGACAAACAGACTGGTAAAAATTTGGCAAGTGAAGTGAAATGCTTGACAGGCATGAAAAAAGGATATACGTGATAATATCACGCCTACAAGATCCAAGTTGGCGAGAGAAGACAATTTGAATAAAAGAAAAGCACAAGGTCGAAATAAAGCTCACAAATTGATTCGCTATTTCCGTATACTTGTTGCCAAAGAAAATGACTGAAAACTACTTTATAATTGGTTAATAAATCATTATAGATTTATTTATTTATATATTATTTATTAATAGATACTTTTATGTAGTTAAAAAAAAATAGTCATTTAAAATATTAAACAGATTTTTTTTTAAATAAAACCAATATTGTTTAATTTAAAAGTGCAAAATAATTATAAAAGTTAAAATTAAAAAATACAATTACATGTTTTACTGAAAAAATAATATTTATTGTTGAAGCTTATCATAATAAGTACTTGAATGAAAAAAAAAAAATAATTCACTTTGATAAAAGTTTCCTTAGGTAATGGGAATATTATACAACTTTACATTTTATTTCTTATATAAAAGCTTGGTTGATGCTATGCAATAGTTGTTATTGCGATCGTTAACAATTAAAACGTTGATAAAGTATTTTCAATAATGATCATCGATTTAAAATGACGTAAATTGAAAAATACAGATAATAATATGAGTTGAAATACACGTGATCGAAATCAATGAATTTTAGTGCTGACAGAAAAGAGAAGAAAATAGATTTGCGGAAAATTTGTTTAACGTAACAACCTCAAGAGCTATGTGAGAAACAAAGTAAGATGAAAGATGAACAAGTGTTAAACGTGATAGTTAACAAAAATATCTCGAATGAGAAGCTTAAACTCGGTCACGGTGGATGCGTGAAGACAAACTGGATATGACAGCTAAAGTTTTGAAATGTTGATTCTTCAAAAACTTTAAAACCGAAGCAAAACTAAACATAAAAATAACAAAACCTACGTACTTATGGGATAAAGTGACATTTGATGCATGAAGATAAGAAAAGGTAGACAACAAATATCTATATATACTTTTTTTTCTTCATCTGATTCAAGTTTGAAAACGCTAATTATTATTTTAGACAACTCTTTTTTCTTATGTTGATGGACATGTTGTGTCAGAGTTGGTTGATTTATTTTAATGATTGAAGAGAAAAATATTTTCAACTAAATAGGCTACTGAAAATGAGTTTGTGCTAAAATATACGAGTTGTTTATAAATAAATTCCATCATTAGATTTTTTTTATCTCAAATTAACTATTTGGTTATAAACACTTGATATAATTCAAGCAGTCAGGTGTATCAAAGTTACTCTTCTTATCACAGCTAAATTGTAAATATTTCCATTACGTAATAATATGTAATAATTACTCATTTATCATTCAATTCAGGAATTGTCATATGTCAGAGAAAATAATAAATGGAATTGTAGGGAAAAACTATTATAGACCGTAAAATATTGATTTCTTTTATTAGTCATCATATATAAGAAGGGGAAGCCAGAGTAAGATAATGTATCGGGGCAACATGGGAGCAACGTTATTTAAACAAAATCACAAGCATTATAATATAATTTTTCTATATTCATGAATAATTCATCAAATTATTTTATTAATGCTTTTAATTCACTATTAATATTCATTATTCTATTTTAATTTGCTCCAAATTTTTTATGTTTGATTTTAAAAATAAATGATAAATGAGAATTATGCATATTAATTTTTTTTTTTTAGAAAAATATTAACAATTCTTGTAATTGGACGCAGTAAATAACTTCAACAACTCCGTGTGTGAATCTTTGATAAAGACCAAGAACGGTCTTCTTTTGTTACTGATAAAAGAAAAACCCAAGGAGGAAGTGTTTAAAACTCCGTCATTGCTTTTATTGATAGAACTAGCGACATAAAATCCAACATTATTGTTATATATTGTTGTTTGTTTGATGAAAATAATAGCATTTTAGTTAATAAATATATTGAAAAAATATTACTTACCATTGAGACCATATTTTTCCTGATTCCTTTTGACTTGGTCTGTGGATAAACCTTTTTCAGAATCAACATTGAAGTAATTCAACACCTCGTCCACAGTTTTACAGTGGGCGTCCTCCATCGTTGCTTCTTTTGTTTAATGTACACTTATTATTATTTTCTTCTCTGTGTCAGTTTATGATCATTCACACAAATTATTTCTGGAAAACAAAGAAAATAGATAATGAAATGTAAGTTCGAGACCCTAGTTCATTATCGACTATAGATTAATATCTAACTTAAAAAAAAAATTATGAATATTATCATTCATGTAATCAATGTACCTCACAACTGTTCATGAATACATTAAAACTAATGAATAGTATTAATTATTATCTTTTCACTAATGTGAATACTTTATTCACAATTATGTAAAAATAATAATAATAATAATAAAACAAATTTAGAAACTAAAATTCGTATGTATTTTATATGTAATACAAATAATTAGATAATGTGTTACATGAATAACCTAAACATTGGCTCATGTAATAAATAGAATTTAAAAGTATAAACATGACTAAGTCAATTTTAAAAAAAATATCAAGAACGTTTGGATTATTTATATAATAGTATTAGTAACGGAAAATTAATTTTTTTTTTATAAATCTCTCATACACAATTTTTTAAATAACCAAGCTAATGTGTAATATAAAAAATTAATGCCTTGAAAACATAAAAGTAACCTAAAAATAACATAAAACAGCACGCCATTATTTCTAACCTTACTCAAACCCTATATATTAAAATTAATCAACCGACTACCTTTTTCCAAAGCGTTAGCAGCGAGGAAAATCACAAAAAGACGCTATGTACACTTGAAAAACAAATTACTCCACCCTAATCACCTGAATTCAAGTCAAAATCTACAGTATATCACTAGAGAGTCACTCACGACTTCACTGACATCGCAAAAAACGTAATGAAATTAAAACTCACCCTGATTAGTTTTCAATTCACACGAATACGTGTCACGAAACGAAAAAATTATACGGGCCACAAGGTATATAGGTTATGGACTAAGTATTTCAACAAAAAATATTATCCTATTAGAGTAAATAAAACACTATTTATCCAATTATTGCAAATATCACAGATCACGATAACAAATTATAATTTTATTCGTCATGTTTTCTTTTTAATATTTTATTGAATTCACAACTTCTCGATTGGAGCAAATTTCTTGATACTGATGAGGACCCTTTCCACGAGTTGCTGATCAAACCTTTGCTTCCGCGCAACTGCCGCACGTCGAAATATGACGCTTAGTGATTGGTCAATGCGCCACTCGCGGTGTCTATTCGTACTTTACTTCAGCGCGCGAGAATAGTCAAACTTTTTAAAACTTCCGCTGACAAAATAATTCTTTTAAAGATACTGAATATCCTATCATAACTTAAGTAAATTTAATTAGATTATTAAAAGAATTAATCATTTACTTTTAAGTATCAATCAAATTTACTAAATTTTAATTCGAAAAAAAGATGAAAACGGCAATTAAATGGTTCCGGAGTCACAAGAAATGTATGCATACACGGCCGAAAAGGAGCATGTGGAGCAACGCTATTGGCTGGAAGATTCACTCGTCAAGTGACGCACAGCCGGATTCTATTTTCAGGTTTCTTCTGAGCTATTTCCTTGGCGCGTATTTAAAGACATTTTGAAGAACTTTACGCTCTGTCCTATTATATAAGTAGCGGCTAAGCGTTTGAAGAAAAATAAAATCAAAACAATTATCTAGTGAAACACTCCGTTGTCACAATATATTTATTTAATTTATTCAACAACATTTTAATTTTATTTTTTAATTATTAAAAATCTTCACTTTCAGTCAGTAAACCTACATTTTGTTTCCAACTTAAATTCAACAATATTCTCAAACATTAATCCGTCGCATAAATAAAAATTAAACCATGCTAATGATCAAATAATCTATTTTCCACCAAGGGAGTAAAGTAAGACATTAGAAACTCGTTAGTTAAAGTGTTTTACATTTACTCCCATTGTGAAAATATAGTTCTTTTGTCATATTATCACAAAAAATTAGATTTGATTCTCAGTTTAGAGGTTAATAAAGTGACGCGTTTTGGTAGAGAAGAACAAAATGCGTCTACGCATGCGCACAAACGAATTTGTCATTCTATGCGAGATAAAAAAATGGGACTTTATTAACCTCCAAGCGGGGTATAAAATCTAATTTTGTATGGGGGTATGACAAAAAATTAATTTAAAAAAATACCGAGAGTAGTCTTCAATTATATAAAAAGTCAGAAGTAAAGAAAATGCAAGTGAATGTAAAGTAAATAAATGGATAATATTTCTTTAAAATGTTTCTTACAATAAACTTGAAGTTAAAATTGATCCTACAAATCTGCCATGCAATAATCAGCTGCTAAAAACTATTTCAAGTTGACTTTTTGAAGTTGAACTAGCTTAGACTGAATTCCCAGGAGTGGATGATAGCCTTGTAGCTAAGACGCGCGTGCCCGAGCGGACACTTTTAGCACATCCTAAGACGACTTTCTAATTATTTTGGCAGGGATAGCCATGCTTCCACTAGTTTGCCAACTTTTAAGATTAACAACAGAATTTTAACGTAATAATCGTTAATGATTAAGTAATTTACGACGTAATGACTTTTAGAAAAGTTTGCCCAATGATTTTAAATTTATTTTTATGGATTGTTTTGACTCAAAACTTTTTACACAACTGCATTGAAGTCAAGATAATAAATACAAGCTTGATGATTGAATTAATGATGATTTTACGAACTTTCATTTTGAATTAACATCTGAATTAGCCATTTTATATTTAAATACAAAATATCAATAAGAATCTCTGGATGATCATAAAGCAATGAGATGATATATGAAGATGTTATTTTTATTTAACTTGAAGTATATTTAGAGCAACGAATGTTTATGTAGGTAACAAAAAATGAGCTTTGATCACGTAAATAAATGAATTCAATTCAACAATCGCACAATGAAATCAAGTTAAAGCCTACACTTTCAATAATAAATACACTGGGACACTTCTTTGATTTACAACAACAAGAAATGTTGATTTCTAAATGACAAGTTTTAAATTTTTTATCAATCAAAAAAAAAAAGATCTTTCTGAAAAGATAATTAGTAGAAGAGCAAGTAATATGAGAACAATAATTTGAAAGCTCTTTTCACCAATTGTTCTCCATAAATATCCAACTCTTTACCACCATGAAGACTTCTCTTTTAAAATTTAATTGACAAAACTTTATTTTTATTCACAGCACTTAATCTATTAGATAATCGAATCACTCACATGTTCACTTTTTATTTCACGATCATTTCTTAATATTATGACTTTTTTGTAATTTTTATTTCTTCTTGAGTGACTTACCAATTTAAAAAAGTCCCTATAATCACTTTATTATCACTTAAAAATCCAAATTTGTTTTAAAAACTACTATGCCTTCTTAAAAAACATGATGACAAATAAACGAAATTAAATAAATACTGTGAAGTTTGTTTGATTAACATAAAAATTAATGAAAATTTGTGTTAATGATACGGCAACGCCTGCGCTGCTGAGCGAAACAGGGCGCCGGACATCCTAAAAATTCGTTTAAATAGTCGTTGATGTCGCTACCTGGTGGTTGAATGAAGAACAAGACATGAAAAGGAGGGAAAGACGTGAGGAACTTCATTTTGGATAAATGCCAATGTTCCCCAGCTTATTTCTTGGTCACTGCTGCTGATGATGCTGCTGCATCTTTTTTTTCTCGATCACAACCTTCACAAATTCAACAAGTCATTGAGTCTATTGTTTGCCAGAATACGCTTTGTACATGTTATTTCATAAACATTATCCAGCCAGATACACTCTTTCTGTGAAGCTACATATCATCAAGATCATCAACGGTTGTTGGATCCGAGAATACAGACAAATGCATTTATAGATTTTTCAAACGGTTAGTATTGATGAGTTATGTTGATATTAAGTAAGCAAATTAGTAAGTTTATTTAGAAATATTTAAATATTCAAGTTTACTATAAATAAATTTAAATAATGGGAAAAAAATAATTTTCAGTTACATCATATTCAACTAATCTTGGGCTATGCTGAAATCGATGAAATAATGCATAATTGCAACGACAAAGAGTCGTATGGGCAATGTTCCAAAAATGGTATTAGACAAGATTGTAAATGTCCATTGAAATTTTTGTGACATATAGGCAATTAATCCTACAATTTTTTTCAAACTCTGGAAATGAGAATTCTTTAAATAATAGCAGTAACTATACATAAAAATCATTCTATTTGTCATGAAAGTTGAAGTTTTAATTAAATTTATGCTTCCAATGATTAAAATTGAAGTTGAAATATTCATCCTCAAGAAAATTGCATTCAAATGAAGATTCTTCCTATTGGTAGTTTTTTATTGATTAAAAAACCCTAGAAAATGGTATGCTAATTTTGGAGTATTTTTTAATTATACTAGTCCACTCATGATTTTTATCAAGATTAAAAAAATAGGGGAATTGAACCATTTATTTCTTGTTTTTGTTTTCAATCATGTCAGTAGGAAATGACAATGCTTTTATAAATGAAACAAGAGTGTACATATTTGACTTTTCCATTAATCAATAAAAAACGTATGAACAAACTAAATTTAAATAAATAATAGGTAAAAATATTTTATTTTCATCCATTGTTCACTTCTAACAAATCAACTTTTGATTTATTTGCTAAACTCTGTTGTTTCAATTGTTTTTATTACTCTCAGTCAGTTATTTTGCTGTTTCGTATTTTTATTTAACTGTACAAACTTTTATTTAAAAATTGCAACTATACAAAACATCGAATTCATTTTATTTCATCATTTAGTATTTCCGCGATTATTAAATTTATTCAATAAATATTCATTGTTATGTGTATCTATTTTTAAAAAATGCTATAAAATTTTTCTACTGAATGCATTTGTCTCCTATGTACATTCATAATCATTTAATTTTTAAAAGTAAATATATCTTATTTGTATTATTAGTTGTTACTTCATGAATTTATTATTAATTCGTCTAAAAACAAAATAAAAATCAAACGATAAAATTCAATTTCTACAAATAAATTTCATTTTAGATAAATAAATTAAGTGGAAATGTGTGGAAGTTATTTATTTAGAAAAGAGTTGATGTGAGTGAAAGCTTTTGACAGTGAAATTAACTAAAGGATACGAGTGGCTGATGACCACTGATGCAAAGACTCGGGGGAGTAAAGATACTAATTCGCACACTCGGCAACTTCTCTCGGTGTCCGATTATAAACTTTCGGTCAACGCACTGAGTGCAAGTACATTCTAAAAGGTGATCAAATGTTCCTCATCTAAGAGTAGCTGACGGATATTTTAATGGTTCAATTACTGCTCTATATAAATACTTTTAATTCCTATGTAAGTATCAATTATAACATCAATGATTTAAAAAAAAATATTGCAGTATTTAATTGATTTTTATTGTTTTCTTTCCAGAGGAATTTGTTAACACAAGCAGTTATTTATTCTTCAATCTATAAACAAAAGAATATTTGTTAACAGTCAATAAGAACATTACATATAAATAACTGGATGGAAATTGATATTTTTAGAATGCTTATAATTTTTAAAATCACATTCATTTTTGAAGAATGAAATTATGATCAAACTTTATAAATGTAATTATCTCGAATTCTAATTTTTTTCTGCATTAGAGAAGTGTGATTGAATTATAATCTAATAATTTCTTGGTAAGATTTATTTTTTGACAAATTATTTAGAACTAATGATTAAAATTGAAAGAAGATAGTATTCACAAACGGAAGTAAAAAAAAAGTGATATATTATTTATAGAAAAATATAATATTAAAACAAGCTCTAAAGACATCATAGCAAATTATAAAGAAGAATTCTTGTCAATACAACGTCGGAAAAACAGACGAGGGTAAAAAAAGACAGAAAAAGATGAAAGAAAAAGCGTGTTGTCTGTTGGTGAATAAACCAGAAGTATATTTTAATTTCTATTTTCATGTCACGTATTACAACATTGTCAACAAGCCGATTTATTTGTTACCCCATAAATTCTTAAGCGATTTCTCGTGAAAAAGACATTTAAATGTTTCAAAATTGCCTTTAATTGTTCTTCAAGATTAACGACTAGAAATAAAAAATAAAATAGTAAATAAAAAGGAAAAATATTATAATTAAAGAGTTATAAAATAAGTGAAGTGAAGACTACAGTTATAGTTTAAAATATATTTTTAGCTTAGCAGGGGAAAAGAGATAATACGAAATTAGAACGCGAACGGCCTTTGTGCTCATGAGCATTTAGTATTTTTCAGGGTAGCGAAGAAGCTTAAAGAACGCGTTTTTGATCGCAACTAACACGAGTCTGTCCCTGGCAGGCATTATTGCTGCCAACATTTATAATAGACAGGTAATACATCCTTTATTCTCTATGAAATCTTCTAAACCTTATAATAATCTTTATTGTTTCAGCCGTTTATTCTCAGTCCAACCAAATGATGACTTTATCTCATATTATGATCTCCAGAATCAAATCATGATAGATATAAATATTAGATTTTATTAATGAAGCCATTTATTAAGCATTTTTATTCAATTATTAGACATTGAATCAACTTTAAATTTATGACTGAAAATTATGACTTTATTATGCAGAGTCTTATTTAAAACAAAATCAAACAAGGTTCTTAATAAATTAGATTAGTTTTATACTTATGATAAATTTCTACCTATAACTATTAATTGAGTATGTCAAATAGACAACTTATTCTTGATAAGAGCCATCAATTCAACACCCATCAGATCAGTTCTTCAAACTTTGAGGACACTTGCATACTATAATGTAATAATACCAAGCAATACATTGAACATCTTGGCCATGACAAGAAGCAATCAAAAGAAGTGTGAAGAACTTGTTAGATGACAGGGGTCATAACACGTAGCTGACAAACGAGCAATCATTTGCCAATAGATTGGCTCATAAATGAAAATTAAAAAAATATATATATATACATGTTGCTGAAAAAAGCATCAAAGATATAATGAATTTTATTTAATTGGTATAAATTAATGATTTAAATTTGAAAATTAGAGACAATTGATTTATTGCATGGAATAAAAGCAATCTAAGAGATCAAAATGACCGAGTGCGTACAAGCAAGGCGTTGACAGATACAAGCTGCTTGCATCCCAGCCAGAGAAGATACAAACACATGGATGAGGTAAGCGAAAAGCTACTTCTACAGTTAGAGTACTAATGACGATTTTTATAAATATATATTCAGTACTTAAAAATAAAATCGATTGTCAGGATCAATTGAGTAATAGTCTTTTGGCTAATGTAAATAATAATTAAAAGTAAAAATTTGTTTTTTATTCTATAAATACAGTAGTGATCCAATACAATAATTAAGAAAAAGGTCAGCTAATATATAATACCCATTTAATTAACTGTAAGATAATAAAAAAAAATGTCAAAAGAACTAATAAATGAAACTGGTTGATCTGAAAAAATTTATAGAAAAACTAACAAATACTTAAATCAAAGATTTCGTAAATGATATTAAAATTTTGAAAAAAAAAATAAAATGTGAGTGGTCTGACCCTTGAAGGCCAGACCTAGAACTTCCCGCCTTGAATATTATTATAAATAACTAAAAATAAATTGATTGATTTAATAAAAAAAAATCGTTCAGTTCTAAATTACCTCAAAATTGCTTCAACTGAGTACTAAATAGATTTTTCTGACGTATATATGTATTTACATGTATAAATATTTATAAAATATCATTTGAAAAAAAACATGTCGACAACAACATGTAAATAATGCAATTTTAAAAATAGTGAATGATTTTTCTATTATTTACTTCATCTGTAACCAGATCATTTTTATATTGGAGAAGAAAAATAATTTCATTATTATTTACAATTATTTATAAATATTTTAATTAATAATAATTAATGTAATAATTTTGAATATCTAACTTGGGTACTAAATAAAAAGTTTTGATGCTGATTATCAAACTTCAATTCTTGCTACTTCACAAGTTAACTTTTTTTATTTATTTATTTCGTTTTTTTACAGGTCATCATCATCATTTCTAATTATGAAGAAAAAAAATTTAAAAAAAACCTTTTTTGAAATATTTAAATACAATTATTAAATACTTTCTGTTGTCAGTATTTAAATATTATTTGAAATACTTAGCCAGTATAAAATCAAAAATATCTAAAAACCTTAAAAAAATAATAGGTTTACATAAAATTGAGAACTGAATAAATTGATAAATTCATGACTTAAAATATTTGAATGTATAGCATGACATTTACAAATCAAAGAGCAGTTTCGAACATTATAGAGGAAACTTTTGGCTGAAGGAAATCAGAAAATCTGACATAATGGCTCGGTCTGTCACCTAAAGTCTACATCTGACAGCTCTCAACATGATTTAGCTCGACAATCAACTGAGAAAATGTGTCGAAAAATAGAACGATCTTACGATAAACTTATATTGGTGAACGATAAAAACTATACTCTGAATCTCATTAATCTATCGTTGAATTTGATTTGTATTGTACACTATAACTATACCAGTCATTGTCTTAAATAATTCAACACTTAGTTCGAGAGGCTTAGGATAAGCAAGTTTGGCAGATTCGTGAGTGCGACGAGTGTCAGGAAAATGCAGAAAACTCTCATCTGTCATGTCGTAACACGCATCGCGAAAATAGTTGCAAGGATGCCGCGAGGTCGAACTTGGCTCGTCGGAAGCTAGCTTGCAAATATGACCATGACCATCTCGTCTACTTTATAGTAATAAATTACACCATGGAGGAAGTACATCATTTCCCTCAACTTGGATCTGCTTATAATCTACTTATAAATTCTGATTAACTTCTGAAAATAATTATAAAACTTATGACAAAAAAATACCACTGATGATTTGACATTTTTTCTCAAGTTTAAAAAATGTTTAATGAGACACTTGGTGGTTTAGTCTAAAGTATATAGATTACATAACACTATTTCAATAAGCAGAATCTTCACGTGCTCGCTGTGCCAAGGATCTACCTATAGCTTATAGTCCAAAAGCAACAGAAATAGAGGGTATTGTAGCATTTTCTAGTCGAGACATTTTGGTCCTCACAAATCTAGATGTTCGAGAAGTAATTTGAATACAAGTAGATCGTAGCCAGGTCATCCCGGGTATGACCTCTTAACTTTAATAATTAGTAGTCTATTTGTGCTTAATTACTAAGAAAAGAAGTCATCATGTCCATCAGAAGATACTTTCCTGTGATTTTATTGAACATGATCAAAGTTAATAAATAGTTCTCTACCTACAATAAGTGAAATAGATTTGTTTTATTAATTTTATTTCAATGCCAATCATCTATTGGAGTTTATTATTGGTGAAGAGGAGATGATAAAAAAAAATAAATGATATAAATACATTTTAATTTGTTTAGACAAGTTTAATGAACTTGAGGCGTTAAACATTACCTTGTTCGCAGTAGACATACACGAGATCACGAGACAGAAGTTTTTTAAAAGCCAACTACGTCATCACCGGGAGAGTAGAACGATCGTTGAGTACTCGTCGTCATAATGGTCTGTGAAGCCTACGCTCTAGGCCAGGGGCTAGGCTAGGCTATTTTCTATCTTTCAGCTTATGAACTGAAAATAGTCCTCAACGTTTTTTTTACTTCTACGAACATCACAAAAATCATGACAATCATATTGAAACTCGTTCTCATGATGGATATAAAAAACGATGATAATATGTAACAATTTTTTAAATGTCACCCAGCTTTGAGTCTTCACAAATTTAAGTAAAACAATTATTCATGTTTTCCTCGTGAGTTGTAAATACTTTTACTTGATCTTTAAAACGTCATTGAAAAGTCAGGCCAAGTGTTTATAGTAAGAAAGTGTGAAAAAATACGCAAAAAAGATCAGTTCACCTACGTAAGTGTTGGGTAAACTTTGAAGGAAAATATATATTCAGATAGCTTTTTAAAATAAAAAAGTTTCTGAAATTTAATGAGGTACTCTAGTACATTAGTTTTATTTATTTTTATATTTTTAAAAAATTTTTAAGCTATCTTTTGACGATTGGCTTTTGAATACTCTAGTATATAATTCATTCCATCATCAATACAATCTGTTAATTAGTTTGGCTTGTAAAATTGTATATTGTATTTTAATAATTATTTAAAATTTTTTTAATGGGAAAAGAAATCTAAATTATAAAAATACAGTAGATACAGATAATTCAGCATAAAAAAATAGTGTTATGAAGAATAAATTTTTTTTATAGGTATTACGAAATTGAATCATCTTGCAAATATTTTTTATGAATGAATCATGTATAAAGAATATTTCAATTTAACATTTGAATGGAATTGCATTAGAAAGATAGGCGCAAATTTTCTAAATTCTTTTATTTAATTTTTAATATATAGTAAATGACAGAATATTTAATTTTTAAATTTTTAATTAACTTATCACAACAAAAAACATGTTGAACTGATGGGAAATTACAGTATTTTGTTCTTCCTAAAGTGTTACGAAATATTCTGTATTTTTATGATGGTTTAACATCTTAAATCTGTTGGAATGAAGCAACAAGACAAGGTGTATCAATTCAATGCATAAATATATTAAATTGACATAATATCATGTTATATTTTTAACAAAAAAAGTTTCAAGAAAAACTGATTGTAATAGTTGTATCTAAAATAACCCGTTACATTTTTAGCCATCAAATATTCTAAATGATTATTGAGCAAAATTATTCTACCCATAACATATTACTTATCATTATTCAAGTGTATCAGAAAAATGACTTGAATTTTTTACGTTGCCCTCTAGAGAAAAATAACGAAAAAAAATATCTTTAATATTAGCTAGCTACATTAATTAATATATCTATTTTTATTCTCTCCTCTTAAAATGATCAAAGGACATACGACAGGTGTATGCGCGTGCAAGGATAGACAAGTTTTAGTCGGATTGAGCCAACGAATCACAGGGACAAAATCGACGACAATCTCGTCAGCAATTTCGAAACATTTCAGACCAAAACCCGAGGTATTTTCATATCACCGTGGTGCTAGCTGCCAGTATAATATAGAAAGCTCGAGGCTACTTATCTGGGAGTAATAGATAGGTAGAAGGTATTTTGAGAGTTCACAAGAAGATACGTTTAATACTTTAGAGAAGATTTAGAAACCTACAAAAAAAAAATTCAAAAGAATTTTAAAATAATTACAAGAATATTTTTTTGCAATTCTGACAGTGATGAAGAAACTGCCAAAATGAATAGTAGTAAAAAGTCCAAAGATAAGGCAATAGAGGAAAGCCCACCTGTCGCTTTGACTAACAGCAGTATCTAGGGGAAAACTGACATGACAGAGTCAAGCTTCACGCCTACACAAATTGCTAGTTTTATTTCGAGGATTTTGGCCTTGACTACCGGCCAGAGAAAACTTTTGAAATATCGGAAAACGGAGAGGCTTCTTTTGGATCTTCAATAAGACACTTTTCTAAAAGAATAAGATCATGATGATGTAAAATTACTTCAATTTTCGATTGATGTGCTTGAAGACAATTTAGTTCAATCTGATCCTAAAACAACAAATATCAAATAAATACATTTTCACAATTACGATAATATGTAATTTTAATATAAGATTAATACAAATATTTTTATAATCGATAATTAATTATTCTTGGTATCCAAAAAATTAACAAATATTTTTGTTATCAAAATTATTGATAGAAATTTATAGTCAAATATTTATGTAAAAAAATATGAACATTGTGTTGATATTATAAATATCATATTGACAATAAAACTCTGCTTAAGCCGATGAGAAGTTATAGTAACAAATGAATGTTACAGTTGAGTAGAAGGCTTCATCAAAGTATCACGAATAAACCAGGTTAATAGGCCACCAGATACAATTAATCCTCCCCTTATTGAAAAATAAATAAGTTCATTAAGTGATGTAAAAAATTAGAGTATATCCTAAAATGACAAAAGGCATACGAGAAATCATTATTGTACTAACAAAAAATTTATAACTGAGTAATTGTAAAAAAAAAATAATATTTTAAGATGGTAATAAATGATCATGCAAGAAGATTCTACTTCCAACATAAATTAATAGTAATGAGTCAAAAACTGGGTCATTACTCTCATGTGATTTATATAAGCGATTTTCATTCCAACAGAAGATGTATTTAAATTATTTTGATTTGAGTAATGAAGGATACTATTAGTTATTAAATAAAATAATTTTTTAATATTATTGTTTTTGTATTGTTTTTATATAATTCTTCTTCAAATAAATGAAATCAATTCATTTTTTATAGATCAAAACAAATATTGTCGTTAACATAATCAAATAATATTCAGCTTAAACTGATGCCCTTTGTCATTTTCAAAATAAAATAGAAAACTTTATGATCAATATTTCATACCAAATGAGCGATTTAGTCATCAATGGCTGTCTTAATGGATTATATAAAGTTACTCGATAGTCCTTATTTTTCTGGAAGTGTTCCAATATTTGGTTGGCTCTAGAAAATTTAATAAATTCATTAAAAAAATTCATAATGACTAAAGTAAAATTGTTCTTAAAATTAATTTGATGCATTAATAATTCGATTAAAAATATAAAGAAGGATTCTCTTGAAAATTACAAATAAAGAAAGACTGTACAAATGAATTACTGATAGTAATTCCCGGGATAATTTGTATCTAAATTGAGTCGAGCGGTGGCAGCTGACGGAGAAGTACTTACGCTCTTAATGCGTACTACGTTTGGATGAACCTTGGATATTATTAACTTCTCGTCGCTTACCTGAGATTGGGCCAAGTAGACGATGATTTTTCATCCAAAACCGACAGTAATCATGATTGTACTAGTGATTTTATTTGGGAATGATGTAGATGTGATCAAACTTACGTTTTGTAGTTCGAAGTTGCAACTAATATACTCCGTTTCGATTGTGGTTGAATAGTAATCGCTCCAAATGATGCAAGAGTCTCAGAGATCTTGAAAAAAAAATAAAATCTATATTTTAAAATCATATATTTGTACTAAAGATATATCATTAAATCAATTAAACAATAAAATAAAATAATTCCTAATGAGAATAGAAATATATTTTAATACAACTCTAAATAGATTTGATCTTACTCAGTCACATAACAATCATTCTCTCAACTATGACTCAATACTGCAATAATTGAATAGATCAAATTATTATGATTGACTTTAAATTACACGTGTCTATAATTAACGGCAATTTGTCTGTAGCTAAATTTAAAATTTTATTTTAGAATATATAATATATTGATGATCAAACAATTGGAAAGAATCAAAATGATTGAATTATTTCATCTGTGTAGCATAAAAAATAAATTACCTCTTTTATATTGATTAAACTTAATTTATCTGAAGAGATATTAATCCAAGGTGGTCGCGTAGAATCAGGATCTGGACCGTCTAATTTCTTTAACAAAAATTAAAAAGAATGATTACCAAAAAAATATATATATATATATACATTAAATATATATAAATATATTCTATTATATCGTATTCGAGTAAATATACTCAATCTATTAATTATGTAACTATGTGAATAACACTACATAAAATATTCAAATAGAAATGATGGTAAAGTTATAAATATTTTGTTTGTCATTTGATCTAAAATATAAAGAATTTTGTTTATAACTTGGTGCGATTTATTCGTAAACAAAATTTTCAAGTAAATAAAAATTTTTATTATATCGTAGTATTTTAATGGTTTTGATAAATAAGTTGACTTACTAAATACGATAGATCTGCTTGAATAATATTAATACAATTCTTGTAGTCTTTTATTCCATATAAAATTTCCGTATTTGTCAATTCAGGTATATCATGGATGCTAAAAAAGAAACAAAATTATTAATTATTATTTTATTTCGTTAACTTAAAGAATTATAAATCATAAAACATTTAGCTGTTTTAACTAGCATTGAATAGAATAGATTTCACACCTATTACGATTATACAATGTTTGTGCATAAGCTATTTTGATAAAACAATAAGCTGCACAAAATGAATCCCATCCAGCATCGTGATATTTCTCATTATCTAAAACAAAACAAATACTAAATGTATTGAATACATCTCGCTTTGTCTGTTAAAACTGATAATTATAGTTTAAGAAAAATTTAATCATATAAACAAGTTGTATTACTATTATTTGTTTTTCCTGTAACTTCAATCACAGGTGAATTTAATAACAATGGAGTTCTTGCTTCACGAATAAAATATTCGAATAACTCCTTAAGTACGTTAGTTTTGTATGCTCCTACAAAATAATTAACCTTTAGTTTATTTAATTAAATAAAAGAAATTTTATTGTAAAATTCATAATTTATCATACCTGCTTGTATAGATTTTTTCAAGCGATAACTGAGAAATTTAGTATCGTAAATAGTAGGAAACATACGATTGATATCTTTCTTGAATACTTCATAATTCTTTGGTAATGGTTTATAAAATTGTTTGTACATAAACAATAGATCTAATAACAAATTATGACCTATAATAGGTTTTTTTAATGTTAATAATAACTTAAAAACTCTAGTAAATCCTAAATAATAATCAATGATTTGATTTTCTAAAATAGTGTTATGCTGCTTTTGTGCTTGTTCTTCCAATGCTTCTCTAGTGTCTTTTGATACTTTGATAACTATAATGGATTTTTCTTTTGATTCAGTCCAAATATCCTTAAAAGAATTTCTAAGCTCTCGTTGGAGATAGCATTGATGAATAAAACTCTCACACTCTATTTCAATCGACTGAGGTACAGATTGATTATTCGACTTAAACTCTTTTAACCATTTGAATACTTTATCAATAGAATCAGTGAATACATCCTCATAGGTGCAATTGTTGAATATACGAAAATTATTCGCATAATTATTATTTTTAAGACTTTCTCTGAGTTTCAATTCTCCTGTTTCATCTAGAAAAGAGATCCCATTGTAGCACAACTAAAATCAAAGTATGGATGCAATCATTGATAAAATTTGAATAAAGAAAAGGTAAATAGGTTTTTATTTTGTTACTAATGATTGCAAGCAGTTTTAGTTAAAATAAATTACATTCAAGTTTTAGAATTATTACCTTATTAAAGTCAAAGTTGTGACGAGTAAGAAATTCTAAACTACTGATTTGAATGGAAAATTGTCCATCATCAAAAGGAAGTTGCTTTGGCAAGATATGAAAGCTATATGTTTCACTATAATACTTATTTTCATCTCTTGAGTACTTTAATGTTGTCAGTCCTATTTGTATGATAATAAAGGAATTAATATGGTTACGTAATTTATCATATCGTAGTGGCATCGAATCGAAAAGTCTGAAACATAAAAATCATAAAATCAAGTTAATTATTTGCATTGATACAATTATTCTTATTATATGAAGAGATGAATATTTCAAACACAATTTTTCGATACATAATAGACTTATATTTAGATAATTCGAGTGTCATTCGATTTGTAATTGAATTTTGTATCGAATAACACTCGAAGTATTCAAATATAAATTTATTATGTATCGAAAAATTGTGTTTGCAAATTTTGGCTAATTTGCCGTGTTCAATAGCTCCAAAGTAGAATAGCTTTTGTGGTTATTTATTACTTACGTGACACCGGGAGCATTTTCGTTTTGAATGCCAGAAAATTCAGCATCAAGAGAAATTAAAGCTGCATTTTTTAATGAATTTTCAATTGAAGGATATTTGTCAATAAAATTATTGGCATCAATTTCATACATAGTGTTTTCATCACACTTCATCACAGTTCAAAAGCTTTTGTTTATTGAGGTTATGTACAGAAGCCCGCCTCGACGTAGTCTTGAGTGCTGCTTTTTATAGCAACACCATCTCCTGTCTTTTTGACGAGTCTCTAATCACGTTTTTACCGTCTATTTCAATTGAGCTTTTATACTAGTCTCTCTTCTCTGACGTGAGCTTTACGGGCTTCTGTACTTCTCTGTTCCTTATATTATATTATATTATATTTATTATATTATTAATTATATTATATTATATTAGTATTCTTTGGTTAAAACTGTAAAGTTGCTTCATTGTACCTTCTCTGATAAGACAGTATTTTTTACAAAGAGTAAATCTCTTTTTTATCAATAATTGATAAATCAAAATGGCTGCGCATGCGCTCAAAGTGCACTCTAACGGAGTTTTTCACAAATAATTGCATTGAAGATGGCTGTCATGAACGTGATGCTGTTTGACGTGCATAAAATATGATAGTTTTTTCCGTTCATTCGGCGGCACAGTTTCCTTGACGTTTGTTATTTTAGTGCGATTATTAATCGCGCTTAAAATTCGCCGCGATTACCGTCAAAGTGGATAAAGTGATGGCCTTGGTGACAGTGCAACGATCGCCGAGTGTCTCTAGCTCGCCTCAGAGTTCAGTGAGTATTAGTTTATTTTATTTTCAAATATTTTTGATGGACATTTGCTGTTTAATTTTCTGACCCTTCAAAATATTATTTCAATCATTATGCATTTATAAAAATTAACCTAAAAACTTGGCACGAGAAAATGTCAAAAATAGAGTGTTTTGACAAAGGAAGCTAAATTGTTTGGAAGGTTGTGTCAATTTAAAACAAAAGTTTTTCCTTTTTAGGATTCTTCATTAAGTTATCGATTTTTTCTCTGTAATTCGTTCATTGAGGTGATAATGAGAAACATTCAGGAATTGAATAGCAACAACATTCTTATGATTTACAAGCCGGCAAATTTAAAGACGCGGGAAGGAGCAGGATCAATTTTTGTGCCTAAACATCAACCCAAACGTTCAACAAGCGACGCCCCCTTGAGATATCTAAATTTCTTGATATTTATTTACATTTTTGTTTCAGTGAACAATCGAGTTTTCTTTAGTATACCAAAACAAATTGCATTTAATCATCAGTTCTATACAATGATTATTATGTTTACTGTGTGGTTTGTTAAATTGGTTTGTGGAAAACTATTTAATGAAAATTTCATTAAAATCAAATTATTTAGGGAAAGTTTTTTTTTGATATTCACGAGTCTTGTCGTGCAATTTCCTAACAGAATTTCCTGAGAGTTCTGGGAATTTTAAAGAGGGAGAGTGATTCTAATATTGGAACAGTCGTTTCATTTGTCAGTATAAATACTGAGCTTTAATATTATGAAAATTTTTATTTTTCATTTAAGTAATCATGATAATTATAATTAAAATACAATTGTTTCCTTACAAAATTAATTATCAATATGATTCGATAAACATATAATTGCATAAGATTATAAAAAATTGTGAACAAAAACATATATATTTATATTTCTGATAATTTGGTAGATGAGTCAATAATTTATTCTTATTCTTAATATTAATTTAAAAGATTCTAAAACTATGGAAATACACAAAGAAGTCTCACAAATATTTTGAATGATTTTTGGCTCTGGATAGTATGAAACGATGCCAATTTCTGATGAATCTTTCTTCTATATTTATTAATTACTTTATTCCACTTAAAGTTTGTTACTTTCTTACTATATTAATATTTTTAAAAATTCATAAATATCTACTGTCATCAGATATTATATCTAAAGTAGAATATCTTAGTTTAATTATAAATCATGATTAAAAAATTATAAAAAATTCATTCATTTGTAAAATTATGGTTTATCAATAATCCTAGAATAGTATTGACCAACTTCTTATGTCCATGTAAATTCATAAATTGGAGATTAAATATTTCGTTCATTGTTTCATGTTATTACAAAGTATTTTACTTCATTATCAATACTTTTATTTCGATCGTGGGAAAAAGTATTTTCTCTTAAATTTCAACCTTATTTTTCATTAAACAACGACTTAAATATTTACTACAAGTTGCGACTATCAATTCACTGTCAGCTTTGCTATTTTTTCTTTTCCAGAAAAACAACGACATTCTACACTGGTGATTCGACTCTGTGGAACTTGAAAAACCAGACAAAAGCATGAAAAATTAAACCTATTTCATTTATAAACTGAAAAAAATGATTTCTATTAATTTTTCAAGATGCAGAGGGTCGTATTGTTTTTTTCTTTTTGATGACGTAAGAGCGTCAGTTTGCTGGCGACGTCTCAAGTTTTGTCCATAGGACAATTTCGAGACTCGTTTGTACACATAAAACATTAGAGTAATGTTAAAGTGCGCACACGAGTGTAGTAAAGTTGCTTTGTCTTATTCTCCTGCTTCTTCTCCTCTTTCCTCTCACTTGGCACTTGGTATCTTTTCTGCTGCTCGGCTTCTTGATGACGATGGAGAGCGAGTACTAGAGGCGAGAAATTTGGGTGTTCGCAGTTTAGTTGAGACCGTGCGTTCCATCGCATCAGATGCTTGCCCTTGAGCCTGTGGTTACTTTAGTGTGAGTGTCTTATAGAAAAATTTATAAATATCTTGTTATAATACGTGGAAAACCAGAAATTCTTGTTCTATAATGATCGTTTTAATCAAGTTATCGGGATAAGTGACCGTAAAATTCAAGATCAATGATAGTTAAAATGCAATGTTTTTGTCATTAGTTCTTACCAATTTTGAAAATAAAATAGTTAGTATGGTTATAAAATAATACCAACAAAATGGTTTATATTCTTCCACCACCAGATTCTCCAAAACCTCCTTCACCTTGGACCAGTATTCGATTGTGTTATGAGACTGGAAATGATAATAAACACGTGAAGCCCAGAAGAATTCGACGTTCACGTGCTATCCAATTGAAATGTCAAAATTTACAATCTAATGTAAGAATTTCTAAGTCTTCATTACTCTGTCTAATAAAAAACAGTTTAAATTAATATATTGTATTCTAGTGAAGAATATTTGGAGTAATTTGAAGTTTTCAAATCTTTGTGATTAAAATTTTAAATCAAATATCTGCACTAATCACCATTTTGTGGATGATTTTTGGCAACATCCTGATGCATTTCAATGATCCATCAACATTTATTGTTATTATATAATTTTATAAATAATATTTTACTTTCATTTTATTTTCAAACTTAATGATTTTGTATTTTACAGTTACTTAATAACACAGGCTAAGAGGAAATACAAAGAAATCAACATTTTATTTTTAATAATTTTAATAATCTAATATTTTTGTAAGTGAAAAATATAACCTAAAAAAATTAATATCGAATATTTTTCAACATCTAAAAATACATAAGAATGAGGTAAATTAGCTTGAAAAATTTTTTGTCTCAGTAAAAATTAGTTTAGTAATTTTTCAAAAATGTAAATTTAAAATTCAATTTACTTATTATGTCTCTTTTAAAAATTAAAATTTCCAAAAATTGTTTATGTAAAACTGATATTGTTATATTCAGTATCTCCACAGAAGAATATAATTATATATAATATGTTATAATATAATATTTAGCATCAATTGAAAGAGAGACACTTTAATTAATTAATTGATTTTTTTTTCAATAACAATTATTGTCGAAACTATGAGACGTAGATTTGAATTTTCAATTCATTAGGTATTTATTCAATCAAAATGTATATGAATTACAATAATTTTAAGCTAACATTTCAAATAATAAACAACTAATAATTATTGTCTATTAGAGTATGCTTAACTAAAATTAACCAATGAACTCAGTTAAAAAAAATAAAATACAAAAATTTTGTTACATGTATTATCAAGTAATGACTTGATGACCTTTGTTCAGTGAATCCAATTGAATTCAAGTATTTTTATATCACTTGATATATGAAATTTTATTGAAATATTAAATAATTTATCAATTAACTTTTAACGATTTAAATGTCAAAGTTCATCTTCAAATTGTAGACATTACATATCTTCACTGACGAAACCAGTTATGAAATGATTTTATTTATTTAGCTTAGCTAAATATCAACATTTTTTTTTTTTAAATTTACATCAATAATGTTATAATTATGTATCTTTAGCTTCTTGGATAGTTGAAAACAGTCAATTAATTCATGGATAATGAATGAATTTAGCTATCGTATCCGTTCTGATTTTTTACTATTCTATTTGCGTGTAGTTGTAATTGATTCAGGTCATGAATTTGAAATTGTCTTCAATCCAATGATGTATTCTTAGTCCTGTTGTTCGATTGTCGCAACCTTCTGACCTATTTTTCTTTTATGTAGTTACTGTTTATTTTTACCGATAAGTTTATTATCTTATTTGACAATTTTTCAAGATACTATATAAGAAACATCTCATGTCTACATTCATAAATTTTCTTCTTTATCTTTATTTAATTATTTATTTATTTATTTTTAAGGACTCAGGAGCAGGAGCACCAGCTGATGAAGAAGATTCCAATCGTGGCTGCAAAAGGTAAAAAAATTAAAATATTATTATATATTATTATTTTATATTTTATATCAGTTTATAAGATTAACAATTATAGATAATTAATTTGAATATATTCTAATTTTTTTATCCATAATAATTAGATATGAAGTGAAAACGAACGTTTAAATTTTTTTTTTTAATGTTCAATTCAATGTTGATCCGTAAATTTACAATCAAAGATTCCATGCTAATGAGTGGAATAATTTATTTATTGATTAATTAAATGATTAATCAAACTATCAAGAACTTTCATTTTGATGATTTAATTTGTCGTTTTTTACCAACATTTTTATTTACCGTTTAACAAAATTTTCCTTTTATGAACACGAATAAATGTAGAGATTCTAATAGAAAAAACAACAAAAATTAGCGGAGAAAGTATTCTGTCCATTAACATTCATTTTAATGAAATAGCGCGTGAAATATTTTTTTCTGTTTTCTAATCAAATAAACTACCGTCATTTGTCGGCTATTTAAGATAATCAATCAAATCAAAGATGTGTAAAAGTGCTTTCTGCAAATATCCTTCAAATATACATCACCTTTTGTTTCTTTTTTTTAGTGAAATTATTGACTTAATGTAGTTCAAATGAGAGTTTATTACTGGTTTTTTTTTCTTTTTTAACATTGATATTTTCCGACTTATGTCTCATTCTCTTATTATCATTTTTTAATAATGATTCACTTATATCAATATCTTGTTGTTAAGTTCGATACGCGTAGACGCTCGTCACGGTGCAATAGTTGCGTCCCCGGGGCAATAAAATCAATCTAAAAAGATTTAAAGTAGACTGGAAGTCATAGGAATTTACAACAGTCATTTAACTCTTCAAAAGCGAAAGTAACGCACAATTACTTTATTACTGTCATTATTACTGTCAGTTCTATATATTTTAAATTACTTCATTCCGTAAGACATTTTTTTTTCTTACATTTATGCATATTTTATTATTCTCTCTAACGATTTAATTTGTCTTTTATTTTCATGTACAAATACTTATTTTATTCTAATAATACGTAACCTTTGCTTAAAAAAATAAAACAAAAAAAAAATGATGAAGCCAATGAACTCTAGATCAGACCGAACTTGAGATATTTGTATCCAAACTGAAATTCGTAAAACCGTTATCTTTATCCCGTCTGTTTTGCCATCAAGACTTCCTCATTCTCTTTTACTTCTTCGCTTTCTTCTTTCTCATTCCCTTTCTTCATCATCAATTTTGTTCCATCTCATGACTGATGGCTTCAAGCAGAGGTTGATAACCTTAATAGTAAAAACAATGACCGGGTCAGCTCATTATTATCAACATTATCATTACTACATGGAAAAAATTCGAACTCAAATTTTAGCAAAATTTGCTATAAATAAAAAAAAATTATGTTTTTATAGCAATAAATAAGAAATTATTATGAAAATTTACTATTCTAGATTGTAATTATTTGGATGTACTAGTTTTTATCCAGTACATATTAAAAATAATTCTCTGCATCCGACTAATTTCAGAGTATGTAAAACAGATGAAATTTCGCGACTAAAGATATCATATTAATGAAATATAATGATAATTAATTACTTACAGAAAGTTTTCTAGTATGAGTCGTTTAATACATTTTTATGTAATATTTTTTATATGTTCTCGTGTATATTAATATTATATTTTTGCGGTAATTGAGAGATATTTTTTGTCGTTGTCGCTGACTCATGTACACATGTCCTTTTTTATACTTTCATTTATATGTTATTTCAAATGAAATCAATTAGTCGTTATCATTGATTGATTTTTATTCAAATAATAAATAATTATTAGTTACAAAAAAAAAAATATTCCTTAGCTTCATAAATAAATAAATAACTGATAAACAAAATAAAAAGTATTAAAGTTATTTTGAATTTTTAAATTTCAATGTGATTAATTTGTTTACTTGAATAACTCAAGTTGTGTAATGAAAATTTTTTAATTTATGGATAAAGTTAATGAGATTGAATCTAATTTAAGCTTCCAAGATTTAAAGTTAACTCGCATTTTGATAATAAAATTATTTTATAGTTGAAAAAAAAATTCTAAAAATTTAATTGACGAATTTTATTCAAAATCTTGATACTTAAATAATTTATTGTTGTATTCTACTCCGTTTTTTACCATCTCATAAAATGCAAAGTAATAAAATCTATTAAATCTTGCTACATTACCATCAGCTACCTGGCGATCGGTTTAAAATACTGTAAGTTAAATAAAAGAAGCACAAGTGTATATATGTATGTATGTATTTCGATATACAGACTGACTGGTTATACCTTCCCCTTCTACTGAACATCGGTTACTACCACCGGTTCTCCTTCTTTTGCCTTTTCCCCAGACCCTTCAGTTGCTTTGCAGCAGTCGTTGCGTTTGGAGCATCATGTTTATTCTTAACTAAATTCTAATCGATTCAACTAAAAAGCTAATATTTAATATACTAAATAAAATGAAGAAATTAATACGAAAAGTATTGTTGTCAATAATGTAGTTTAACTCCAGTGAAAGTGATGTTAATTAATTATAAGATATAAATTATCGGTGTGCTGGTTTAAAAAAAGAAAAGAATTAGAGCAAATAAAATTACATGATTTATTGCTGTTAGTATCAATTTTATCAGTCAATGATTATTGAAATAACTTTTAGAATAAAATCATGATATTGTTAAGTAATTAATTGATATAAATATATGCTAATGATTGGAATAAAAATGTTTGACGCCATGTTGTCTCTTGAAGAGAAATGAACACGTGGTCCTGAAGAAGAGAATTCTCTTCCTCATTCTCTTCTTCTTATTCTGCTTTAATATATTTTTTTATTTGCTTTAATGCTCATACAAAGATCTTAAGTAATGTTGACCGATGACGCGTGTTGAGAATGTCAAAGAGTGACTATCAATGATGCAACTGAAGATGCCACAGGATTTGATCTGTACATCATCAATAAAAACTCGTTTTTAAATGGTTTTCCAAAATATCGACATGAGGAATCCTGGATTCCTCTTCGAACATGCTAGACACGGATATATTCAATATGTCAGGTAATTTATTTATTCAGAATATTTTTTTTTTATTTCATGCTGATTAAGCGAAATTTTACATCGTATCAACTGGAAAGTACATTCGTGATTGGTTAAGTTATTCCATAGGATTACATAAAAGTGCTTAAATGTTATGTTTATATTAATTGGTTTTATGTAAAGCTCGTTTTAAAATTTTTATTTCAATAATATCAGAAAAAATGTCAACTCAATAAACTAAGGGTATTTGATAATAAAAGAAAAAAATACAGAATATCAAGTAAACATTTTATTTTTATTAGTATTTGATATTTAAAATATTTTATAGAATGTCTATCAAATATTTAACTTACTGAATTTATAATGAAGTTAATTTTTTAAGTCAATATGATGCATTGAAAATATTCAATATTTATATTTAATATTTTAACATATATACTAAATATTAAAATATTTAATATTAAGTATATATAGATATATTGATATTAATAATTATATTATATATTTATCATAGTAGAAGGCTAAGTTATCACTAATCTTTAATGCTAAAAAAATTATCCTATTCAATTTAGTTTATGTTTATAAATAATAACTTTATCGGTTATAATTTGCAAATAAATACCTTGAAAAATTAGCACTGTATTTTAGATAGGATATCAAACTCTAAACACACAACATAAGACATCAATGGAATTTTATGTATATTCTTATTTTTTTTTTTTTAATTTAATTATTAAACAAGAGTATCTAATAAGTATTGATTAATAACCCCCATATAATGCATGATTCTTTTTTAGTCTGAAAAAAAATGATTCTACTTAAGGTCTAGACTGTTTTTAATAATATTGGTATTATCATATTTGTCACTGGATGCATTGTAGAGTTAAAAACTGATTACCAAAAATAATTATTAAAATTAAAAAACCTAGAAAAGAATAACATTAGTTTTATTGTCTTTCAAACATTAAGTATCTCATCATATACAGAAATTAGCTAAAGTTATTAAAAAAGTTTTTTTTATCGTTGACCTGTGTCATGATAGATAAATATGATTACACAAACTTCACTGAGAGAAAATTAATATTGAATATCTCAACAAGGTTATTGAAGTCATTTGAAGTAAGGTCAGGTTTGAATAAATTCTAACGAAAAAAAATACTGTGTGTATTCCTGAGAATTTGATGAGTTGAGAAAGGTTTAGTAAACAATGTAGTAAATTTTAATTCATTGCATAATACTTATATTGTAATATTAATTAACGTTAAGATTTTATTATTAATGAGAAATATAATATAATGGAAGAATAATATGAAAACAATTTAGATAAGGATTTGAATACATAAATGAAATTAAAGAAAAAAAAAACAAAGGCATAAGTTATGATGATTATGGAATTATTGGTGATTCTGAAATCATATAATATAATAAACTACTTTCGCTATGACCTTCTACGGTTGGGTAAACCTCTAGAGTAAAGCATATCCATTCGAGAATCTCTGAAATTTACGACTGTCTTTTTTGTATACATTGTTTTAACTTGGTAAATGATATAAAGAACAACAAGATCATAAGTTTACTTTTGATGGTCCTAGGGTTATTGCAAAATTACATGGGTTCTGCATTAAACTTTGCTCTAAAAATATCTTTTGAAATAAAAATTCAACAAAAAGTAGGGAATGAAGTAGACCCACTGAAAGAACTAACAATTTTTGCGATTTTTTTTTTATCTTTCTTTGTAACTCCAGACCCTCTTACCCCATTTTTTAGCTTTCTCTAGAGCCCTTTTAACACAGCCACGTGTCTATAGCACTACTGCAATACAACTGACGGGGATAGAGAACCAGATCAACATTAGGGGAAGGTCGCAGCCTTGTTTCCTTTGTTCAGGCACTCGAGAAAGAGATGTAGGGAGAAAAATCAAGATTAGAGAGATGTTGCTAAGACCTTGAGCTCTATTTTCTTTCTATTATTTAAAGCCTCTCATTTGAAAATGACTCTTTTTTTTTTCTTTTATTCATTTAAGCATCAATTTTTATTAATTAAATATTTAATGTCTATGTTTTTTGAAGATATTTTTATTATTTAAAATTATATTGTAGACCTGATGTTGAAAATTATATTGTTTCCGAGTCTAGACTCTTATTAGTTGCTATACCTAACATGCACTATGAAGAAATAATCAGCCGTGGTTGCTTGGAAACGGAAGCCACAACATGAAAATTAAAGGAATTTATGGTGCACCGACACTAGAAGAGAAAATTATTTATTAGAGACTGTCTAAGCCGAAAAATTGCTTTAAATTTTCAGCTTTGCAAATTCGGTTATTTTTTTGAAAAAATTTGATAATTATTAAACCCTTTTTACACTGATAAAAGAAATTTGTAATAGAAAAGGAGGCTTTTTAAATGTTAAACAATATTTTGTAACAGTTGAAAAATTGCTTTTTAACAATAATCTTTTATATCAGTATAGCCCAAGATTGAAAAAAAAAATTATGTTGATAATGAAATGAATTTAGGTATTCAAAAAAACGAAATTTAAAAATATAAAAATTTTTAAATAATAATAATAATTATTATTATTATTAATTATTTATTGTTACTATTGAAATTTCATCATTTTTGTTTACATCAAAATTCATGATTAAAATTTTTTTATAACAATTCCAATGAATTTTACACGTAAAGACTTTTTTGAAAATCATTTTGACATTTAAGGTCTTTTTTAACCAGTCCTACCCTGAGGCATGGTTATTTTTGTTACCTAAAAAAAACCCTCTGAATGTCAAGGTAAGTTATTTCACAAAAAATTTTTTGTTTCAAAATTTTTTCAAGTCTTTAATTAGTTAGATTACTTATTAACAACATTCACATATCCCAAGTCATTCTTTAATTAAATTCAATCGTAGTATTTAATATTAATAACTTGTTTTTTGTGGTGATTAACTGTGTAATCAAATCAGTAAAAAAAATTAATATATTCCATTATTATTGAAATTATCTATAATCTAATCATAAATCTTGAGTCTTTCTCACGTTTTTCCAACCAACGTTTCTTTTTTCTACAATATAAAACTAATTTAAACATCAAGCAACGTAATGCGAAAAAAAAACTCAGCATTTGAAGTGCTTCAGTGTAAATCTTCAGGGGGTATAACTCTCGATAATTCTGACAGGAAGATCTATCGGATCACGACAACGTTTAGAGGGTGTAGGAAAGCGTAAAGTAGAAAGGGTTGAACAGAAAGGGTAGTTGAAGGATCGATACTCTTGTCTGCTGGTCTTTCTCTTTGTTTTTTCATTCCGGTTATCCCCGACATGATGGTGATTATGAAAGATTGTCTGGGCATTGGGTCCAGTCGATTGCACAATCACATTAGCGATCGTTCGTCAAGGCGAAAAAATGCATAAAGCATACATGCAACATCGAGAAAAGCTTTATAAATATTCTTCACAGTGACTAAAGTAACTTCAAACGTCAGGATTGCGATTTAATCCGTGAGAATGCATAATAAAGCAGCTTTAAAGTAGCAAGGGGACATACACTTTGATATCGATTGTCTTTATTGTCATTCCCGAAATAATTTATTCATCTTGTTTGTATGTGACTACTAAAATACGACGTAAGTTTTAATCATTTGAAAAGTATTAGCTTTTTAATCTTTACTACACTGAGAAAAAATTTTTATTATACAAAAAAAAAATATCCGTTTAATCAATCCCGAATAAAACTAAATAGACCTAAAAGAGGCCCAAAAAAAACCCGATACAGACCCAATTAAAGCCTAATCTTAACTCGAAAGTATTTTCTAGGCCCACAACACGCCCAAAAATATTTTTGGGCCTGAATTCGCTTCGTTGCGGGCCCAAAAAATTTTTTAAAATTGAATTGGATGCGTTGTAGGCCTAAAAAATAATTTGGGCACGAATGGAGCTTCTATTGGGCCTCACACAAAAAGTGATCATTTTTACTCGAGATAAACAGAATTTGAATTTTTTGTTTTTACATTATCACCTAATTGATAATGAAAATCTTTTAAAAAGATTACAATTTTTGTGCTCGAATTAGCCAAGTAATCTTTTATTTCAGAATTTCGATTATCCATTTCCTAAAAGAAATATTTTTGCCACTGATTAGTTATTATGTAATTTCTATCATGTTATCGACATCGTTATTTTTTTTCAAACAATACCTACACCAAGGACTGTACACAGATCATTTACATGATCGTAGAAAATTACAATTCTCGGAATTGCATTATATTCTCCTGTGGAACCAGTTAAAGTGGAGATTATTTAAATATACAAATAAAACAACTTGAAGTAAATGCACGTTACTGTGACCTAGTGCTTAATTACAGTTAAATGTTCTTGTAGCTACGAACTAAGATAATTTATAAATAATTTCAGGTCGTTAAGAAATTTGAATTAATAATGAAGGATTAAAATGATTATAAACTAGTCACTATTAAAAATGAATTGTTTAAAAATTAATTCATAATTAAAATTAAGTGTAACAAATTAAAAACACTAATTCATAATATAGATATAATTTTTGAAATGTTTGAATAATTATTTACATTATAACATCAAGTGAAATGTCTGTCTCAATTAATTTTCCATCAAATTGAGTGTATTTATTTCTTATACAGCAAAGCATATTTCATTTTGTCATTTTTAATTAAAGTCAATCGATTTATTACTCCAATTTGAAACTTTTTAATCAAGAAATGATTTGTGTTATTTAATTCTCATAAATATTCATCTAATATGAAATCAATAACAGCACACACAGTTTTTTTTTACATTGAAAAAATAATTGTTTACTGGTGTGATGAAAACTAGAGTTTTAAAATCACTTTATTGATTATTTTTTTGGAGTTGTAAAATTTTTGTTGAAAATACCTTTATACCTGTATTCATTGTTGTCTTCTTCTTTGACTTTGATATAGTTTGAGTGAGTGTTACTTCGCGGGGAAAGGAGCTGCATTGGTTTTACCGCCCAATGAGAGAGCCAGACCATCAAGAAGGGTATCAGCAGCAGGATGTGACATTCAGCAGCATCTGCAGTCCATGTTTTACCTGCTCAGACCTGAGGAGACCCTAAAAATGGTGAGTAGATATCAAGGGGAACAAAAGTCAACAAAAAAATTGTATATTGATTATAAAAATGTTCGTTGAGAAATATTTCATCTAAAATCATAATCAAAAGTAATTTTGAAAATCATTAATTTCACTCACTAGTACAAAGATAGAAAATAAAACTACTAGGAATTCCTTTGGTTTTATTTATGCGACTTAGAATGCACTTTATTGATGGTCATTGACTTTACATAGTTCTTTTGTAGTTTGGATTCTTTTCAGATTACTCTGAATATAAATTTAGACATTTGTCGCAATAACTTACTCCACAGGATTCTCTGCTAGAGAGAAATATCTTATTGTTTAGAAGACTAAATTATTAAACTTCCTGGCTATCCTGATAATATTGAGCTGATTATTAATCATCACATCAGTACAAGAAAAAATGATTATTAAAATCATTTACAATTTATTCTCATTGTCTCCACAACAAATTGAAAATTATCTTCAATTCCACAGGTATAGCTACATCTTGGTAACAGACTGCGCCCTCTATCTCAAAAACGGTTGACCGTATGAAAAAATGTTAAAAACAAAATCAGTCGCAAATTTGGTGCTCGACAATTTTGATAATAGATGCTAACATCATTAGAGCAATAGAAATCGAGATAATCGCAAAAAACTGATTTTTGTGGCCTTTATGACCTTGAATAACTTACGATGCAGACACGAGATTTTATGAGACAATTTTTAGAGTGCTAAAATGAAGGTATATACGAGTTTCCAGCTTATTATGTCTCTCATTCTGAAGTTGACCAATTTTTTTCGCTCAAATAACTGTGTTGATAACTCATTATCAATCAAAGACTTAACACTCGTTGATGAGAGTTGTTTGGATATAATTACTTCAAGTGAAAGTGAAGTCTTATATTATTGACTGCTCTAAAAGTGTTTTGAAAAGTATTGAAAGGTATTCCACTTTGGATTCCATCATTTCACCAACTCTAATGTCATTTAGCTTTTTATTATCACATTAAATTAATGAATAAACTAAATTATATGTTTATTCAATTTCCCAATTTTCATACAGTTCATTTTGTGAGATACTATTTGATATCCGATTGTCTAAATTGGATCCTGTTCTGCATTAATGCGTTATTCTAGATGACAATACACTGTAGGTTGATATACTAATACAGACCAGTGTCCTATTACCATACTGGTTGGTTAAATTAGAACAGACATCTGATCAGAAATTTTTAAAAATTATCTAAAAATGTGTGAATAATAAGTGAAAAGATAAATGATAAAATGTAGCCAATGAACTTTTGTTTCAGTTCAGTTACCATGAAGTCTATTCATTTTTTATATGTCTAGATCAAAAGGTACTTTTTCTCATACATTTTCTAGTATTTAAATGACATTTTTTTCTCAGAAACTTTTTCCTAATTTCTTTGTTTTTTCTTTTAAGAGCTTGCTTTTCTTTCTGACAGTTAAACTACATAATAAAATGACAATAAAAAAATAAATAGATACATATTTCTATCATGTTGAAGAGAGTGGACTGACTTTTCTAGTAATTTTAGACAAACTTTCATTCGTTCTTTCTTGACGATGCGCATTGCTCTGTGACAGGATTACAGTTGCGACACTTTCACAAGAATAAGTGGTCATTCTGTCATCTATTCACTGGTTGGTTTTATTTCAAATATTCTATACCTTCACTCATATTTGTTTTCTCGACAAGTGTTAGGTACTCAAGAGAAATTACTTTTAACTTGTAGCACAAATAAAAAAGAACTGAAAACAGAGAAACATGACACAAGTAAAAAGAAATCATTAGAGTTGTAGGTATATATAATATAAATATCATTTTCTGTTTAAAGTGCAGTCTCATCAATAATTCACTTTCATTGAAATAACAAAGATTGTCTTCTCCAAAAAGACTTTCACATGGATAAGAATAGACATCACTAAATCTTTCTGGAATCCAACATCCAACATTTGCACTATTGCACATAGATCCAAGCTGGTGGCCTCATTTTCAAGAGCTACAGGTACACAGATCTAAAACCACAGCAACCTTCTTTGCCCTTCTATCTCCATTTCACGAGAGGAGTCAGATCGATACTCGATATTCCATGACATTTCACTATTTTATGTACAATACCATCTTGTTTCTAGTTTACAGTTGATACTTACTCAGTTAAATCTTCTAGAAAAATGTTTGTATTCAATTTATTTTCATCAAATACAGTTTGAACTCTAGGTATTCTCAAAAAAATTATAAATAATAGTATTTTTTAAATAAATAATGAATGAACTCATGTTATTTTGCTTGCTTGTTGAATGAAAAAAATGAAATCAAGGCAAGTTGAACAATGATTATTGGTATTTATAATTTCATTACATGAAATCATCATCCTATAAGTAAACACGATGATTCGATCGGAATATATAGATAATTTTAGTCTCAATGCCGAGTAGATAGATAAAAAGCAACGTTTTTGTATGAATTCTTGATAGAATAAAGCTTTCAATGAGTGTTAAGAGTAAAAATTGGGTCGATTCATTGAATTTTCATGAGTTTAAAGAAAACCTTAGCACAAAAGATTGGCCAGTTGTTGGTTGGTAGTATCAGGACTTTTTGTCGCAAGTTCATCTTCGCACGTTTCTTATTGGTAAGAGCCCGGTTGGACCGGTTGGCCTCAGTCGAACGTTGGACTCTACTCTCAAGCTCGTCCTAGACCGGCCGCTCCCTCCTATGCACTCATCGGTTGTCTTTTATAGGCTTTACGGCTCCCATTAGACTCTTCAGCTTTCCCGACTCATCCGAGGATGCGTAACGCGGCTGCGCTCGTCATATACGTCCTGCTTGTGTGTTTGTACTGGTTGCAAACCATCCGCGAAACCCGGTAAGTCGATAGAAGCTGAAGTGAAAGAGCGAGTCAAGAGGAACGACCGTCTGGAGATGTTATCTTACAGACTAAGCGAGTTATGCCCCAAGCATCAAAGTTGCCACGAGTGCCAAGTCATGATCTACCTCGGAAATATCAAGAGATGTTACATACACCTTTTTAGCGTCCAGTCTTCTTTCATATCACTCCCATTGCCATGTTGGATGTTCAACAGAACACGTGGGTGCGTTCGCGGAAACACTTCCGTATTGATGCCAACCCAGACGACATGGATTTATGTATTGAATGATGTAGGCGTGACCTCGTTGATTCGATAGAAAATAATCTCGCAGCTGCAGATTTTATACATTCGATTTCATTTCATCCTAATTTTGTTGAAACAAAGGAATATTTATGACCTAGGTCTATCATGTTTTGGCATTCATTTTTACCCTTGAAATGATGATGGAATTTTTATGATGGAAACTGGAAAAATGCTATCACTGAGAAAATTATTTAGTAAATTTGACTATTAGGATTAGAGAAAAATTTATTTTTAAAATCTAGTAAAAATTATTAAAGAAAGTAGTAGAAAGTACTATTTTAGTTGATAAAATTACAAAAAAAAATGGTAGACTACATAAAATTTGTAGGCATTTAAAAAATCAAGTAGAATTAATGAAATATTTCTCTTAATGGACATAAATCGATATATATTCATATAAATTATTATCAAAAAATAAATTTTAATTAATAATAAATAAAATTAATTATCCTTTTATTCAGCAATATTATATCATTTTTTTTGTAATCATGATCGATTATGTTTTTTTATTATCTAATGACTCTTCTTCTCCATCATTAATAAGTAATTAATTATTAGTTTCCAATAATTCATTAATAAAAAAAATTTCCATAATAACTCGATTGAAAGATTAATGAATACAGACAAAGATAATATCAAGATTTCATCAAATTTATTTCCAACTTTTAACTTCAAAGTTTTTTTTATACCCATCTAACTAAAGATTCATCAAGGTATTTTTTAATATAATTAATATGGAGGTTATAGATGTAAATGACTTCTGATGATTTTAAGCATGCAATGGATAAAAAATATTTAAGATCATTTTCATGTCAAATATTTTAAAAATGACAGACAGTATGTAGAAATTATGTAGGATTTTATTTCGTGATGTATCAGACTTTCTATCATAAAGGTCAATAGATGTTTGTGGTAAAGTCAGTTTTACTAAAAGTGCAACATGCTATTATTCGGCAGGTGTATTTAGAAAGAAGTCTTTAACAAACACTTTTTTATAATCTCCAAGAGAAAAAATTATTTCCTGTTTGTTATTTATATTTGTTGATGTTTTTCCAAGTTTTTTTTCGAAGGCATTAAAATAGATATTAAATAAGTGAATAAATACCTTTTAAACTTCACTGATGCACTATAATTCACCAAGACTTTTGCGTCTCTAATTCCATCAAACCATGTAATGCTAATTTTCCAATGAGAAATAGATCTCTTGTCTGGCTTTTCTTTCCAACTGTCCTTGTATCTCTATTCTAAATTCTGCAAATCATTGTAGGATGTAGATAAATAGGATTTCACTTTCTAAATAATACATTTTGTCGAAATTAAGTAGGATTATTATTATCACAAATTGTGTACATGTGGGCGATTACTTTCATCTTTACTCTTCTCTTATGTCTCGTATTATTCATGGAGGCGTTCATTTTACTTCCGATTCTGAGCTGAAAAAAAATAATATTTCAATACATTAACTTTGATGAGCTTTTTAATTAAGAATATCCTCATTATTTACATGATAATATAACACTTTATTATTAACAATCAAGTTTCAATTTTTTTTGTCGTTTAATTTGAAGAAAATCAAAGCATATTTTTAGGAATTTTTTTAGACAATATGAGTAATGGTGGTATATCTAAATAATTTCTATGTAATAATACACTATCTGAACGATATTTTCCTAAATTTTTATTGCAAAATATTAATAAATAAGCCGTTGGCGCCAAATCTCCGCAGATGTCTCGAAAATAGTGCATTTCACACCTAGGGAGGGAAAAATTGTTTTGTGATGTACGTTGTAACTCAAATCTAATGCACTAAAAATGAAAAAATATTCAAATCTCATTGTTTTGTCACAATTTGACAATTTCTACCAATGTTTCATTTTAATTGTTAGCAAATTGAAAATAGTTGTTGACTGAAGACAAACGTTACTAATTGAGAGCAGTTATTTTGGAATATGTATGAATGGTTATTTTATTAATATTTTGACATCGAGTAGCCTCTCGACGGCATAATTATCGAATAAAAAAGAATGCTTTGAGAGCGTTTCTATAGTCATTGTTCTGATGACACGTAAATATCTGGGCGTATGGAAAATAGGTCCTGCATTTAGTCACGAATAAAGCCACAAGGCGTAGGCAAGTTAATTAGCTATTTAAAAGGCTTAAATGCTTAGAGGTTACGAGGACTGAGGAATCATTGTCATGTCCCGCTTTACTTTTTAAGGAATAATTTAATAAGACAAGCGCTAATAGTAATTAATTTTTAGCTGATCAATAGATTAGATTAATTATGAGATGCTTTTTTTTTTTGCTATACCTTTCAAAGCCTTTCTTGAATGATAAGTCCATTTAGCGATGAAAGAAAAGGAAAGTTAAGCCAAAATATATAGAAGTGAGAGTATAAAAGATCTCGCGACTTGTTGTTAATTTATTTAATTACACCAAGTATCCGAACATTATATTGATGCCAGTTATGTTGGATGTCAGACACGATCAGTAGCCAGTCATTAATCGCAAGCGGGAAGTCGTTTGACTAGATGATTAACAACCCGTCGAATGTACGGTATAGAAAACTGCATCTGTTGGTTTCAAGAATACGCTGGTACACTCTTAGGATATTTACGTACACGGAGCATCGACTTTGGACTTTTTGCGATCATTGCACTCGCGGTAAAGCAAGTAAAAAAATATTTTTAAGCTTATTAATAATTAGATATTAATAAATAGAATCGTTTTTCAACAGATGATGTTTATTTTGTGGATTAAAACTTCAAAGAAAATTCATCTGGTACTTTTATTGGTCATCATATATTATTTAAACATCTAGAGCTCTCGCAGTTTTAGATAAAATTATAGTTATGTTACTTATTTTATTAACTTATTCTTTGCTTTTGAATGCTTATATACTGAAAGAGAAAAGATTAGTTGGATCAACTAAAATTTGGAGCTGAATACAAAGCTAGATTAACTAGGAATATTAGTTCGTAATTTTTTTTTATCCTTCGAATTAAAATTTAGTTCAATTAAGGGAATTTCCTCACCTACAAAATTTAGTTTAATACACTCAATTATTTTTTTATGTTTCAATATGATTAAATATATCAACTATTCACACTTTTTTTTAATTAAGAAAAACATGAAATGGAAATTGAAGTTATGGAAATCAAGTTTTTGTTATGAATAAGACTGAACCAATCTGATCTTGATACCTATCAGGAAAACCTCAGCAAAATATTATTCAGCTAGGAGAGTAAGAATATCTAAGAAATTATATGAATTATTTCTTATTTTTTAGTTAAAATGTTAATTTATGATGCCTAGTAATAATAAAAGGTATAGTTGTTCAATTATAACTCTTATTCTGTTCATGTCTGTGAAATAATATTTCTGGTATAATCTTTTTCATACACAATGATAAAAAATAATTTTAAAAACATATCGCAATTAGATGTTTATGTTTTATATAACACTTCATTATCGTTTCAAGTTATAATGAATATAACGGTTTATGGTTGAATGATGAATATTACTATCAGAAGTGTTGATAAGTATTAAGTAATTTCCAACAAGCAAAAATTTCTTTCTAGAGGAAATTAATAATAGATTAGAAGTGGTAATTTTACTGCAAGGTTTCTACAGTTGGGAATCATTTTTTTTATGTATTCCAAATTATTATAGTGAAACCAGCGGTGAAAATATGCTATTCATTAATTGTTTGGTATACTAAAAAATATATTTACCTGAAGACTTGATAGAAATGAAGGAAAAAATATTCTTATTAGAGAAATATTTCATCTTAGCTCACACAAAGCTGATCACCATAAATCAATCTTACCTCTATTGCAAAGTCAATTTCAATTTTTCAACATAATACTTTTGAAGCTTACATTTTCTTTATCTATTTAATAAATTATATAATTATTATAATGTAGATATTATAAATCTTGATGACTCATAAGTCTATTGAATTATGATAGATAATTTTGAACCAAGTGTTCATCCACTTCTACATCATTGGAGATTGGATTATCTTCTAGGTTATGAAATAGACCCTGAGGTGGTTGTTGATAATTATTATTTCAGGAAATATCTTTTCCTTGACTTATCCACCAATAACATGATGTTTCATGACATTTTTCCCAAGATATGGCGAAAAAAGTTTCTCAAATCCTGAAATCACTTTCAGTTTCCTTAATTTATAACTTTCAATGCGGAATTAGGAAATAGTTGAACAAAAACCGTGAGTAATAAATAAGTTTTACGGTCGATTAATAATAATCTTATGCTGTTTATCATGATACGAGATTTCCTCTCGACAACCGAAGGAAAGAGAAAGATAGATAGTTGGAGAAAAATAGTATAAACCAGGAAATCCTGTTGAATGAAAGTGTGTAGAATAATCGAATTGATGTAGGTATAATGTATACATACTTCCTGCGACATTTTTATGATTTTGCAGATGATGCATCTGTTTTCTAATGATGTGTAAACTATTTTCTTTTGTAGGCTGTGAAGCTTGAATCTGTACATCCGGGAAGAACACGTTACTTAGTGGTAGTGTCTTGTAATGGACGACAGGATGCCGAAGAGAGTTGTCTACTTGGTATCGACTGTCATGCAAAAGCAACTGTTGGGCTTGTCCTTCGGGTTCTAGCTGATACAGCTATAACACTTGATGGCGATGGGTGAGTCTATTTTTTTTCGTTGTTTCATTTCTTCCCCACCCATCAAGAAACAACTCCTGTTATCCTTATCACCATAATAAACTTATTAACAAACCTGCAATTTGATTAATCACTTGAAATTATTCATTAGCATTTTCATGTTTCAAGTTTAATCATGAATCAGATTCAAGATTGAGAAATAAGAACAGGCTATTGGTTTTTTCTGCAAATTTGTTATTGAGAAAACTCATAATATAGTTTCATAACATCATATATAACCTAATAATAATAATACATATTTAGGATATTTTAATTTATCTGTCATAAAATTTGCATTGGTTCAGCAAAGTATCAACGAGAAAGTATTGATAGCTGATTCATTACTAGCACTTATAAAAAGTGGGTTGAATAATAGTCTTCCTTTATCACTCTAATAGTTGTCATCTGTTAGACCAATCGATCAATCAATAAAGCATTGTTGAATGGTCTATGAGAGAAGTTATACTGATTAGGTATAATCAGATGTATTCCAATATTCTTCAATCTGATGCATACATTTGTATTGTAGCAGTGATGTATAGTAAAATTTATATTTATAACGTTAATTAAAACACGTCATTTTTTATGATGAAGAATCATCATCAGTGGAAATTAAGGTTTATTGTAGAATCCACATCAATACCTTTTATTTTGATGAATTCCTTTTTTTTATTCATAGCTTCTAAAATAATGAGATTAGAGTAAAAATAATGTATGTAAAAGTTGTTCTTCTTGGAACGAGGATTATTTCTTATTCAAACAATTTTTCTCTGTATCCCATAGTTTAGCTAAAAAACGCATTCAAACAATAAAATTGTTTATAACTTTTAAATGAGCCACTTAAAAAAAAAAATGACTTAAATATTTGGATTTAGCAAATTAATTCAAAGAAAGCCAAAGTTATTTTATTTACCTTTTAAAAAAAAAAATGCATACACCTTTTATGTCTGGCCCATGGATCATATGAATTCCAATGACCAATAATTCAATAATAATCAAGTTGTCAGAAACGTGACAAGTATTTTAGTCTTACATTGGCGTCATGAATTTTTTCAATGATCAAATTAATTATTAAAAATTGATATAACAAAAAAATTTCCTGACAAAGAAATAAAAGTGGATTCTATTGATGAATAAAAACAAAAAAAGGGTCAATAAATAAGAATAAGAATCATCAAGAGGCACTAGTGGCACAACGAGAGTAAAGAAAATGAATGCGCCGGTCACTTTGCGTTCCGCTTGATGTCAACGAACCCCAGGATGCTCCGTTTCTTCCATTCTTCAGCATCGTCATGGTTTAGTTGTGTATATACATGGCTGATGCCTCACTCACCATCCATCCTATGCGTGTATAGACGTGTAAATGACTAGCACACACGTTTTTCTCTTCACTTCTGCGTTAGTATTCATCGATGCACCAGCATTCTTCAACGATGAAAATATTTTATGATTCTATAATACATTTGGAATTTTTTTTAAAAATTATTTCTCACCTTTATCGTTTATCATCATCTCTCACTACAAGCCCCTGACTGTTTTTTGTTCATTTTTATTATCTTTACGGGTTATAAAAATTAAAAAAGTAATTTTTATTTGTTTAAATTCATCCATACGGATCAAATAATCTCATATTTCTGTGAAAGTCTTATAGGTTTTATTATATACCAATGCGGTTCACTCTTTTATATTGTATCTATTCAATAGACGTATCACACAGCAGAATATTCGCAAGCTGGTTTATAACACGTGACCCCCGTGGAGTGCGCGCAATGCTTGGCATAACGCTCCTTTATGTAACGTGTGCGCGTGAGTTTGTAATTAGCCTGTGAGTCGATGCAACTGATGGCGTCGTAATTCAATGCAATCGTTAGTTATGTTAACTTCACATGTTAGAGAATCAATGAGTCTAATATATCTTGTTCCCATTCAGAGAGAAAAATTTGCTTTTTCAGTTATGAATTTTTTTTGCCTTTGAAATATTGGTTTATGATATGAAACAACTGGAGACTGTGCTAATATACACACCTACTTTCATATATTTCAAATGCATTCAGAAAAAAAAGTTATGTTATTTATTAATAAAAAATTTTTATACACAATATTTACTTTCATTAATTTTTGTTTATCAATAATTTTTATTAAAAAAAATTATTTAATGGGGAAGTAGAGTTAATTCGGAAGAAAAAAAGCATATTTTCAGGAATTTTTTTTAGACAATATGAGTAATGGTGGTATATCTAAATAATTTCTATGTAATAGTACACTATCTGAACGATATTTTCCTAAATTTTTATTGCAAAATATTAATAAATAAGCCGTTGGCGCCAAATCTCCGCAGATGTCTCGAAAATAGTGTATTTCACACCTAGGGAGGGAAAGTAGACTATTTTAAACTACATAATTTTACACATGGTTTAAGAAAATCTAATTGTGCAGTTAGAACTGAATATAATTTTTCATCTTACCTGTGTGGGGAATTCAATTTCTCTCGAATGGAAAAATGAACTTTCCGCGCGGGTATGACGAAAAAATTGTTTTGCGATGTACGCTGTGACTAAAAATCTAATGCGCCGATTCTTTTGCAATTTTGTACACAATTTTTACATATAAATTACCAGGTTACACTATCGAGTTTTTTTTAAATTATTTTTTATTTTATAATAACAAATGACCCGATTTTATTTTTAGTGAAAATCGCGTTTTTAACTTCAAAGTGCTACTAAAAATGGAAAAATCAAATTAACTCGTTCGAGTAAATATTTTTTTTTTTCATAAATATATATCTAGTGTTTGGAATGTTCAGATGTTGAGATAAAAAAAACTTGGTACTTGAGTAAATGTAAAAATATTTAATTATGAACAGTGAGTTATTGGAGCAAGTAAATGTTTATTTAATGTCTTTTGGAAGAATTTTCTTATTTTCCACTGAATTACTGAAATTTATTTATCAAATATTTTTCTTCGAATTGAATAAATAAATTTATAACTCATTCACGCGTTATTATACATTAAAATATTGATATTCTTATTCACAAATCAAGCAGAACAAATAGAGAAATTTTTTTAGATAAAAAAAACAAACGTTGCAAAAATCAAAGGATTTTATTGAAATAATATAAACTTGATGAAATAGTAGAAATTCAGGTTTAAACACACTACGAAATCAATTGCAAATGACTTTTTTATCATACCATAAAGGAAATTAGATTAAAGCCACAGAAAAGAGAGTTTCCATGGAGAGTGATGTAAAAAAAAAAACAAGAGAAATCAGTAAATAATTGAACATTGTAATAAAGTAATATTGTCTTACCTAATCAACAATGAAAAAACCTTTTCCTTAGGTCATTAAAGCACAATTTGTTGATTAGCCATTAAATAAAAAAACACCTACACACATGAATGATTCTTATTTCCGGTTTTACTTTCATCTGCTTTCAGAGGTTTCAGTGTGAGTGTATGCGGTCGTCAGCATATCTTCAAGCCTGTCTCCGTACAAGCAATGTGGTAAGTACTCGACAATTTATATTTACATAATCATAAAAATTATCCGGAAATGCAATCAATTACATCAACAATCTTATTTTATCATATCAATGTTTGTAACAGTACATTAATTTTATTTATCCACTTATATCTTACTTTAAAATTATTTATTTATATTATTTACTTAATTTTCATAAATAATTAATTTATTAATCAACTAAAAAATTAACTTGTTGATGAGTTTATTTATTTTTAAATCTCGATGATCGACCGAGCTTTTGATGGACTCAAAAGCCAGCTTCAGTATCCTATTTTTGGAGAAGCTTCTTTGGTAGGTAGCATGATGACGATGACCACTACCATCAGCACTACCACGTGGCTTCTTCATCTACAAGAGTGGGGTATTATACTACGAACCAACGCCCGCGCCATTTATGGGCGCGATAACGTTCAGGCCAATGTATTTGCAAGGTAGTTCATTATTTTGGGTACGAGGGTCAGAGGAGGTCATTAAGGAAAATCATTCTCTCATTTTAAAACTGTTTATAATGTTTTACACAGTTGGATTGATTCAGATATGAGTGAATAATTTCATTTCGTGGATGTATGTTCTAAATATGATGATGAGAAATTCACCTGGTATATTATAAATAAATGGAATAATTAAATAGAGTAATGAAGTGTTAAATGATCGGTCATATAAGCTTTAGAACCCACTGGCGAGATCGGTCGTTTATTTTAGCAATTCAATAATTGGAGCCAAGATATCCTATTAATTATCATCACTGTTAGTTGATTGTTATTGACTGAAACTCAACCAATTGATTCATATTGTTATTATGAATTTAATAACGATTATAATTACTTATAATTAATTATTATTATATTTAATTAGAAATTCAGTGGATATTTAAAACATTTATTTCGTGTTAAATTATGAACATTTCATTTTAGAATAACTTATTCTTATCAAGCATGTTTAATGCTTTAATTCAATAAAAAAAATGTCTCTATTTTCCTTGTAAAATATTTTAACTATTATAGACATTTAATTTTGTTTTCACAAACAATTTCTTTGCTTTTATAATCAGTCGATTTTATAGTATCTACAAATGCTTTTAAATATAACTATTCATTAAATTGAGCTCAATTATTCTTATAAAATGATAACCTAAAATTATTTGAACAAAGTCTAAGGTTAATATCAAGAAACATTTTCAATGTCACTAGGTGATATTTTTTTTCTAAAATAGATGATTTAGAATGGCAGTATAGGACATTGACAACATTTTAAGAGGTATTTAAATCAATTTCAATTGACCTTCAATTAATTAAAATAGTCTATACACAGTTTTATTCATTGGATTATAATCTGATCATGTGAATATTTGGTGTCTATTAAGAAGCCACATTTTGTTCAATTTAAATTGTCTTTTGTATTGCAAGCTCGATAAGTCTAGAAAATTAATTCCAGAGCAGTTGATCTGCACCTGAGCCCTGATGTATCCATTCATCAAACCGACAAATAATTATTTACAAACAAAACGAAATCCTACAACAAGGGCGAAAAACTAACTTAGCAAAGTCATCAACGTACTGACCATAAACTAAAAAATTTACGACTTGTTTTAAAATTATACATCAGAATCTTCTATTTATTTGATTGAATTAAAAACCTTTTTTTAAACTGAATTGTTAGTTTGTTTTGAATGATTAAAATTCACAATTTTATATTTGTGCTGAGTTAACATCTTTCCTGTGGGCGTCAATAGATTAATATCACCAAAAAATTCTACAACTGGTCATAAACAGTTTAAAATGACAACTCGATGAGCTGGAATCACTTCAAAAAAAACAGCTTAACGTTAGCAAAAAAAAAGAAAATAAATGTAGATACAATTTAGTACAAATCTGGACGGGCAGTGGGTCAGCCGGTTGTGAGTTCCATTCACCCAACAGTCACTCAGAGACATTGCGGCGACTATGACGACGTCTGGGAGAGAATATATAAGAACCCACGCTAGCAACGTCGATCGAAAGTTTCCTCAAAGGAGGTTACATGAGTAAAAAGAAGTTTGCAAAGAGCAGGTCTAAGTGTCTAGCATCATTTGACTCTATCCGGGTCACGAGTTAACGAGTGAATACATGATTATTTTCTTGGAACATCATCATGCAGTTGGAGAAGAAAGACGACGATGAATTTTGAAAAGAAATGATATGTCTAGAGGCAAGGTTAGCAAGGGTATACCGTTTTCTCATACATTTTTTTGCCCTCTGCCCTCTAGCTAATCCATTTTTGAATCTCTATTGTTGATTTAAAATTCGTATCAACTAAATCTTTATATTATGTTTATTTATTTTTAATCCTGGAAAAGAAACCAACTCTGCAAGGGAGTAAATTACCAATTTACAAAAATCGTACGAGTTGAACTTTAATTATCAAAAGTTATTTATTTATACAAATATTTTTCGATTAATTATTTACTGAGTTACCTATTAAATATTTAGGCATCAATGTAGGAACAATAACACTAGCCATCAATGTTTCTTTAACCAATTTTTTGAAAAATGAGCAAAACTGCATGTTCAAATAGAGTCAATATATTGAACTTCAAATCAATATCAATTTCTAAATCAGAACAATATTTTTAGTGCAAAAAAACTCATTGAAAAATTTGGTCTAAAATAAGTTAGTTTAAATTAAAATCTCAGAATGAATGTCTTCTCTTTGATAGCTTCATTAGTTCCTACATGAATAGCAGACCAGCAATTACATTAGAGAACACTACAAGTTGTCAAGCTGTCAAATGGTGAAAATTTTATTTCCGATAATTAAAAAAGTTTGCACAGGTGCATAAAACGCCTAGTAAAACACCTACATCATCCTACGAAAAAAGCACCAACTCCCCAAGTCTATATATGGATCCCTTGTACATTCGTCACTCTTCGTTCAAACACCCCTACTTTTCTTCACTAACAGACTTGTCGATTCCTACGCTCGAATCTATATACTATTCTTAAAAAGTTATTCAAACGTGCATGCAAGCAGTTAAGTAAACTCGTGAGCTACAAGTTAAGTGTGTTATTTCATTTTTCTGCTCTGATACCATCAACTTTACATTCATAAAAATACCATCAAAAAACTCAAATAAAAATTTATTACAATACCACTGACCTTTGATGTTGTTATTACATTAAAATCAGTTCAATAGTGCTGTTGAAAGTGTCTAAAAGTGAAGAAAGTATGAGAACAAAAAAAAAAGATTTGGAATACTTGATAGGCAAATATGAAATGAAAGATGCATAAAAGAAAGAGAAATGGACTTTTGGCGAGGTCATAAAGACCTCGAAGAGACGAGAATAGCCTGCAGTGTTGAGCTAGCAACTCAGTAGCAACAGCAGCAGCAGTCATGTTACTTTATATCCATACTCTTCTTATCTTGGCTTTGCCTACAACATTCTTGCGGTTTTTAAAAAGCTGTAAGAAGAGCTGTCATATTATTATTGAGGCCTTGCAGATTGTTTGGTACAGTAATATCATCATTTAATTCAGTTAAAGTTATTACACAAGCATGACTTAGCAAAAGCAATAAGACTTAACTCATTACTCGATCAACAAGATTAAGTCAACTAAATATTGAATTTAATCAATTTTAATATTCTCTTTTTATTAATGTAAATTCACTCAATCAAATGAAAAAATATAAATATGTTTACCAGTAGAGATTTTATGATAATTTTTTTTTTATGAAAGCAAAGAAAAGATGAAATAATCATCAGGATAACAGAACAAACTTAGCAGCAATGAATTGATAAATTATCTAGAGTACCAACAAGTTGTTGATGTTCGAACCATCATTTTGGCTGTATGTAGTTAATCTATATTGTTAGTTCTAAGATCAGAGATCAGATGAGTAAGATGAGAGAGAGAGAGAGAGGAAATCAGGTGAAAGTAGCCGCAAAGTGGCAGGACAGGTCGTGTCACGCTTGGAGAAAAGGAAGCAAAAGTAACATAACTCGAAGACGATCTCCTTTGTCTTGATTTAAAACCACTCCCTACTGAAGAAGTGGCTATACTTGTAAATAATATGAGTGACTGTGAAGATACATAATAGAGCAGAGAAATCGTTAAAGTCATGAGTCAATTCTAGAATCTGAATCATGATAATCCTGAGATTTGTTGGCACCTTTGATCAATCAGTTTTGATTTATCTCTGCAAGCTTCTTTGATATCTTTATCTATTTTCTCTACTTAACCCTTTGACTTAACATGACTACTTTACTTCTGATTTAATCTTCATACTTAGATTAAAATGAATAGTGCATAATTGAACTCAAAGGGTAAAACGTGTACAAGAAACTAGAAATTTTCATATTTCTCCAATGATCTTAAGCCTCTAGATCAACTTTTTCAACTACTGATAAAGACAAACAATTCTTTCATTTATTATAAAGATGTTGAATGTTGTTTATCATCAATAATCTGTGCTAGAAATCATTTTTATCCATAAACTAGAAAATTGTGGAGAATAAATAATTTTTTTTTTTTAATTTGATTATCTTGTTGACATATGTTTATTATTTAATCTATTATCCTTTCAAGTATCTATTATTAATCATTATTTATACTCTCAAGTAGTTATTTCACATCAAGAAATCACATCTGAAGCAGACTCTGCAATAGTATCATTTAAAGATCACTTGCTATTTAGATCTTTTGATTATTCCTTTCTCAACTTAACTCACAGCTTCTCATTGCTGTCACCTGTACAGTAAGAGTATTTATTTAGCTGTTATTTTATATAAATATCAAATGATATCTCTAGAAATCTTCAAACTTGATGTTTTTTTTTTTATAAATTATTTAATTATTTTCCCACATTATCTCATATATTCTATCATGTGGATCTTTTCTTAGAGACTCCCTTTTTCAGACTTCTTAAACATCACAGCTTTTCACATTCTCCGTCATTCCTCTTCACCAAGGTCGACTAGTCTCTGAACAGAGTACATAAGTACCAGCAAGCAAAACTCAGGATTCCATGGCAGTGATTTATCGTAGCATCGAGAGATCGTCTTTAACAATCGTCTTTACTTTTTTTAACTATACATACTACTTCTCTATATCTTAACGCATATGATTTGACCTCGCATACCAGTGAACGTAAATTGATGACGTTTTTTGATAAACAATCAACCTAACCTAAAAAACATTGTGGTGAATATTAATTTATAATGTTTATAAAAATCACTATGTACTCACTTGCTCTCACTAGATGTTTAAAACATTCTTAATTTTCCTTCATGAAATTTTATTATTAAAATATAATACATATTAATTATTATTTTAGTTTTTGGTATTTATTTTTGGAATTTTAGTTTGATCTTGTTTTCTAAAATTTGATTCGATTAACCAACGGCAGAAGATCGATCTTATTCGATTTAGGTTAGACTTTATTAACCTTTAATCACTTCAAATTTTTTTCGTCAAATTATGCAATTTTTATTGGTTTTTTTTAATGTAAAAAAAATTAGAGATATTTCGAGAAGTGGTATACACATTGGAAAACAAAAATTGATATTAATAGTTTATTAACAATCGTAGAATAGATAACTTTTCACCGAATTCCGAGCTGTCATGGCTGCATTATTGCACTTATACAATCAATCTTTCTATAAATATTTTTTACATGAAAAAAAAACAATATACATCGCACAATTTGACGAGAAAAATGTAAGGTTAGTAAATTCCAACCTTGATCGACATGAAAAATCGAGATCAAAACAGCATCCCTATTATAACCTCTATCTTTTCTTGTTGATTATTTTTCTGCATTAGTCAGAATCATTGTTTTCCATCTTCCAGGAATAGTTATCGAATTTATTCCTGATAAGCCACAATAAAATACTCTAGTTTTACTTTGTTAACACACAGAAAGGTTGTTTTGAAATTATTTTTATATATTTTCATAGGTAGAAATCACGATAGCCCATTATCCACTTACAAATAAAATGTGGACTTCAGCCTCAACTTTCTCAAGATCATAAAACTGAGTCAAAAAACCGTTTCTTTGTTACACTTATCATTCGACTTTCCGAAGAACGTGGGTAATAATAATAAAAAAACATAATCATCACAATATATAATGGTTGAGGTCAAAGTAATGTAGATTTTCAAGTAAACTATTCATAACCGGAAGTATAGTGGAGTAACCTCGAGAAAATATCGATAACAATAAGCTTGACTATAGTGAATATTTACATTTTATCACATTTAATTTTGAGATTAATACTGTGACGAGAATTTTATTGAAAGCATATTTGATTACATGAATCGTATTACAAATGCGTACTAGGTTATTACTTGTTAGAAAAAATTGATTGCAGTTCTTAGTTTAGTTTGTTTATTAAAGAGCTACAGTAGTTATCTAACAGTAGTTTATCAAATATCTTTTTTTCCAAGATTTAAAATTATGATAAAATGATTAAATTTGCATTTGACATTTTTAAATAAATTCTAATTACCAACTCACGTGGTCATAAGATGGAGAAAAAATTATTCAATGGCTAGGATTGACAAAGAGTTCAATGGGAGATAAATAAATATGATTAATATCCTATTGTTGATTCCAGGTCAGCTCTCCAGACATTGCACAAGGTTTCAAGCAAAGCCAGAGATCAAAATTATTTTTTGGGTGGACTATCACATGACTGGGTCAGTTACTATGAACAACGAATTGAGAGTGATCGTTCGTGCCTCAACGAGTGGCACGCAATGGACAATCTCGAGTCTCGAAGGCCTCCATCACCGGATAGTGTGCGGACTAAGTAAGTCTAGATCATTATCATTACCACCTGGACAACTCTTGATCATTTAAATTGATCTACCACTCTGATAAACATCAATTGAATCCACTACATAAACTAACCAGTTTGCTGCACAAGATTTCAAAACGTTTCATTCTTAATATGAAGATTAATAGCTTGTTGAAGTGATAAAGTTTAATCGAAAAATATGAATTTGTTGACTTCAAGATGTTTCTTCAGAGTTCTTTAGACTTCTATCTGATATTCCATGTGACGTACGAGACTCCGGAAGAAATTTTAGAAGTCGATTCTTCTCAAGAATCAGCAATTTAGTTGGGTTTTCTTGTTATTTACGTTGGCAAAAGCCCAAGAGTCAGAAGTTTGTTGACGTAAAATTGAGCAGACGACTCTTTTATAGCCGTCCTTCAATTATTTCCAGTCTCACGTTACACGGAATTCACACGAGCTTTTTTCTCACACATTTAGATTTTATTACACTAATAGACCTCAAGTACTCATTTTCCATTTGTCTTTTAATGTTCATTAAAGCTATTCTTTACTAAAATTTAATCATCACTTAGATTGTAAATTAAAAACCGTTTTAATCCTTAGTCTTTTATTTTAACTAATTTCGTGCCAAATACTTCTTCATTGTTTCATTTTTTTTTTACCATGAAAACAAGTTATTGATAATTTGTAACAAAAAAAATTTATTACATTTGATTATGATATTATTCAATGACACTAGTTATCAAAAGACTTTTAACAAATGAATTATAATTAAATACAACTATTTGGAGGCGTAATAATGATAAGATAAAAAAGTTTTATTGAAAAAAAATTTAACTGTTTTTAATATCAATAAATAATTTGAAAATATTTACATTTTTTCACGCTATCTAATTACTACGCAAATTCATTTATTTCACGTTCTATTAATATTTAGGAATTTGATTAAAAACTTTGAGTTTCTTTATCATAAATAATAAACTATACATTTACTTTTACTTTCACGTATTTAAAATCAATTTATTAATAAATCTAATTCAAAGTTCTAATTCTTAGAATACTTTAATAAAGATTTAAATGTAAATTGTCAATTAAAAAACAAAAATGATCTATTAATAACAATTAATCATTGTGCAGGCCAAGAGAACGTGAAGAAACCGAACGAGTAATTCGTGCAACATTGAAAGAGATCATGATGTCAGTGGATTTAGATGAAGTCACATCAAAATACATTCGAGGAAGACTCGAAGAAGATCTCGATATGGATCTTGGAGAATTTAAACCATTTATTGATGAAGAAATGCTGACAATTCTAGGACAAATGGATTCACCAACAGAAATCTTTGATCACGTTTATCTTGGTAGTGAATGGAACGCTAGCAACCTTGAAGAGTTACAAAAGAATGGGTAAGGTTATTGGGTTAAATATCAAGGTTTAATTTTTTAAATTGGCTAGTTCAATATTCAAATTAAACTAATTAAAATGTTTTTTCTAGGGTCAAGCATATTTTAAATGTCACTCGGGAAATAGACAACTTCTTCCCAGGGATGTTCAATTACTTAAATGTTCGAGTATATGATGATGAGAAAACAGATCTCTTGAAACATTGGGATGACACATTCAAGTACATAACAAAAGCTAAGAAAGAAGGATCTAAAGTTTTAGTTCATTGCAAAATGGGAGTTTCACGATCAGCATCAGTAGTGATAGCTTATGCAATGAAAGCTTATAACTGGGATTTTTCACAAGCTTGGAAACATGTAAAAGAGAAACGTAATTGTATAAAACCAAATAATAATTTCTTACTACAACTAGAAACGTATCAAGGGATTTTAGATGCTATGAAAAACAAAGAAAAGCTTCAGAGATCTAAATCTGATACAAATCTTAAGTCACCAACAACATCAAAGCTTGGTAGAACGAAAGAGAATAATGAGGAAGATAAAATAGATACTCGAAATGGAACAACTAATGAAGTTTCAGGCGTAGAATTAAAGAAATCCGGAAAAAGGCCTAAAAGTTGGTCTCCGAGAATTGAAATAGTAGAGAATGTTTTCCCGGCTCCTTTGTCACAGTCACTTGAAAGCATAGATAAGACATCAAACACGGAAATAACAAGAGAAGATTTGCTTCGTGGAACGAATATCAAAACAGCTGTTGATCAAGAGACAAGAAATGTTTTAATGCCTTGTGACAATGGTCAGTCATATTCCGTATCCCAGAATCAAATAGTTCATCTTCCTGGACCCGATACACCTGGAAGAAAACAAAAGAGTAAAGCAGAATCTTTTCAAGGTCACAGACGAAGAGGTTTAGTTTTGAATTTAACAAATCAGTTCGAAGCTGCTGGAAGTAAACCTTCATCTCCAGAGTCTGAAGCTGATGGAGTTAAGCCTTTGAGTCCGGGAAACGAGAGGGTCATGGAAAATGGCCTTTACTCGAATTCTCAGCGGTCCTCAATAGATAATAAGCAAGATAATGATGGCAAAAGGCCAATAAAAAATACTAATAGTGATTGTCTAGTCTGGACTGCTTCAACAGAAGCTAAATGTACCAATTCAAATAACATTAGAAGTAGTGTCAGTGTTACAAGTGATTTAATATCAAGTGATTTGCCGCCACCAGCGGTAACAACTACCACAACGACGGCAGGTGTTAATTTTAGAGCTGTACGACGACCTAAAAAAGATGGAGATCCTTTTAGCGCACAATTAGACAAATTTTTTGATCGAGAAGAAAGAAGAGAACCTTCAAGAGAATCTCCTAGTAGGCAGAGTTCATGGAGTAGTTATGATAGTGCTGTTGTGCTTGACAATAACTCAGTTCATAGTTCTTGGGCAACTCTGCCATCGAGAAACAGCTCCTGGGGATCATATGATATGCGCCCAAATGATCTTCTAGGTTCTTCAGGATTGTTTCCTTATGATAAAGAAGAGATTCCCTGGCATCCAGGTACTGTAAAACGAACAAAACAAAAATTAGAAGAAGGTACCGGTGTTTCTATGACTAAAAGAGTTTGTACTCAGTCCAATGAAACTGAAGAAAAATCTCAAACACTGCCTTCGTCTGATGAATCATCAGAACCTCCATTTAACTCAGTTTTACTTCAATGCAGTACATCTCCAACACCTCAAAGAAGAGATTCATCGCCTACAGTTACTGAAGAAAATCACCATAAAACTGATAGATCTGGTGACAGTTCTGGAGGCATTGATATCTCTCCTACCTCATTAACTAGACAAATTGGACGATTATCAACTAGTGCACCTGTTCCTTCGGTTCTCTCAACTGATGCTGATAATTTACCTTCGTCTTTACTTAGAACCTGCAGATCTGAAAGTGAAACATCAAGTCCGTGTGTTGTTAATACTACTCAATGTCCGTCTGTTAAGCACCATAAAATGGTTCTGGAGAATCTCAGTAATAAACCAAGTTTTACGAAACGTTGTTTGTCAGTTGATGATTCTCTTCCTGAACCACCGTGTTCTTCAGCATCATCTTCATCGTCAGAAGGACCTAGAAATATGGCAGGAATTGTTAAGAACTTGAAGAAAGAATTTGAAGCCAAATCTAGCAAGTTCGAAAAAAGTCCTGATAATACTAGTGACCTAATGAATAACGATAATCAATGGTCTAAAAGAGATTCTAAAATTATCAGGAGTCTTCCTTCTTCACCTGTCATTGCACATAGTGAGACAAAAATCCGCTCATCAACAAGTATTTCAACTTGTCGGGATAATTCACTTGTTAAAGCACATTCTGATGAGGATCATGAAGCTAGAAATCGTCAGGATAGTTCAGAGGATCTTTCTGTTAAAGTATTGGTCGGAAAATACGAAGTTGCCAAGCCAGATGCTAAAAAAATATCTGAAATTCAACTTCGTTCGCACAAAGATCGAGATAATACTATTGAAGCCCACCCTCCAGCTAAATCAAAAATAGCTCCTCAAGAATTTGCTCGTAGATCAGCACCAATTATTATTAATTCTTCAGTGTTTATGTCTGAAGGTGCTGAGGCACCTGGGAGGCCACCTGTTCCTTCACCAAGTGCGGTAGTGGCAAGTGTTGTCGCAAAAGCTGCAAGTAAAAAGCAACAACAACAACATGGTAGAACTCATCCCCTTGCTAGGCTGCAGGTCAGACCGAGGCATAGTAACTGTCCTGTTTATAACACTATGTAATGGATCTTATCTTTATTGTTAATAATTATTTCAATAATGTTTGATCCATTGGGAAGAATGAATTATCTAGAGAGAAAATTATCTTCAAAAAAAAAGAGCGCTGTCTTTGATAAAATTGAATTATTCAATAATTTATTGAAATATTGTCATTGAATAATGTTTCTGAATAATCTATTTTATATAAATATCAATTTCAACAAATTTTTTATAAAAATATTTATTTTCCAATATTTTTTTAAGATCTTTTTTAATAATTTTCTCTTCAGCGCCATTTGCAATCGCGAAATACTCATTGTTGAGGTTGTGAGATACAAGAAAAAATTAAATACATTTAAAAAAAAAAATTATGTGATTATTAAAACATTGAATTTTTATAATTTGATTTGGATTTAATTTTACGTTTGACCGCAATGAGCTCATGGAACAGTAAAATTAAATAAATAATTGAATAAATTCAGAGTGGTGATAAAGACAAATATCTTCATAGTAATTATTTAAATTCTATTTAACTGATTTGGCGTACTTTGGAAACGAAAAAAAAATGTATGATAAAAAATATAATGAATGAAATGAACAAAAAAAGATCTAAAGCAATAAAATTTTATCTAACAAAAATAGAAACAACTATAGAACGATTAAGAGTCATATATCGGTGAGCACTCGGTCAGGCTGTGAATGAAACGTCTGGGGCTCGCGTGTTCCAGCTTTCTGTTCTTGTTTCTTGACAATTGTTTTATCTATCAGGCTATTTTAATGTCGCCATCATTGTTGAATATTTTCCATAGATAATTTGGTAATAAAATTCAAAAAATAGCCTTTTGTGAAGAATCGCAAAGCTTTGAAATGCATCAGGGCTGGAAAGATTTTGAGATAATGAAAAATAAGATAAAATCGATAAACTCATGAATATTAAAAAGTGATAAACTCATAAGCTTTTGTGTAACATTTAGGTAATTAAATGGACTATATTGTGATTAGAAAGCACTTGAGAGTGCGCTAAATGTAAAGAAAAGTGTATGTTTGTGTGAAAAAAAGAATCTATTTCGAATATTCATTAACTAATAATAATATTAATATTAATTATAACAATAATAAAAGAGATGTACAAGTAAATTTATTGAATGATTGTGTATAGAATGACGCGTTAACTATCCTAATCTTTATAATCTTAATTACTTAGGTACTAATTAATTATTAATTATTAACTGTCGTATATTCCCAATTATTACAAATTAAATTTGTTAATCTAATAATTTGACTTGTGCCACTTTTATCGCCGGCTTCGCGTTTACGTCATCATTCTTAGCTGAATAAATGTGTCCTTCGATAGCTATATGAACAAATGCATCATTCAATTGTATATTTGCAGTGCGATTGTATCTTGCTTAGTTTTAAATTTTAACAAATTGACAAAATGAAAAAATTGCAAAGAGTTTGAAATGATGAACAATAAAGAAAATTAAAAAATCGAACTGAAACTAATCATACTCTTTCTTTTTGTAAACAAATTTGAATAACGTACAGTATTGAAATTAATGAAAATATTTTTTAAAAACATATCAACGAAATTATGGATTTTAAAATGATAATGAAAATGAATATAATAAAAAAAAGAAAACATTTGATAATTAAATTACAAAAAAAAAGAATTTTTATTTTTACAAAGATGACTAAATACTTAAAATATAAGAATCGGGAAAATTTTTTGTTTCTCAATTATTATTTTTATAAAATTAAAAGTAATTATTAATTATGATGCTGATGATTAGTAGATGAATAAATTATCTTCTTTCTTGCGATTGTCGCTTTTTATATAAACTTGATCTTAATTAAATAGACTTTACAGCTTATAATTGATTATTAAGAACATTTACTGTAAAAGTGTTGTGTCAATTAAGTGTTGTAAGTGGCATTGATTTATTTTAATTTCTTTATTTTTATCTTCGCAGTTTTTAACTTCAAACATTACTTTTTGAACGTGCATTGAAGGAGTCAAAGTGACTATCAATTTAATAAATTATTTAAATGACTATAAAAAAAAATAATTATATTCGTACGACAAAAAATTACATTTTTTGATATAAATAGAAAAAAAATTGACCAATTTTATAAAACTCCAGTGTATTTACAGCTATTTTTTTTCTTTTTCAAATGATACTGATTATATATTTTAATACTATTTAACTTTCCAACCAAATAAGTGAGTATTAATGGTGAATGCGAGAATAATAAAATAAACATGAGTATAAATATTGCATATTAAACGTGTGTTTAAGTCTTGCATATCTATTTTGTTCCATTATATGTATCATTATCATTAACATTACATTGTATGAATTAAAAACTGTGAATTATAAGTGATAGACTAGTTTTCAGTAACTATCTAGTTGTTATTTCGTTACTCAAGACTGGAGAAATTCAATCGACACTTAGATATTTTATGACAATCTACAATGCACTTACAACTTGCGTTTTCAAATGTAAATGATCTTTTTTTTTTTTAATTTTATCTGAACATTTCTGTTGATTGTGGCTCCAACAGACATTGAAAAATAACTAATAACAGCGATAAGCGAAAAATATGATAATAAATCCTATAAAACAGCCACGTTCCTCCACCGAGTCTGTTTCTTTTTTTTAACGACTGATTAGTTTAAGTAGTGTTGAATAACTTTCTTCTTAATAATAATTCATAAATTGAATCATTTCTGTTTTTTTGTTTTTTTTTAATATAGGAGAAATGAAAATAAAATTAATGACAGAAATGTTTTTTAACCCTCTGTATCCCATAATTGTTCAGAGAATGTGTGCGTTCAGAATGTCCATGAAAGATCAAATGGAATTAAGAATGGAAAGAAAATTTTTTTTTTGTAGATGGAAGAATAAAATAATACAATAAAGAGTGTAATTGATGAGATAGACAAAGAGTAAATAAATTAAATAAATGAATAAATAATGAAGAAAGATAAAAAATTAATTGAAAATCATGCGTTGTTCTGTATAAATTTTGTACCATAGTTTGTATGAAATAAAATATTGTTTATTGCTTGAAAAAAACTAATGAAATTTTTATATTTTTCTGTAAGCTTTAATGTCGCTTGTATATTAAATAACCTGTTTTTTTACACACACTCAAAAAAGTTAACTTTATACAGTGGAATGAAGAGAATGTGGATAGTTTACTAAATTAACTGATAAGCTACTGATAAAAAGTTTAAAAAGTCGTCTAAAATTTTTAAAAATAATAATAACAAATTTTACGCGATATTAAAATTGATAATTTTGTTGTATTAAAATTATTCATAATTTTAAAATCTTAGTATCTTATAAATATTGTCGTGAAGAGTTTCTTTACAATAAAAAATTCATTTACACAGAAACTAATAAATAAAATTAATTTTCTGATAAAAATTAATTTGATGGTAGATAATACTGGAATTTAATAATACCTGAATACTCGTATCTTTAAGAGTAGATATAATTTTCATTATATTTCAGTGTAGCTTTCATTCATAATCAAAAGTAGAAGTGTTATAAATTCTTAAACATCACTTGAATGGAAAACCTTTCTTTCTTTATGGTTTCATGATTTTCATTATTCTTCAAGAAGTTGATGTTAGATTATAGTAAAGAACTTTGTTGTAGATGTTTTTATTTAGCGCTTTAGTAAGTGTACAATTCATTGATGTGATTAATGTACTTAAACTTCACAAGTGAAGACTGAATAAATTAATTCGTTTGTGTGGTAAATGTCGTGAGAATACTAGTTTGAAAACATTCTCGCTGTTAACTCCGTTTGATGAAAAGTAACAATTTGAGATCTTTACAGGTATGTATGATAATTTCGTGATTGTATTTATAAAAAATATTAAACATTAATATTATTTCAATGTATCATTATTAGTAATGCACATCATGGAGCAGATTAAAGATCTTACTTCTGAATAAATTGTACTTCAATGTTCTTACGAAAAAAGTTTCCTTTAAATATATTTAAATCAGTCTTGAAAAAAAGTTTAAAATATTTTTACGTACTTACTATGCTATATATTAAATTTTATAAAATGACATCTTTGAAATTCAACAAAGAATCAAATAATGATTGTTATTTCTTAAGAAAAAATAGAGCTGGTTGTTTCTTACTTTTATTTTATAAGCCATAATCATTTTAAGATTTATATTTATTTTTTACATTATTGTGATGTATATGTATATACATAAGTTTTGAATTGTTTTACTGTTTATCATCTTTTGGAGAACCAGCTAATTGTTATAGTTCTTCATTGTTCGTCTTCTTCAGCAAGTGCTTCTTTCTCTTCATCTGTAAGTTCTTCCTCTTCTTGTTGTTCTTCTTGAGCGGCAGCTTCTTCTCCAGCAGCCTCTGTGTCAGATTCTTCTTTTCCTTCGTCTATTTCCTCTTGCATTTCTTGCTGTTCCTCTGCACTACTTTCTGTTACAGGTTCAGATTCTGGAAAACCTTCTTCTTTCGAAATTGAAAATGTAGCTTTAAGTAAAGCAGGAAGATGAATGTCTAACTGTGCTTCCATAGTACCATTTTCAAAAATTCCCATGAAGTTTCCAGATACCATTTTAAATTCTCTTTGAAGACAAGTAGCTCCCTAAAAGCCAATTTAATTACTTTTAAAAGTAATATTTCCTAATAATTATAAATAAGTAATTGTCAAGTTTTTTACCTCTTCCACTGGACATGCTATTTCTATATCTTCATCATCATCATAGAACCCTAAAGCATTCATTAAAATAAATGACATAGTTCCTGAAAGCTCATCAACATCATCATTACACAATTGAACAGGTTTTCGTACTGCAGTGTTAGCATAAATACCATAACCCTACGTCAAAAAATTAATTTATTCATTTGAACACTTGATAAAATTTTATTATTAAACTTACATCATACATTGGTGAGTCTTCTATTCTTTTTCGAACAATGACAAAATCGTCAGAACAATTTAAATTGAGATCTGAGTTATCTAAACTATATTGGCCTGAAATAGATAACACTTCCTCTTTTTTTGGCTGAATATCCGATATTGTTATGGTGTATACATCAGCATTAACATACACAAAAAGAGCAGTAAATAAAAATAATACGTTTTTCATGGTGATTACAAAGTAAAAGAGAAGCTCTAAAAAATTGTTTAACCAATAGAAGTGTTTTCACAAATGAGAATCGTTTATTTCGAACACTACATTTTATCTACTTATTAAAAGTAATAAGTTGAACTTAAATATTATAATTGCCTTAGATAGATCGAAGTATACAAGAAAATTTCTTTATCACTAATGATATAATGATGGCTTTTTTTTATTGAATAATTGAATGTTGTGTAAGTATAAGGTTACAACTTTTGCAATAATTAATTTATTTTAACAAGTATTGTTCAAGATAATGATTATGTATTACATATGCAATCGTTCAGTAATGTTAAAATGTGTATTGCGAATAGTTTTTTGATAGTTTGGCATTTAAAGTTTTACATTTATTAATTTGTCAAATTTAACTTCTCTTTTCATATCATATTAAAAATGATTCAGTGATGTTTTGAATCATTAGACAGCTTTGTGATATTTATCAACAGATAATTATGCTGTGATGATATTTATTCAAGGTCCTAATTGATGTTTTAAATTAAATTAATAATAATATAGCAAGGATATATATTCTATTTTGATAGTTATGCATTGTGAATCCATTGCTTCAACAGATTTGTGCCATAAAATAAATACATTCACTGATGTCGAAAATTTTCATATACATCGAACTATTTTTATAAATTTTTATTTACGAATTATATTATATTTATTTTATTCAGAATTGAATTCTACATCTTGAGTGCCAGGATTGATAACAGATTCAAATTCACTCTGTATAGCTGAATATATTTAGTAATGTAATCTTGGTTATAATTTATAGCTTCTGTTAGATGATAATTTAAAACTTCTATCTCAAAACATCTTCATTCAACTTTTGGACAACTGTTGGTTATTAAAATATTTTAGAATGAATTGATATATTTACTTGACATAACATGAATGAGTAAACAGATCAATTAACAATTTTTGTAATCAATCAATTAAATGTTTGTGTCAACAACACGCTGGATGGTGGCGACCTCAATCGTTGAAATCGAAAGATTATTTTATTTACGTTTGATATTTTTACTATATCTACTGACTTTATTTATTAAACAATAACAATTGTTACTATATTTTAAATTGCTGATTCACATTCATACATTATTATTATTGCATCAGTCTTAAAATAACCAATTATAAAAATTTAAACAATATTTTATTTTTCAGAGTAATCAAAGCAGAGGACATTGGAGTTGGAGATATCCTTTTTCTGATGGAGAAATGATCACATTTATATAACATTTACTGGAGTGATACAAATATTGGATTATCATTTAGATTAAGTTGAATGGAGAAACAAAATTTCATTTATTACCCAATAGTCAAGGAGTTGATGAAGGTAATGTTAAAAAAAATTGTTTTGTATTAATATTAGAAAGCTATTGGATTGATGAGACTCAAAGATATGTATTCAACGATTCAAAGTAGATAAATGAAAATATTTTCTGATACTTAAGAGGATTATTGTGATACATGTACTAAGTGTATATTCTGACTTCTTTCCCTTTGAGGAATTACTTGGTTTATAAAATTTACTATAATCTATTGTTACCTAAATAACAGAGGGAACAAATGAATCGTTTTCCCTGACGATAGGCCTTCTTCTTCGTCTTTGTAGCGTTAAGTCTATAATCCAAACGTATTTCTGTCGTAAGGAAATGGAAGAAACCTCCCAACTGGAAGATTCTCTATGTCTGACATCGTATATCGGCTTTTCTATTCTTCAATTTTGTCACACACATAAGCTGATATGTTCTCTTTTCAGTTAGTAGAATTTTAAAGCAGTGAATGAGAGTGAAAGAGTGAAGACGGATTTTTAAAAAAGTAAATATAATATTAAATGATATGTATTGGAGTGATACATGAAAATGTTTCAAAGAATTTACATCACTATGGTTATTAATATTCTTGAAGGACTTTTATCCAACTAAATATGTTATACTCGTGTTTATTAATTTTTTAAACATGGGTTCTATTTATAATAATTCACCTGAGTAATGAAATTACAAAAACTAACAAATTTATTATGTTTTATAAATTGTAATAACTTTTTTTATGATAAGAAAAGCAGCAACAATTGGTGAAAGAAAAAATCATCCACAAAAATTTGATAGAAAATGAATAATTCTCTAATGATTATTAATGAATCATTTTTGATTTTAGATGTTGGACTTTATTTAAATATCAAGCAAAATAAATGGTGAAAAAAATTTATCTCAAATCCTGTGAGCAATGGAGTTATTTTAGCGAAAATAAAAAGTGAACAATTATTAAATGAAAATGTGAAGTTGTTGTAAGCGATGGTCGTCATGTCTTTCAAAAATACATTACTTGTTTCACTCATATCCTCTATCTTCCTGGACAATTTGCCGAGCACAAAAGAATCCTTGCTCGAGAGAGAGCAAAATGGAACATACACAAGTATAACAGTAAGAGAAAACTACCGAGTCCAATTTAATAATTGTCTTTTTTTATTCTTCATTATTGTTTGTTTTTTTTTTTTTTCATTTTCTATATTTTTTATTTTCCCCCTTTTTTTCATTTATGTCTGTGGGAAAAGATTGAGAGAACTATGGAAGTAATGGACCGAATACACATGGGTATGTACAACCATACTGCACGAAAAGAATGAGAAAATAATCGCTAGAGGTAAAGATGAGTCAGCAGAGTTACTTTTTAAACAAAAAAAAAAAAATTTTCATTTATTCCGAAAATAAAGATGTAGAGTAAGCTGTCATAAATGGCAATTGATCCATATACGCTTAACGTATAATAAGTAATAAGTCAGACTTATTTAAACTCATATACAGTACATGTGCATATATGATATGTGAAAAGTGGAATTTGTTTTCATGGAAGAGAGAAATGAACGTTAATCGCCTGCCACTGGCAGAATAGGTAGCGTGAACATATAAACACACGCACATCCCTTGGGTGTTGTAATATCATTTTCATCAAGTTCACTAGCAAATGAGAAAATCGTCGGGGTTGTTAAACTGTAGGGAAAGATTTTGTATATTATGATATCTAATTTGTCATGATCTTTTGTGAAAAAGCATATCAATTTGCCCTACTCTAGTAAATTTCATAAATATTCACATCAATATATATATGTATATTTAATATTCCCATTTGTTGGGAAACTACATTCGATTATATTTTATGATTATGTGATATCATAATTTATTTAAAAGACATCCAAAAGATCACTCCCTTTTGGCCTACACCTAGCACAATAGCTGGGATAGAGTAAGAGGTTGTTGCACTATTATTTAGAATGATTATAAATTATCCTTCAATTTGAAAAAAATTTATAATGGGATAATATCAATAGGACTATCTATAAATTAACAGCAGAATTGAAAAGCTCATTAGAATTTTTATTAATTAAATAATCAAATTAAAATTTTGAAGTGATACAAAAATTTATTAATAACATGAGATTGCACTTCTCTTCAAATAAATATAAAGACAAATATTAAGACTTATTTTTGATATTTAAATTTAAATAATAATTTATATTCCAAAACTGTATTCCTTCAATTTTTATATTTCTTGAAATAAATTCAATAATTAATCATTAATTATTGAATTTATTTCTTAATTTTTATTTTAAATAAAGAACATTATTTCTTTTTAAACTAATAAAAGATGTTATGAATAAAATTGTTTAAGTTTGTTATTACCAAATAAATATTACAGTTAACAAATGAATGGATGTGGATATGTTATATCAAAACTATTATTTTCATCGTATTAAAAATTTTATATTCCTATATTATCACCTGATGTTGTGATTGTAAGACTAAGAGCATTATAAAACAGCTGCTTAGAGCAATATATCAACATTTTTATGCAATCTTGAGTTAATAAAAGTTCCTTTGGAAGATATAAAAAAATAAATACTCCACTACCCAACATGAACATCATAACATACTCTAGCACTAAAAATGAATTTTAATAGAGAGAAAATGTGGAAGTAATTTTTAATTTTTATTCCAATCAATACACATATTTATGTAAAAAAAAAAAAGTAATTCTTTTCTTCTATCTTTTTTACTGTTGACAAACGACATTTAATAGTAGACTGGCGACAGATGTCTCGGAAAGCTCGCGCTAATTTGAATCCTATCGTGAGACTTGTTCACTTTCTACTCTTAGGGGTAAGATGTAAGTTTAATCGAAAAATAATGCTCAATTAGAACGCCTCTAGACCTGGTACACGATACTGGATTGCATATTAATTATTCTGCTTCATCAAGATACTCTTGTCCATTTAGTGCAGCATTGTAAGAAGAAGTAGTAGGAGATAATAATAGTCTAGTGTATAATAAACCAGTTTGAAAAGTTAGAAATGGTTTTATAAGTGTTAAGTGCATCTCCTAGTGACTGTCTAACTCTGCCCTTTCCCTTTCCCTCTAATTTTCATGGCACAAATCCAACAAATTTTGAGTCTGCGGTTGCTAAACCCACCACGATTTGCAGGTACTATCTGAGAACGACTGTCTTTAGTACAGGACATTAGAGCTTAGGATTTAGAATAAGGTATGTATCATTACTTTTTATTAATAAAGTAATATTCTTTTTGTACAACTTAATCATCTGAATAATTATACTTTAGCCAAGTCAAAAATTTATTTACTTGTTTTTTTTGATAATTAACTTTCAGTCAGCATCAGCTAGCATGATCTCCATGTATCCAAGACTGGTAAATATTTATCAATTAAATATGACATTTAGAAATGATACCATTCCTGATTTTACATTCATATTATATCTCATTTTTTCAGAGAGACTCTTCACTATTTGGATCATAAAATGTTTATCTTACATAGAATTATACCATGAAGCCATGATTGGTTAATATCTGGACTATCACTGTAAATGAGTGGCCTGTTATTGACATCCAATGTTGATTCAGTCTTGGAAAACGACTGAATGATAATATGGGATCAGTATCCACCATTGATAATCAAACAATGATTCAAAGTACATTGGGGTTATTATTGTTTAAACATAAGCCTGTATTACACCAAAGGTCAATTAATAAAAAAACAACTAATGTCTTATTATGGTTTCATCAGCAAAAGTTGATTAAAATATGCAAAAAATATTAAATTTGTTAACTTTAATTAAATAACATAAATAATACCAAATTAATTAATAAATGCGTAGTGGTTAAGCAGACAAACAGCTGATTTATTTAAATGGCAATTATGAATATAAAATTGAAATACACTTATTTAATAGTATAAGATAATCTGGAGATTACAATAATTCTATCAAAATGAATTCATCTTTTTTACAAATGTTCTGATGACAATCAATAGATAATGAAATAAAACCTCATAAATATTAATCAAACGTATATTTTAAAATTAAACAATCCTAGATGATAATCCTAGTGGACTTGTTAAACATTATAAAATGAGATATAATAGGATTGTTTAATATTTGCAGCAGAAAGATAACAGAGATAATGATTGTCTTGAGAAGAATAATAACTTCTAATTGAAATGATATAAAATAGAATAAATGGGTAATAATAAACAATCGGAATGGTGAATGAGTTAATTCAATATAGAAAATAGCTAGATGGACAATTAAGTAAACTCAAACATGGTTTTGCTGCGTGCCTGGGGCTCTTGACTTAAGACAGAGAGTGCAGAAACGTGGTTTGAGTTCACCTTCGATTCTCTGAGAAATCCATAGACAGTAGTGCAAATATAGTTAATAATAGTCGAGATTATAGTTTCTGCACTATGGAGTTGAATATCTTAGTACTTGGACCTAAAAGTGAACAAACATCTTCAGCACTATCTCCAATCTGTTATCTTTCACATTCTACATCCTTTTACCTCTTACCACTCATCCTTGCATTATAATTCCTCCTTTCATTTACTCAATCTAACTATTGATGTAACATTTCTCTACAACGCCTCAGTTAATTCTCTTTGATATATTTCAATCCCATCCCTTATTCTACTAACATTTATCTCTGACTGTTTTTACAGTCCAGCAAAAGTTTGGCGCCTTTTCCATGTAACTCAACTCTCTTGTGCGATGAAAATCCATTGAATATATTTACCGCAGTTGCGTGAAGGCAAAAACTTTGAGTTTTGCATTGGAGGTTTTGTGTTTCTTGCAATGAAATTGTAGGATAAGAAACATGAGTAATCGTAAATATGAGGGTAGTAACTGAATTGGATGAAAAGTTTCGTTCTATATCTGAATGTCACATAATAAATAAAATTAGTAATAATTGAACATACTTCTGGTGATGAATTGCATAAAATACATTTCAAATAGTTTCCAGTTGTGTGAAATAATAGATGACTTGCTAAACATTTAATTATAATAAGGTTCAAGAATAAACTGTATTAACAACCATACAGAATTTAATTATTAATGGATTTAAACTTTTATGGAAATTAATATTATTATTATTCATAAACTGCTGTCAACAAGAATAAATTAAGCTCATTTTTCTATCAAATTTGAAGCAGAACTTGAAATTAAACTTCACTGAAATTAATTCATAGAATTAGAAATCAAGTGGTCCAGATATTCTATGATGGAAATGAAATGATTTTAGAAAAATATATTTTTAAAAATGGGTCTGGGTGCACTTTGTATTTCTTTGGTTTCCAACGAATTGCTATTGTTATTAATAATATAAAATTATTCAATCACACTAATTTCTTTATAATAACATTTTATGAATATTCTGATAAGATAGATTTTAGAATGGATTTTTTTTTTAATATTAGATTTTTATATCAATTTTAATGAATTTGATTCATTAATTGGAAATAATTGAGTCAGCATTAACTCTCGACCTAATTTTATTCAAGTAATAGACCCTACTCCATTTTCATACGTTTTCTCTAATTAGTAGCCTAGACATCCATGTCCTTACTTTTATTTCATTGAAACAACAGATGTAATTGAATATTTTTTTCTAGTTTGTTTTCAATGAAAATCTGAAGAACACCAATTTTTATTAATTAATCTCCGTATATTAAGTTAGATTAGTAGACTGCAATTCTAATATTGATTCTATTCATTATGATTTCACAGCATTTTACAATTAATTCAACATGTTGGATGATTCAGCAATGTAAGAGTTAACGTTCTTGTTTGTTAATTTAACTTGTTCATTATTTCATAGCTACTCTTATTAGCAATGGGAATAAAAATTTTTGATATTTTTATTAACTTTAATGATTCAATATTATAATATTTAAATAAATGATGAAAAATAACTGCTTGATAATTTGAAATGGTTGCAATTGCTGATTACATGTGTTAAATAATTATTGAACCATACAATGAAGTAAGGAGAATTGGTTTCAGAATAGTACATTTGCAATAGAACAAATCTTTTTAAGTAGAATGAAAGGTTTTTCGATAGATTTGACCTCAGTAGGTCAGGGTTTTTCGATAAATAACATCTTCCCAAACAGAACAACATCAAGAATTGTCTATATCCTAACTTATAACTTCTGGATTCAGTTCTCACGTTCTAATTCAGCAATTATCTGCACACTTGGTGATCATTTCTATGTATCAATCTCTTTTTTTTTTCATACAACTACTATATTTCCATATTCCGTAACAATCTGATGAGAGTCTCTGATAACATTGGATCCTATCAATCAACTGTTTGATTGCACTCAATGGCTTATCTTCAATTTCCTTCATTAAGAAGCAAATTCCACTTTTGCAATTTTTTTTTAATAGATAGATAAAATATTATTAGAAAATGGAAACTTTAAACAAATAGTAAAATTGTAATAATTATTTTAATAACTGTGGTGACGATAGTAAATTTTCTCTAAAAACTTCAATTGAAAGAAAATCCATTAAAGTCAAAGATAAATGTGTAACAATTTAACTTTTCTGATTCCCTTGCAATCTAATGCTGTTTTCAGATGAAGAAAAAAAAACACAGAAAGAATAAAGACAAAGAAAAAAATAAATGATGGACATCACCGGCAGCAATTACCGAGTGATAATCGTCTCTTGACTGACGAAGAGAATGAGAATGACGCAGTTGGGGAAAGGGATTGAAGCAGCTGGAAGACCCGTCTAGTTGTATGACAGATTATAATGGGTGACCCAATTAAAAGCCGTTGCCAACGCGTATCGTTTCTGCTTGCATAGTTCATATATGCTTTGTCTCTTTGTCCTTTCGATGACACCCTCTAACTCATCGAGTAATTCTACGGGACTGAAAATGTAGCCGAGAAATACTATTTGTCATTCTCATGAAACTTCAATGAAGGTTTTAGTTTATGAAGTCAATGAAACTCGAACGAATCCAATGAATATTAATGCCACGGAAATCACATCGTTAAATTCATATTCTCATTTTCTTTGATTTTTTAAGTATTGAGAAGATTGATAAAACTACAGAGACTATTCAACGATGAATATGTCATTTGATAATTATTATA